TATAAACCAACAGAAAGCTCACATTGCCTTGGCAAAAATTTAGATCTGCAGAATTTGAGCTGGGAAATTTGGGCTTGTTAGAAATAAATGCCATAAAGCAAAAGAGAGAAATAAACCTACTATGCCTGCCCATACCACTAAAAAGTTATCAGTAATATGAACATGCAGTGAATAATGAACCATGAATTCTATTTTCCATGAACAACTGACTTGGATGAAAATGATTTCGGTTAAAAATAGGGAAAATTATGAAAATATTTGCATTCATAAGCACAGAGTCAAAACATAGCTGGGATCAAAAAAGTACGCAGGATCAAAAGCATCCTATATGGCCTTGATAATGACACAAAGAGAAAATGGGAAGCAGCACAGAACAGAGCAGAGGTCCCGTGATGATCAAAAGTGCTTCTCTCCTTTGCTGGAAGAAATTAAGTCTGCTGCTGGCTTTCTTCCCTTCGGAACCAGGTGACAGCTGGAGAGAGCAAACCCTGCGTTTCCACAGGGGCAGCAGAGAGAATGGGATCATTTGCTCTATTGTTAACATCTGAGGTTTTCCTAGTTTGAAAAGAACTTGTATTTTTTTTTTTTTTAGAACTATGTAATTTTCCTGCAAGTATAAGAAAGTATTACACAATAATTACAGACAGAAGGAGAATTGGTCTATATAAAAGAGGGAATTTGTCCAATGGGCGTGTCCCCAGTTGTCTGGCTTTGCAGGTAGTCACATGACACTCAACTAGGAAAATTCATACTGCAGAATGGAGCCGTTTCTCTGACAGGGTCTCAGGGTTTGAAATGCTGGGCTTTTATTAAGTAAGTCATATGCCATGAAAGGATTTCAGGAGTGGCAGGTTTGCCATCGCCTTAGGAATGGAGTCAGATCTTTGAGGGTCTACTCAAAGGGTTGGAGTCTTTTTTCCAAGATCCAGGCAACTGAGTTGTGGGTCAGTGGCCCCTAGCATAATGGCTAATCCCAGGGTCCCATCCTCTTAGAACCAGAATCCTGAATCTGATTTCTGAAGGTTGGGGAATGAAAGGAAAAGGATAAGAGAAATAAAGGGCACAGATTATTTTCTAGCTGTATTTCCTTGAGACTAATACTAAATAAATTAAGTAACTGTTTATGCAATGAGGACTTCATTATGTGAGACATGAAATTAAGCAACTGGACAGTAAAATTAAAAATCTGCTATGATGCTGAAACCGGTTTGGCTCAGTGGATAGAGCGTCGGCCTGCGAACTGAAAGGTCCCGGGTTCGATTCCGGTCAAGGGCATGTACCTTGGTTGCGGGCACATCCCCAGTGCGGGGTGTGTGTGTGTGTGTGTGTGTGTGTATGTGTGTGTGTGTGTGTGCAAGAGGCAGCTGATCGATGATTCTCTCCCATCAATGTTTCTAACTCTCTCTCTCTCTCTCTCTCTCTCTCTCTCTCTCTCTCTCTCTCTCTCTCTTCCTCTCTGTAAAAAAATCAATAAAAAAAAAAAATTTGCTGTGAGTAATTCACAACATCTATCCAAGATAACTAAGACCTGCAGGCCTATTGCCTTCTTAAGTGGCAGAATGGATTCCCTCTTAACTTCTCACTGGATTTTCACCTACTTCATCTCTTTTGCTCCTCTAGTCAGAGTGTCAGGGGAAATGACCATCACCTTTTCATAGGTTAAAAAATAGCTTTCAAGATTAACAGAGAAAAGGATTCTTTAAAGCAGGAGGGGGGGGGGGGAATATCTGGCCTATAAGGCCCACAAACAAAATCATTTGGCCTGGCCCTGCCAAGGCATTAGGAGTTAATTAAATGTCTGACCAAATATAGCAGGCTAATTTTTGTTGATAATTTTGTATGGCCCGAGAATGATGTTATAAATATCCAAATGGCCCTTGGCAGAAAAAAAGTTCCCCACCCTTGATTTAAAGGGAGGAATGGGACTGGAACTCATCAGTTCTAAGCTCCCCTTAACACACAACCCTATGTCTACAAGAAAGACAATTTTTGGGAAGGCATGAACCTCTCTGAGAATCTAATAAAAACTTTATGTCCCTGATCAGGAAAACACACACACACACACACACACACACACACACACGCGCGCACACAATTAATTTCAAGAGGTTTTATGAGTTTCTGTACTTTACTCAAACCTCCCGGAAGCAAAGTCAGAGCCCTCTAGTCTTCGCAGCCCTGTAGGGCTGGCTGGCTGCTGGGCTCTGTGAGGTGCAGTCCCGTGTTCTCTGACTCACCCTTCCTTCCTTCCTTCCTTCCTTCCTTCCTTCCTTCCTTCCTTCCTTCCTTCCTTCCTTCCTTTCTTTCTAAAATATATTTTATTGATTTCTTACAGAGAGGAAGAGAGAAGGATAGAGAGTTAGAAACATTGATGAGAGAGAAACATTGATCAGCTGCCTCTTACTGGGAATGTGCATGCAACCAAGGTACCTGCCCTTGACCGGAATCGAACCTGGGACCTTTCAGTCCTCAGGCTGACGCTCTATCCACTGAGCAACACCGGATTCGGCTGATCCCTTTCTTTAATCACGGCAACCTAGGCACTCTTTAAAGGAATACTTCCCACAGGCCAACAGTTGATTATTGTGGTCATTTGCACTTCCTTAAACTCCTCTTGTATACACAGAAAAGCAAACACAACATTCCCCCAAAGCAACATTAAAGGTCTGAGTTCAACCCACAGCATTACAGGAAAATGGAGATCTTTAGCCACTCTACGTACATGCACAATCACCGATTACTTGAATTGGTATTTAGTCAATGGACTTGACTTTTGGAGCTATCATTTCTGATATGAAGTAGTAACTTTAAGTCTCTTTGCTTTCTTATCTTAGAGATATATGGACTAATTTTTATAACATATGCAGTGTTCTTGGTATCAAGATAAATTACACAGCAATCCCTCTGAGTGGCAGCCTGTGGCGCCAATACTGACTAGCTTACTAAAGGCGAGAGAACTACATGCGGAAGGACCCACCCACCGGGGAAGCCAGCTTCCCATTCGAGAGCCTTGGGGCCTGGAAGGCAGTACTTTTCTGCAAACCCACCAACAATACAAAGCATGAAATCCAATAAAATGCATGACCATTGTCACCAGGCCCTGGGACAGGTTTGGGAGAGAAGATCGGGTAAGGAGTATTGTGCCCTCTCTTTCTGCTTAAGTTATATTCTCATGCTGACTCTTAAGCTTCAAAAAGTTGCCAGGGGAAACGAGAACCAGAAAACCAACGAGACTGCCATAAACGAGAGAGAATAGAGAGAGGGCCGACCATCTTCCTCGGATGCAGCGGAGGAACTCTGGGAAAGCCCACAGGACTGACCTATGGAGAGTCTCCAGCTTCTTCCCTCACACCCAAAGGGTAACTCTGGAGGGCTCCTGAGGCCACACTGGCCCGGATGGAGCGGATGGAGCGTGAGCCTCCGCTCTCTGTGCCTGAGGCCTCCTCCTCTGTAGGCGGTAACGTACTGGCTTTCATTTCACGGGTATTAATAGTTTCCTGGTGGCTACAGTCTGTGCATTTTACATTCAAATCGAAGCCCATTTCTCCTGTTCAGTCTATATTTTTTATGACATCATATCTCCTTTTATTCTCGCAGAAAGCCAATAAGGTGCATTTCTAAGTCAAGGTTGAGAAAGGCCTCTCAGAAAGCCACAATGCATTTACTTTTCAAATGAAAGCAAAGCCCAGGGATACAAAGAAATTATAAGACCAAGGAGACTTGCTGTGCTGATTAGAATTTAATGAAATTAAATGAAATCTTTAAACTGGCACTTACAGCTAAATATTCGCACGCACCTGTCCACACCGAGCGGGTGGGAGTGTGCGCCACGACGGAGCAGGTCTGTGCTGCCGGCAGGGGAAGGTCCAAGGGCAGCGCAACAGATGGGTCAAGGCTAGAATGTGTGCTCATTCGACTCTGAACCCGAGTATGTTTCCAAACACGATTACAAAATCTCTTCCTCCCGTCCTCTAAAAGCCAGAGGGTTGCCTATTTTGAGCCACAAATTAAACTATACACTTTGGGGCTGGTTTAATAGAACTACAGGACTGAAAAAACTGATCAGCTCTAGAAAAGAGTTTGGAAAACAGGAATGCATTCCCAACTTCCACACATTACCAAGATGGCTGGGCAAGATAGGGATGCCACCAACTCCACTTCCTTACCTGCCCTTCGGGATAAATTCCTATGCGGTGCCATTGGCGTCTCCCCCGGGAGAACCACTCTTAGACCTGGTGGCAAGGGCACCCAGGGTTTCCCGACGACAAATGCTCTACAGCAAATGAGCAAGGGCCCAGGAGCTCTCCAGCCGGCTCCCTCGTGAAAAGGTCGATCTCTACAAGTCTGTGCAGCTGACAGGAAGGGGAGGAGGACTGAGACCTTTAGTGCCTTTTGTCTATTGTCAAATGACAGCCCCCTTTCAGCTGCCGGCACCTTTCCCAGCTTCACACGTGAAATCAGCCCCTGCCCAAAAGGAACTGCAACAGCATAATGTCCACCAAACAAGAGGCCAGTGAACGAAGAGCTGCCGGGACAGCCAGGCGTGGAGGGCTGCCCCGCTGTCCTGCTGCTGAATGCAGGCAACTCAAAGGATCGCCGTGTTCTAGAAGGCCGTATTTCAGTTTGGACTTCATCGTGTAAGGTGGGAGTGGGAACTGGGCAATTCTAGACAGGGAAATGGCACAATCAAATCCCACGTTTTCAAGCTCACTCTGGTGGCTCTGGAAGATGCAGTGAAGTCCAGCAGGAGGACTGCAGTGCCCCAGGGAAGACACCAGAGTCTGGACGAAGGCAGTGGTGATAGGGAGGAGGAACAAGAGATATTTCAGGGATTCGTGTAGTGGCCCGTGCCAAGTTATCAGAGGTGAGGGGAAGACAGAGTACATGAAGCAAAGACCACATATGTAACTTCTCACAACCTCGTACTGTCTGGTGAAATGACTGGAATGCAGAGGACTCATGTGGCTGATGACGATGGAATATCACCTCTATTTCCTTACCTTGGCCGCAGAGTTAGACACTCCATGGGTAACGTTTCGGATAAGGCCCCCGACGTTTCCATACTTTATCAGTCCCGTGACCCCTTCAGAAACGTCATTCAAAAGCCCCATGGGATTGCCAAGGAAGTCCACCGAGCCCAGGATCCGCGCTGCCTGGCTGAGGAGTTCCTGTCACGTGGAGAAGGGAAACAAGAAGATGATCAGCCCGTTTACACTGCAGACAGTGCCCCAGGCACAGAAGCTGACATCAGTCTAGTCCTCCATACCTATCAACACCAACAACCACCTTTCCATCCTCACCAACTACAAGCTCCTGCCCTTTCACAAGCTCCACCTGAACTTCTCTCAAATGCACACATCCCAGGGGGTGCCTCCAATAATCATACATTTTCCGTAAAAATATTCCTCAAAGCCATTCAGAAGAAGAAAAAAGGTATGAAGCAGGAAAGATTCTTTATACATAATTACATTAGTGTGTACTTGATATTCCCCTTCCCATTGTTCCCACAAATAGGAAACTAATCAGCAGCAGAGGGAATGTGAAAAGTGAGGGAGGAGGGAAGATCTGGGGTCCCTCATGATCCAGGCCCCAAGAGGACACGTTCAGACCTATCAAGAGCCCCTCCACTGCCTGGGTCCCGGTTGAGGATACCTGCCCTATCACGCTCCTTACAGCTCAGTGGAATTATCACCAATTAGGAAGAGCAAGGGAGGAAACAGGAGGAAAGGAGGGAAATGGAGAGGAGGGAAGAAAGCAAGAAAAGGGTATCTTTTGACTTTGCCAGAGAATACATTTGATATGACAGTGACCCATCTATTCCTTGAGGATTATGCCTTGGCTTTATGTTTTGGTCTTTGCAGCCTAAATAATAAGTACAATTAGAAAATGAATAACTTGATAAAAAAAACTTTTTTTTTTTTTTAAGTTCAAATCTAGGGCAGGATCTCATAGGCTCTAATCCCATCGGAGTGGTTGCTGAAAGGAGGCCCATGCCTGATAAATAAAGAGTTCACAGCATTTTGTGTTATCATCGAAGCATCAGCTAAAGTCTTGAGAGTTGTGACTAATCTCGTGGAAGCCTCTGAGGCTAGTTCTGAAGGACCAGACTCACGGCTCATAAATCAAATTCGCTGTTTTGGGGTTTTCATGATGTGTACAGGCTTCCTGGGGTATGACCTGACCCCTGACTCAACAATCTCAGCTGAAATGTGGGTTGTCAATAGGAAGGTCTTAGTAGCCAAAGTTCCCAAACAGCTAAAACAAACATCCTGCTTATGCTCCAGCCACGAGACCCCTCTCCAAAGCTCACCTCCTGGAAATGTTTGAGGATGTCATTGATGATGAACTCCTTGGTCTCATAGGGATGGACCCGAGTGAATGGATCCAGATTAATCACAGCATCTTCAAACCGAATCAATGGGAATCCCAAGGTGCTCTTTAGAGCCTAGTTAGGGGAGAAAGAAAAGGACACAGTTAGGCTGTATGACGGCCTTCCAGGGTACTTAATTCTGGAAGGTACTTAGCCCATGAGAGTTACAAGTCATGTCAACTTTCCCACAGGAGTAGGGTTCTGATATTTATTTATAAGCAAGTTCTGGTATTTATTTATATTTACTTTTATAATAACTCGTAATTATAAAAGTAAAATATGAGGGGGAAATATATATGTATCACCCAAAGTAAAATGTATCGCAGCATAATTCTTTCTGATATTTTGTGTCTGTTTGTTTGTCATGTTTTACTTTTTGACTGAAGTATACCAAACATACAGAAAGGTGTTCTGATCACATGTATACAACGACTCTCCCGAAGTGAACACAACCGTGGAACCATCCACAGTAGAAAATGGATTATTAACTCCAGCCTAGAAGCACCCATCCCCATCTTCAGACTGCCAGTCACTACTCCCTCTGCCCCTAAATCACCAGTAATCTAACTTCTATCACAGCAGATTAGTTTTTCCTGCTCTGAATCTTATATAAATAAAACCATAGGCCTGTACATTGTTATATACGGTTTCTCACAGTCAACATTGAGTTTGTGAGATTCACAAGATTGCTGCACATAGCTGCACTTTATTTTTATTCTGCACTGTATTCTAATATATGACTAGAACACTATTAATCATTGCTGTTGATGAACAGTTGTGTTGCCTCAAATTTTTTGCTATTATGAATAATTCTGCTATGAGCCTACTTGAATATGTCTTTTGGGGCACATTTGTATCCATTTTTCTTGATATATACCTGGGAGCAGAATGGCTGGGTCATAAAGAATGTATAAAACAAACACACAAAACAGAAACAGACTCAGAGATACAGAAAACAGACTGACAGCTGTTAGAGAGAAAAGGATATGGGGGCTGGGTGAAAAAGTTGATGGAAATAAGCAAAACCAACCAACCAAACAACAAAAATCAGACACAGACAGCAGTATGGTGATTACCAGGGGGAAAGAGGGTTGGGGAAGTAGAAGAGGATAAAGGGGGATAAATGGTGACAGAAGGAGAATGACTTGGGGAGGTGAACACACAATCTATACTAATAAGAGATAGGTGGACCTCACGTGCCACGTCGCCACAAGATGGCTGCACGCATAGCCCAGGTGGGCCCCAGTGGCTGCTCTGCATGGTGAGGCCTGGGGGGAGGGGGTCCCACGGCTCCACACAGTGCAGAGGAAGCTGGTCCCAGCAGAAGAGGCAGATTGTGGCAGGGGAGGGCAGTTGGGGGTGATCAGGCTGGCAGGAAGAAGTGGTTAGGGCCAATTAGGCAGGCAGGCAGGTGAGTGGTTAGGGTCAGCAGTCCCAGATTGTGAGAGGGATGTTCTGGTTTAGGCCACTTCCTAAACTGGTTTAGGCCACTTCCTAAATTGGTTTAGGCCACTTCCTGCAGGATCACTAGTATAATATACAGATGATGTATTACAGAATTGTACATTTGAAGCTTATATAATTTTATTAACCAACTAGTGGCCTGGTGCCCAAAATTCGTGTATGGGGAGGGGTGGGGGGTGAGGAGGGGAAGATGTTCCCTCAGCCCAGCCTGCACTCTCTCCAATCGAGGACCTTTTGGGGCATGTCTAACTGCCAATCTACGCTCCTGATCCTGTGGGATCAGGCCTAAACTGGCAGTTGGACAACTCTCTCACAATTTGGGACTGCTGGATCCTAACCACTCACCTGCCTGCCTGCCTGATTGCCCCTAACTTTCTCTGCCTGCCTGCCTGATCACCCCCAACTGCCCTCCCCTGCAGGCCTGATCTTGCCCCCAAGTGCCCTCTCTGTCTCGGCCCCCACCACCATGGCTTTGTCTGGAAGGAAGTTGGACGTCCAGAGGATGGCCGGTCAACCTGGTCTAATTAGCATATTACCCTTTTATTAGTATAGATAGATCATATAGGATAGGATTGCTTAAATGGGGGTGGGGAGCCTTTTTCAGCAGGAAGAGATGCTCTCGGGTAGACAAAAATACATTTGGACTGATAGCCAGCCATATGTACTATGCTGCTAAACCGGTCATTAAAAAATTGAACCACTTTCTTACACCTTACACCAAATAGCTGTTGCCCTTAAAACCCCTCCTCAGCCCCCACCTTAGGTTCTGCCTTCCCAGTTCACCCAGATTAGGTTCTGATTGGTCCATTTCTATGCCAGTGTCAAAAGCTCCACTTCCTAGGCAACCATTGGCTCCTTGCTCTTCACCCACATTTGGTTCTGATTGGTCAGTTTCTATGCCAGTCAGCAACTCCACGCCTATCTCCAGGCCTGATCAGAGAAGCGGGGCTGATCAGCAGGCCCCCACCCCCAAAGGCCCAGAGAGAAAGAGAGGCGTGGCTGCTGGCCAGGCCAGGCCAGTCCCGGAGAGAAAGAGAGAGGCAAGGGCTGATCAATAGCTGCCACGGAGGCTATGGATCAGATCCTGCCTTCTCTGTCCAGACCTCTTTCCAGGCCTGATCCACAGCCCCTTCAGCAGTCAGTGCTGGGTCACCAAGCAACCCAGGTTGAGCCTTCGGTCGTTACAGACCCTGGGTTTTTATATATTCGGATGTCACCCCAATAAATTCAATACAAATTTTAAAAATATAAAATAAAATACCCCCTAATAAAGAATGTACACGTTCAATCTTAGTATACACTACCATGTATTTCCAAAGCACTTGAACTGCTTTACAATGAAATTTGTCTATGAAATTTCTTATTCTACATCCTCATCAATACTTGATATAGAAAGGTTTTTTTAAAAAAAAAAAACACACACATAAATATTCTGAAGGGTGTACAATGGTATCTCAGTGTGGTTTTAATTTCCATTTTCCTCTTGGGGAATAAGATTAATTTTCTTTTAATATGCACACTGGCTATTTGAATATCCTTTTAAAAAATATCTATTCAAGTCTTTTGCTCATTTTTATAGTGAGTTGTCTGTTTTTTCTTTGCTTTGTAGGAGTTTTCTTATACATTCTGTATACAAATAGTCTGCTGATTAGATATATTATAAATATCTTCTCCCATTCTGTAATTTGTCTTATTACTCTTGATAGTTTTGTGATGGTCACACATTCTTATTTTTTCTTAATGAGGGGCAAATTATTACAAAGTATTAAAATGGAATAAGATTACTTCATTGAACAGAAACTGCAATCAGAATTCTAACATGTTATCCCTGTCACACTAACAAAACATCAGCATAACAATTCAAATCATCTGACATTCTTAGTTTTAATGAAATCTTTGTGTCTGGATTATTATCCATACCAATTCATAAAAGTAGTCCCATATGTTTACTTATAAAATTTTTACTATTTTACGCTTCACATTTAAATCTAAAATCTACCTGAACTTGATTTTTATATATTGTGTGAAGTAGAGCTCAAGATCCATTTTTCCCCCCAAGTGATTATCTAATTGACTAAGTAATAATTATTGAAAAGATCATCCTTCCCCCTACTGCAGTACAGTGCAAACTCTGCCTCAGTCAAGTGACTGAACTTACATATCTGTTTCTGTATTCTCTTTTCTGATTCATTTTCTCCTGCCTTCTGTCAATACCACACTGTCCTAATTACTGCAATTTTATAACAATCTTTGAAATCTAATAATGTATATTTTCCAACTTTATTCTTTTTCTTCGGTGTTACCTTGATTACTCTGTACTTTTTATTTACAAATAAATTTCAGAATCAGCCTGTTAATCTGCCACAAAAAAATTGCTGGAATTTTCAACAAGATAGACTAAAATCCAAAGATCATTTTTAGGAATAATGACAATTTTACAATACTGAATCTTCTAATATCCCTTTTAACTATTTAAAATTTCTTTCAATAATGTTTGTTTTCTGGGTATATTCTTTGTTGGATTTATTCCTAGATACCTGTGGTAGATTAAAAATGACTATACACCTAGCCAGTTTGGCTAAGTGGACAGAACATTAGCCTGCAGACTGAAGGGTCCCGGGTTCAATTCTAGTTAAGGGCACATGTCCAGGTTGTGTGCTTGATCCTCAGTATGGGGCATGCAGGAGGCAGCCGATCAACGACTCTCTCTCATCACTGCTGTTTCTATCTCCTCCCTCTCTTCCTCTCCGAAATCAATAAAAATACATATTTCTTAAAAATGACCATAAATTCTTTGCATTTGCTGCGATTAGTAGAATTTTTTTCCCTTCCACTTGAATCTACACTGACCTTGTACTTTACTTCAACCAATAAGATGCAAAAGAAGTAACACTGTGTGACATCTGAGCCTAGGCCTCAAGAGATAGTGGAGTTTCTTCTCTATGCTTTTTGATGCTGCCACCATGTGAAGAAGCTGAGGCTGGCTTCCTTGAGGATGAGTGACCATGTGGAAGGTGGTTCTGTTGACAGCCAAAACCAACCACCTGATATGTGACTAAGTCATCTTATATCATTCAGTCCCAGTTGACCACCAGATGACTTCAGCCACATGAAAAATCATAGGTGAGAGCAACAGAAGCATCACTCAGCTAAGTACAGTCCTAATTGCTGACCCACACACTTATGAACAACAACAAAAAATGGTTGTCTTAAGCCACTAAGTTTTGGGTGATTTATTACACAGTAATAGATAATGATTCTGTATTTGATATTTTCTTAACACTGATAAATACATTCTTCGAATTTCCCTTTTCTCAGTAATTGGTGCTGACATGTAGGATGCAATTGGTTTTCATGGCTCTGTTTCTAGTGTCTGTTCTTCTCTTGGTAGGCCTGTTCATTTGTGATTGACTGTAACATTTTGTATGGAAACTTATAGAGACTTAGGATGAGTCTTTAGCTTCTGGCAGGCAGTTAAAGGGGCTTTGTGCCTCCTTAAATCAAGACTTGTGCTTTATCGAGGCTAGATTTCAGTCTTCATAAAGGCCTGGTATAGTTCTTTAGTGATCTAAACTGAAAACCAATTCTATTCCTCCATTTTTACTCTCTCTAGCACAACTGCTAAAAGGTCTACTTAGCTCTTCAGTCTCTTGGCTGTCACTTTTTGCTTGGCTTCTGTCCGACTAGGTTACTTTGAAATTGGCATCTGCCTCAAGAAGTAAAGCAGCTCAGGTTATTGGGGTCTCTTTTGTGCCTCTTCCTTCTCTATAACATATTAGCCCCTCAATTACCAGCTCTCTTTGTAGCAATGAAGTCCAACTTTTGCTCTGCCAGCCTCAGGAAACTGCCAAAAGCTTTACTCGGATTCTCTGCCTGTTGGCAGCTGCTTTCTGCCTAACTTCCCTACCTTTCTCCCCACACCACTTACAAATTAGAATATCTTAAGAATAAACGCAGAGTAAACGTTGTGCTCACCTTATCGAGTTTCCCTCCTCTCATAAATCTTGGACTCTCGAGTCCTGGCAAACTTGGTAGCTTTCCAATACCTTCAAACAGACTTTGCTTTTTTGTATGTTTTTTAAAAATATCTAGCTTTTCTTGTAGTTCTCAGCTGGTTTGGGTCTGCTATAAACCAGTTAATAATTTTCAGATGTAGTCTATTTTCCAATTTATATGTTTGTTCAACATGATTGATATTTCAAGGATTTTAGAGAGCATCCCAAATTCTGTTTTTTGAATGTGAAAACACTTGCTCACGCTAATAATAGTACACCTCTGATCCACTTAGAAGTTATCCTTTTGTAGAATGTGAATAATAAATCTAATTTTATGTTTTTCTATATGGCTATCTAGATAGTCTAATAGCACTTATTAAAACTCTTGTATGTTTCCCACTGAGTTAACATGTCTTTTTAAGTAAAATCTCATGTGAAATTTAATGCACTTTCTATTTTATTTTCTCATTTATTTTTTAATCTTTTAGCATGTATTTTCTTTTAACAGGAGTATGTTCATAATTGAAATGACACCACAAAATTGAAGATGACAATGTCTAAAACCAGAGTGGGGAAACTTCTTTGTGACTCAAAATTCAGATTTAAAGAGGCAAAAGACTGATAAATTTGACAACATAAAAACAGAAAGCTTTAGTATGATTTACAAACACCAAGAGCAAAGTAAAAAAAACAAATGAAAAACCAAAGGAAAAAAATACTTGCAACTTATTAAATACAGAACTTAACATAAAGAGTTTCTAAGTCAAATAAAAGACCAATTATATGATTTTAAAAAATGAACTAGTGATATAACCAAACAGGTTAGTTTAGAGGGGGAAAAAAAAGGCCTTTAACATGTAAATTAGGCGAAGGAAGAGTAGAATAAAATAAAATTGTGAAAAAGAGAGAGAAGAAACAAATGAAACAAATAGGAGAGTAAGAAGAGAGCAGAGAGGACTGATGTCAAGAGGCAGCAACATCAAAGTCGGCCGAGGACCCTACAAAGAAAGGGAAAAGCCACTGTATTTGGAGCTTTTACTAAAAATTGGAGAACAAAACATTTTAGAGATTAAGAGCATCCTCAAATTAATTCACGCTAACACTCTCCTTTTTGTTTTAAGTAAAACTAAAGAAATGCTAAGAGGATGATCAAAACTGATGGGGATGGTTATCAGTAGGTCTCAGGCTTGAACATGCTAATTTTCACAACAGGAGACCAGAATGGCGGATTATATTATCTCACCAGAATGGCGGATTATATTATCTCTCCTGGAAAACTCTGCGCATTCCTGCATGTCTCACCCATCAGTGGGTAAGTGGTGATGAAGTAATAAGCAGGCATTATCTTCCTCATTTCCTTGACAGGGAAACTGAGGTCCTGAAGGCTTAACTGTTTTTGCTCTGAGCAACACAGTGAAGCCAGGTACTGACAGCAGCTCAGAGTTTGTTTTGTCAACACAGCTCAGAGCACTGCATTCTTCTCAGAGAAGAGGAAATGAGATCAAAACAAAGGCTTAAGGCAAAAAGCTTTTACCCCAACTTCCTCATTGCAACCAAACATTTGAAAAGGAGGAACCACACCGAGTAGCAAAGACTCTGAAACCTGTACTAAGTTGTCAAAACCCTCACCCACCGGAGACACTACCCCCTTTCTGAATGGCTGTTGTGCTTTGTCTGAACCAAGGAAATGGTAGTATTCTGGCCCTTCAATAAAATGACCTGCCCTTGTCATTGACTGCTCTGGGGCCTCCCGTATTGGAAAAAGCTGCCATACAGCCATTGGTATGAGTAATCCTGCCACCTTCAGGCTGTTCTGGTCGGAAGTAGAAGGGATGAGAGGGAAAGAGCCAAACTGGGCTTTTTCTTAGAGTAACCAGAGGACTAATCACATACAGTAGTATACAAAGTCGATGCTCATTTACTCAAGTAGCAGTTTCCTGTTATAAAATGGATTCTGGGGAAAACAATCTGTGCTCATAAGTTCCTAATAAAAATAGGAAAGTGTCTACTTATACCTCCGCCAGACCCAAACTGCTGAAGTCTTCCAGAAACATCATAGAGCTGAAAGGAGAAATACCTGCCCATATGCCATAAGGTCTCAGATGGCAAGCCAGCCCCTGGGCCACGTCCTTTCCTCTCTCAGTTTATCCTGCACTAAACAAAACTGTCTGGAATTCATTCTTTAAAGGTTTATTTATGGTGCATAGAGACTGTTTATGTGAAGCAGGGTATCTGCCCATTTCCCTCTTGGGACGGTGTTTAAAACTACAGGGATCTTTCCCTCTCTGGCACTTTCTGAAATACAATTAACAATACTGGATCTTTTTTCCTTTAACAAATCTGGTTTTTATTTAGGAAGGGGAGGAAAAAAGTAAAGGGTCTGAAGTTTCCCAACAAATTATTTCAAGCCTTTGAGAAGACAGTTTTAGGCTTTTTAAATAGTGTCTTTGTTTGAAATCCCCCCTCACCCCCACCCTCTTGCTCTCTGACCATTAAAATGTGGGTTTTCTTCCAAACTAGATTGCTCAATTAAAGCCCTTCTTTTGTAATACCCCCATGCTCTAAATGGGAAAAGAACTGCTGTAGGCCACCTTGTGAAACCTTTTAAAGGCTCCTGGCTCCTTTTGATCTTTAAAAAAAAAAGAGAGAGAGAGAGAACATATAAGCTACCTGGCATTCTCCATATTAGCCGGCTACGCTAACTTGCAGATTTGGGAGAATAATGGGGAGACTGGGGGTGGAGATGCTGTGCTTTCCTCTCCACATTTGTGAAATGGAACTTATTACCTCCCCCTTCTCCCATCACAGAGGAAGGAATCCAATTGAGATAGCAGATGTGAAAGTGCTCCGAGTCCCTCTGAACAGACTATCTGCAATAACGTTCCCTCGGTGCAAACCTGAAGAGACTGCGCTCTGAGGTTTCTGACAGCCTCACTTCTGGCCTGGAGTCAAGGGAATCAAGATAATTATTCCTTCAACAACAAAGACACGGTTACCTTTTAGTCAGACTCCTGCGACTCCTGCTCTGGGACAGAGTTCCATTTCCTAAGCACATACGTTCAGCCATTACATAGCATCACAAAGAGCACGCTGCTCTTCCGAAGAGCGGCTAATAAAGGGCTATTACTCTGTTAGGAAACTCTTTGAATACATGACATTATTTTATGAGTCCCAGGCTCCACCAGGAGAAACCAAGACACGGTAACACGGTGACTTCTACAAGCTTGAGAATTTAACTCTGAAGTCCCAATTCCCAGCACCCCACTCAGAGTGGCCACCGCCCACACCTCATTATGTGGCTGCTCCACTGAATTTCTTTAACAATTGTTTGAAAAATGCCTTAAAATGTTCCCTAAGCAGAGTGCCAAGTGAAACACTGGCCCGAATGCTTCCCAGCCTATTGTATGCAGAGCACACAGCAGCGGCAAGACCGGGAAGGGGAACCTGGAATGGGAACGCTGTCAGGAGCCACTCCCCCTGGAAAAAATCATGCTGCATTTGTCAGTCTGGGGGAAAGTTTTCTGCTGGGAGCAATTTAAAAGGAATATTTAGGTGTCTGTGTTTCTTAGTAAGACGATTTTAAAAACAAGAAGTCCTTAACTCTCAGGAAATGCTTAACACTGGTCTGCTGGGCGAGTGCCAAGTGCTCGGGGGAATATACACTTTATCAAACAAACCCATTCCGAAGGGTCACAGAAGTCAAGTGGATACTTGTGGATATTAGCAAGATAGTGGTTTTCCCATGGTTTTCCCCCACTCCCATGCTAATTGTAAGTATCCGCAGTCTCCTGGGAAACATGAAATTAAAGCAAATAAGCAGACGGGACCGTGGGCAGTGCGTCAGGAAGGGCACCCTTGCCAGTCCACGTTGCAGGAGCAAACCCCGGCCCCTGATCGTGACCAGCAGGCCCAGCAGCTCAGCCCCACTCTGCTGCCTTCATGAAGCAGCCAACATGATCTGATGTTGACCAGACTAATAAAGATTTTATTGCAGAAAATGAAGAAGCTACTCAGACTGTATCGCTAGGTGCATATCAAGAGGATCATGTTGCATCTGGTCTGGGGGTACGCAAGGCCACATCTCTGTGGGTAAAGGGTAATGGCCACGTTTTCCTTGAAGTGGCAGGCATTTCTAATGTCACCCATTCAAGATGAGGAAGACAAAAAGAGGAGGAGAGAACCAGGAGGGCAGGCAGGTCTTGGACCCAAAAGGAAGATACTGTCTAGGTGGTAGTTTTCCTCTTGAGTCTGGGAGCATCCCTAGAGAATGAGGCTTTTACCTCATTGAGATGAGCCAAGAGCTAAGCAGAGAGCAGTGAGTTCTAATGTACTTCTCCGTCTTCTCTTTTGTTACTCCCTAATCTTCAGCAAAGTCATACTTAAACAGTTTTAAAAAATGGGGACTTCATGTACACACACACACACACACACACACACACACACACACACACACACGAGTCAGTAAACCCCCTAAAGAAGGAAACCTGTAAAAATGTCTGTGACAAATGATGCTGGACAGAAAAAGCAAAGAGTAAACACACTCACTCTTTTCTGAGGAAAAGTCAGTGTTTAAAACTTATCCGGATCTCAGCTCACCTTAAGGTCCAGCGGTAACTTGTTGGAGGTGAACACGCTCAGCCTGATCTGGGGAATGCTGATCTTGAGGTTTTCAAAGTAGTAGCGAATCGGTGTTCCACCTGGCTCGTCTGTCTTTTCGTGGAGGTTTTCGTCATATTTTTCAACCTCTGGTACAAAGAGAATTGTTTTTTTATTTAAATGAATCTCCTGAAGCCTCATGACTCAAACACTTGATTCACATATTGAAAAACTCACAGGAAAATGTAAACACCAATTCCCTCTAAACTTAGTTTTTAATGGCTAGAATTATGCACAGTATCCTGATGCATGTCCTTGTGGAAGCAGGTCTGTTTCATGCTGCTGACCAAAAAGCACAATAGCTCCATCTCTGGACTGTGACTCTGTACCCCCGCAGGGCACCTTTGGAGAGACAATCCAGGTGAGGAGGTGAGAGCTCACGGGTGTGTTTGTTGATAATGAGTTTTCTAAAAACCATGTTGCTGTTGTCATTATTATTATTATAATAAATGACCCAGATTTTCTGAATTTATTTCAGAAGATGACATCCAAGTAAGTACTTGGAGTGTATTTTAACCGAATCAAAATAAACAATGACCCATAAATAACAAATCGGAACAAAACATAACGCCTTAGAAAGAAAAAGGCTGCAGGCCATGGAGAACCGATGTCACAACCAGCAGCATTCTCTCTCCCAAACGTGAGCACCTGTTTGAGTAGCAGAGCCGAGGCCTATTTTTTACTCATTATCTTATGAAGTAGAAGGTTAAGGGCTAAACCACAGCCATGTGTCCTTTGACTCGATGTTGTGCCCATAACCCACTTGGGCAGCTTATTTTCACTTGGCTTCATGTGCCTTAGAAATAAAAACAAAAATATTATACATATCTACTTACCAAATATACTAATGCTGTAAGCTATTATAGTTCTATTTATAGAAAAAAGGTAAAAAAAAAAAAAAAAAAAAAAAAAAGATATTGCAACAGAGCCCAGCTTATCTGTAATCAGGACACAGAAACAGGAAGCAGAGAAGACACTCCAGTGAAAGGCAGGCCAGGCCATTAGAGTCTAAATCCACAGGACGATGCTTGGCAGAGTGGGGGAGGGGGAATTATTTAGAGTAACTTACAGGAAAAGCATGTCTAATCAAATTTAAAGTAAAACTTCTCAGGAAGTTACCAAAAGAAAACAGATACCTGCCAGGCAGGCTCTTAAGTGACTGTCTAAGCACAAATAAACACTGGCATTCCAACCCAAAGTGAAAACATTGCACTAAACAGACAGCATCTTGCTCTTAATCCCAAGTACACAAAAAGCTTAAATTCCAAGTCTGGAATAAAAAGGCAAAAATACTTTGTTTGCATGGTGTGGATGTATGTGCATATGCACACATGTCCAGGGATCCTTTTTTTCTTTAGCAGAAATGGGCAATAAACATAAATGTTCCTGTTTTATCATATCTCCAGGCTCAACTATTACTGTAGTCTTCAGAAGACTAAGCATCACTGATTCTCTCTAGGCTGTATGTAGTCTTGCATAGGCCACGATGAGGAATCTAAAACAAAAAGGCAGCAGCTCAATTATTTCTGTAGCTGAAAAACGTAGCTTTCTTAGCAGCTTATCTTACTTCCCTCTCCAAAGAAGAGTAAGTAATTAAAAACCTATGTAAGGCATAAGGGGTGAATGTAAAAAGTGAAGGAGTTGAGACTAGCCAATTTTTTTTTCTTCAACTAAACCAAAGGAACTGCCGAAGGGATTTCTGATTCTTGGCCCTCAGTCTGCTTCATAAACAAAGGTTAGGAAACAAAGTGGTTTGCTAAATAACTGACATCATTTCTGTCAGCCTAGAGTAGAGGATTTGAAAAACGCAACACAAGGAGGAAGAGTATACAGCATCCCAAAGGCTTAGCGCCGGGCATTCCAGGACACCTCTGAGCAGCCTCCTTCACGCCCAGACGTACTTCAATCTGTCAACAAGCAATACTTTGAAAACTGAAACACAAACCTTCCTAGTTCAGGCTGTGATGTGAAAAGAGCTTATACCCAAAAACCTTATTTCCACAAGCAGGCTAAAAAATGCCACTCTTGGGTCAATTCCCAGATACAAACCTAGAACGTTCAACATTACCTGATTCTGCTTGATCATAGCCAAAGAAACTCAGCAGCTTGAGGAGCAGCTTCTCTTCAATTTGCACCGTGAATCTCTGAGCCGTGACCATCAGGTGCTAGGGATAAAGGAATTCTCACTTACAGTGTGAAGCCCAGAAAAAACTCCCATTCAGTTTTCTGTGCCTTTGTAAGGCCCCAATGACAGGCTATGGATTCTTTACTCACGTAATTTTATAGTCATACTAGTGGCCTGTTGCACATTGAAAGGAAGTTAATGCACATTGAAAGGAAATTAATTAGAAGAAATATTTTAATATCGTTATTTGCCCTTTCTCTATAATAGAAGTGTCAACCAAATTCATGATCAACAATGACATATGAAAACACATGCGTGCAAGTGGAGCAAGTGAGAGCTTTATATATATAGACTAGAGGCCCGGTGCTCAAAGTTCGTGCACTGGGGTGGGGGCATCCCTCAGCCCAGCCCCCATCCTCTTGCAGTCCAGGAGCCCTCAGGGAATGTGTGACTGATGCTTAGGCTCCTTGCTCAGTCCCAATCTGAAGGATCCCAGGAGCAAGCTAACCTACTGGTTGAAGCATCTGCTTTCTGGTGGTCAGTGCACATCATAGCAACTGGTCGACCAGTTGACTGCTCCCTGGTAGTCAGTGCATGTTATAGAGAGCGGTTGAGTGGCCTTAGCATATCATTAGCATATTACACTTTGATTGGTTGAACAGACTGGACACTTAACATATTACGCTTTTATTATATAGGATAAACTTGCTTAATTAAACCTGTTTTCTGATTTAGCTAAACTTTTTCAACCCAGTGAAATATCCCAATTTCTCTTTCAGGTAATTGTCAACAACACAACAGTAAATATCAACATGAAGCAGATTATTATTGTAGATCACACAGGAGAACAAAGGATAAAATGTTTAACTGCAGCAGTGTTTGACTATATTCTGTGCAGTGAGAAAACCTGAAGTCATTTTCATGGTCCACCATTTTTTACTTCTTTTCAGTTGGGTCAAGTTTCTAAGTTTTCTAAATCTGTTTTCCAGCTAATGAAAAGAAAACAGGATTCCACCAATTCTCCTATCTACCTACTCCAGGATTTCTGTGAGGATCAAATGAGATGAGGCACGGGAAAAAGTTTCACAGACATTTGGTTACAGTGTGAAATGTTTGCACCTGGCTATAAAGCAAATCGTGTTCCTGAGCTGAAGAAACTGCAAGGAGGCTAGTCACTAGGGAGAGGAAGCTGGGAGCTGCCACATGATGTCATTACCTGGATGGACAGACACTTAGCATATTAGCCTTTTATATATATAGATTGCCAAAGTATTCTGGTTCATCTCTCTCTACATTGTTACAATTAGTCCCAAATTCCACCTCTTTAGATAATTCATCGCCCGATTGTTTTTTTCTGAGGGCACCTGGGCCTCATTAGTCAACATGACACTTTCAGATGCACTATGGTGGGTGAACTTCACAGTGCTGAGCTCACATGGCTGGCAGCTAGTTTAAGGAGCAGCAAATGTGGGCTTATGGATGTGAGGCTTGGCCTCATCACACCAGAGACAAAGGACCAGAACTATAGTAAGCAAACTCCTTGTCAGCTCCTACTCTCCCAGGACTTGCTGCCATATAGCCTGCTTATACATGCAGATTCTCCAGGAAAGAAAGTTTATCTCCGAATGGTCCACTTTTAGCAAACGGTGTGGTGGCTTCCATAGGAGGATGTCAGTCACAAGGTCAGACCCCTTCTGCCCCTTTTCCAATAGTATTCTGGATTACTCTATTTTAATAACACATCTGGATCATGCCTGGGTCCTGATCAGACTAGGAGACATTATGCTTTCCCACCAAGACTTCACACTCTGGCCCCCAATGGAGCCAGAGCTACCACGGACAAGGTCATCACACACACAATTGAAAACACAGTGCTAAGAGGAGTTCCTGTCAATTCCTTTCCACTATTTAATGAGCCACTGTGCCTTTGCCCCACAGGACTACCCTGTTTTCCCAAAAATAAGACAGTGTCTTATATTAATTTTTTTCTCCCAAAGTTGCCTTAGGTCTTATTTTCAGGGGGTGTCTTATCTTTCCATGCGCTAGGTCTTATTTTGGGAGGATGTCTTATTTTCGGGGAAACACGGTATTTCCATCCTCACCCTGCTCCGATGCTCAGACACTTGGCTGTGAGAGAACAAACCTGGCACAGCTCAACCCCAAGCCTACCTTGTAGATGTTGGTCAGCGCACTCTTACTGGGGAACTTCACCGCATTCACCTGCACAGCAGGGCCTGTCTCAATGACCTCATTCTCATTGCTCACGGGCGTCACATAGAGCATGAAGGGCTGAGTGGTACCAATGAGCTGATTGTCCACCTGGGACATGAAAAGGCAAAATCAACAAAAACAGCCAAGTGGTTCAGTTCTCATTTTTACCTTTGGGGTCTCACAATATGCAGGCCACTCAGGAAGGACCCTTGCCATTTGACTCTGTCTAAACAGCAGCTGTAAAAATATAGTCTCGCTGAAGACCCACAATAGCAGCATTTCAATCTTGGTGAAGGTTGGAGAGGAGGATGCCAGGAATGATGTCACAAAGAGAATTGTCTTGATGGCGTCACAACAAAACTGGCAAAAATTGTCAAAATCTAGTTTTTTTAGAACTCTGAAAGTTAAACGTTTGCAACTATCCAAGGATCATTTATTCGAGAAAATTAGTTAAAACTGGAAAAGAACAGAAGCTCTGTGGTATTTTCACTTGTCACTCCCCTCATCCTCTCCAGGTCCACAGTGGCCTCAGAAACCAACAGCCCTGCAGCCACAGTGAAAACACAGGGGCCTGGCAGCCCGAGGAGGGCCGTGCTGGGCTTGCAGCCCCCACCAAAGCTCCATTCCCAGAGAGTCATCCATTTGTGTACTTGTCTGGCACTTCTCCCTTTCCTGACATTGGTAATTGTGCCTTCTCTTTTTAGTCCTGGTCGCATTGATCTCAAAGAACCAATTTTTATTTGATTTTTTTCTTCTGTAGTTGCTGGTTCCTACTTCATTAATTTCTCCTGAGATCTTTATTATTTCCCTTCTTCTGCTTGTTTTGGGTTTGTTGTTGGTGATGTGTAGCAGCTTTAGCAGCATTCCACAAATTCTGATATGTTGTGTTTTCGTTCTCATTCAGTTCAAAATATTTTCTAATTTCTACTTTGATTTGCTCTTTGATCTATGGGTTATTTGGAAGTCTACTATTTAGTTTCCAAATATTTGGGGGATTTTCCTAACTCTTTTTCCATTATATCTACTTTGATTCCATTGTGATCAAAGAGCATACTGCGTGTGACTTGAATACTTTCTGAATTTTTTGAGAACCGTTTTATGGTCCAGAATGTGGTTCATCTTGGAAATGTTCGTGTGTGCTTGAGAAGAACATGTGTCCTGCTGTTGCTGGGTGGAGTGTTCTATAAATATCAATTAGGCCCAGTGGGTTGGTAGTGCTGTTCAAATCTAATATATCTTTCATGATTTTCTGCTTAGTTGTTCTACCAAACATTCAGAGTGGCAATGAAATCTTCTACTATAATTGTGTATGTCTATATTCTTTTCAGTTTTTTTGCTTTGTGTATTTTAAAGCTCTGTCTACATATTCAGGAATGTTATGCCCTCTTGATTAACTGTCTCTTTTATCATTAGGAAATTACCTTTCTAACGCCTGGTAAAGTTCTTTGCTCTGTAAGTTATTATGTCTGATGATAGCCAATCCCACTTTCTTAGGACAAGTGTTAGCCTGGTATATATTTTTCCATTCTTTTGTTTTGAACCATTTGTGTCTTTAATTTTAATGTGTGTTTTTTGTAGGAAGTATATAATTGGGTCGTGCTTTTTAATCTAATCTGATGAACTCTGTCTTTTAATTGGAGTAGTTTAGAGCATGTACATTGAATACAGCTAGGTTTGATGAGTCAACCATCTTCCTATTTGTCCCATCTGCTCTTTTCTGAGTTTTCCTCTTTTGTGTGCCTTTTCTTGGATTAATCAAGTACTTTTTATGATTCTATTGTATCTCTGTTATTAGATTATTAAGTGTAAGTTTTTTGGTAGTTGCTTTAAAGTTTGTGAAATTCATTTTCTATTTAAATTCACAGTTTCTGTTGCTACGTCTTCAAGTTCACTAATCTTTTGTTCTACAATGTGTCATCTGCTATTAATCAAATCCAGTGTATTTTTCATTTCATTTTAATCTGTAGAAGTTTAATTTGAGTTTTTTATATCTTCCATGTTTCTACTTAACTTTTTCAACATGTAGAATACAGTTATCATAATATAGTTTTAATGTCCTCTGAAAATCTGAACATCTGTGTTAGCTCTGGGTCCCTTTTGACTGATTATTCTGATTTTATATTGTGTTTTCCTGCCCCTTTGCACACCTGATACTTTTTGATAGGATGCCAGATATTGTGAATTTTACTTTGGCTGCTGAATATTTTTGTTTTCCATTAAATCTTGAGCTTTGTTCGGGATGCAGTTAAGTTACTTGGAAACAAATCTATCCTTTCAGACCTTCCTTTTATGATTTGTTAGGCAGGTCTGGAGCAGTGCTCAGCCTAGGAGGCAAGACTTGCTGGAGGACTCCTCCCAACACCCAGTCTGGCTGGGAGGAAGAAGCGCCATCTCCAACACTGGCGAGCAGCAGGTGCTAGCTCTGAGATCCTTTCGGATGGTTCGGATGGCAGTTTCCTCACACACATCACTGATCTGTCCTCTGCTGAATACTCAGAGGGCCCCTCTGTAGAGCTCCCATGTTTTCTTTCTGTGAAGCACGTTCCTCCCAGGTGTGCTGTCCTCTGAACTCTAGCTGCCTCAGTGCTAGGACTCCAGCTCTGTTTGTTCAACTCATCCACTCTAGTTCCCCCTCCCCTCCCAGTGCCATGGCCAGGAAACTTTCTCAGTAAGCTGAGCAACGCCAGGGCTCACCTCTTTGGTTTCCCACCTCTCACACTGCTGCCTAATGTCCAGTATCTTGGACCTGTTGTCTTCGTTTTGTCTGGATTTGGGGGTCGATTCATGTAGGAGAGTAAATCTGGTTCCTGTCACTACATGCTGGCTAGAAGCACAAGCCCAGTTCCTTGTCTTTTCTTCCTATGATGAACTTCAGTTCCTCTGAGTGATGGTTAGGTGATTTCCTGTTGGTTTCTAATATTGGCAAGATGGGGAACCCTGGGTTCCTCTATGCCACATTGACTAAGTTATCTCAGTTACTATTAGACTAGCTGCTATATTCAGAATTCTGCTATATACAAACATTGACACAAATGTAGGTAGAAACAATTGCTTTCATAGAATGACTTTTTGAAGGCCACAAAAAGGTAATTTGCCAAACCACTAAAGTTTTTAGAACGCCAAACACTGGATCTGGTTGGGTATTCAGCAAGAACACAAGGAGATTAACAATTTCTAAACTGCCCTGCCCCTTACCTGCACATCCTGTATGCTGAGCTCAAGCATATGGCTGGTTGCCAACTGTGTATAGTGCACATTGATTCCTGTAAGACTTGCAAAGACCAGCTCTTCGGGCATTTTATTAATTAAGGACAGCCCAATTCCACCTTCTAACTTCACAAGCACCTGAAAGGAAATCAAAATATGGCATACTGACAGCTTAAAACAGAGGGATTTCACCCTAAGCAGATAAAAACCATTTACTTAGTCATATTATTCACCTCGATGACTTTAAGTTCCATCACCTCCCTACCCACCCAGAACTCTAGTCTGATATGATAATATCTCTATCAGAATATTGATGACATTACGTATTTATTATAAGGGAATCGTTATTTACAATATTTCTCCCTATTTGAGATGCAAGCTCTTTATAAGTTATTCACTGAACTAGCATAACATCCAATAGAGTGCTTTACACATAGATATTTGATTTTTAAAGAACACTGAAAAAAGTGTGCTTTTTCATGTTCATCTCATGCTCCTTTTCAAATTTTACAGAGAGAGGGGAAGAGAGATGTCAGAATCAACTGGGGGAAACTAAAAGCACCTTCATTCCTGTCTAAATCAAGTAGTTTAGCTTTGTTTACTATCATCTTAATTTAGCAACATTTGTCACATACTCACACATTCATGTTGTGATAACATTAAACACTGAAGCTACACCTATATTTAGGGTTCACAGAGGCAGAAAGAAAAGAGGAGGCCTAAATTGAGAACACCCGGAGCAAAATTCTAACCAAATTTAGGATAAAGAAATGAATTTGCAATACTTAACACTTACTTCTAATTCCTGCTCTGTGCCTGGATTCTTTAATTTCTGTAGCTCTTGCTCAGTAATAGGAAGTTCATCCACTTCATATGATGAACGGTCACTTTTCCGTTGAGAGAAATCCGTTATCTGAGGTCAAATAAAACAGTGTACTAAGAGGGCTTATATTCATACAGCGAAACCCATTCCATATAGATTGTATCAGTCAAAACTCACTGTATGGTCAATAATCCTGTGGAAGTTAATGGTTTCTAAAGCACTGCTAAGGTAAGATTTATGTAACAGTGAAACAAACTTGTTCCCAGTCTACATGGCAAAGGCCAAGCTACATGTAGACCTGAAACCCTCTTCTAGTGGGGCTGGCATGTGTAGGAGATCTAGAATTACAGCTCAAGTCAAAATACACAAACTTCAATTCAGCTTTGTCTAAAATGAGGATGTTTTTTAAAAAGGTCCTATGGATTATGATGCATTATCTTCAGTTCTTATACTAGTACTTTATTTTTTATATCCTCTTATATTTACTTATACTTTAATTCTTCTAACAACTTGGTGAGGTTGGTCTTATCCTCACCTTATAAATGAAGACACTGTATCTTTATAAATATTTGTTGAATGGCTAACCATTGAGGGGATGGTTACTAGGATTCTTTCATGTCAGTTTTTAAGATGAAACTATCACCTGTAGTGCTCTAGTCGGTCCATCTGGGATGACTCTGATAGATAACATTCCAGAACCAGGCCTCAGTTTTTGGTTAATAAACTGTTGTTCAGGTGGAACTGGCCCCAAAATCTCCATGGAAGTGTCAGGACCAAGAACGACCTCAGCTCCATCAAACAAACCAGAAAGTCCTCCTTTGGCCTAAAAGACACAGTAAAGATGTGTAAGAAAAGACAAAAGTAAAGGCATTGACTTTGACAATTTAACAAGTCATTTGAAACAAGTTATCAAATTTAAATCTTCTTTTGAAGGGTCACGGTTAATGTACAGTAAAACATTACCTATTTTTTTTTAACATTATAGATTATGTAAAACAGTAGAATTATTTAGGCAAAATGAAAAGTTATTCTCTATGAATTTAGGGAATTCTGAGTAAGGGACTTCCCTGAATAGAGTATTTTGGTTTACTAATGACTGCTAATCATTAAAAACAGCTTTTTAAAAAAATACTAAAGGCCTTGTTTCTCTGAATAGTCTCATTAGGGTTGTTTAAAAACCTGAAACAATCTGAAAATAAAGCAATTATCACTATCATTCAGCTTTCCAACAAGAAGCACATTCTAGAGTTGAAAACCTCCCCAAACAGGCCTATGATTGAACAATCAATCCAAAGAGTCAAAAGATGGGCCTCTTCTGAAACAGGAGGCTGGGAATATCGTCTGATCCTCGGATACTCAGGCTTTTGCAGAAAAGGACTGTACCTCCTGCTATATGCTCCAAGTAAAACGGAAGTCTACAGGATGATGCCTATGGCAGAGCAAATACAGGGCTAGAGAAGACAATGGCTAGTCTCTATATCCCCTTTGTTAAATATTTAAATACTGAGCAATGAAAAGGATACTTTGAATTGGATTTATAAGACAGATTTTAACATGGAGAAAGCTTTCATGACTGTTGTAAATTTAGAAAGAAAGTCATACACAACTTTATAAAGGCAGTGTCATAAAACATTAAAATGCCTATAATAAACTTTATTCTGAATAATATGATTGAAACAAGCTAATTCCCTACTCAAAACACATTCTGCTCAGCTGAACACTGTTATTACAGGGTCATTCACAACAGGAGAAATGATACCATAGATTCAAGAAACAACAACATCCGGCCAGTGTGGCTCAATAGTTAAGCATTGACCTATGAACCAGGAGGTCATGGTACAATTCTTGGTCAGGGTACATGCTCAGGTTTGCAGGATCAATGATTCTCTCTCATCATTGATGTTTCTATCTCTCGCTCCCTCTCCCTTCCTTTCTAAAATCAATAAAAAGATATTTCTTAAAAAGAAACAACACACACCAAAAGGGATTTTTTTGGAGGGAAATGCTCTAAGAAAATCAGAATTTCATCGGCTTTAGAAGCAAGCCAGAAGTAAATTCAGGATCAGACTCAGAACCCAACAATTATAACAAGCCCCCTTTTGCCTCTAGAAGTCTGGATTGTATTGCTAATTGAAAATCACAAATCCATTCCAGATGTGTGCTTCCTATAAGTAAGCAGCTTGTCTTTGATGAAAAAAGCTAAGGGCAATAGAGATAAAGAAAATAAGTCTCACCAAATAGCGCTCAGAGGCGCCTTGCAGTTTTGCTCACTACCCCAGAGAACAACCTTCCATTCTGAAGGACAGCCTGGTTTCCACCAGCAAACCTCAGAGTTCTCAGCCAGGGCCTGATGTTTTCGTTTGCCTCTTGAGTAAAACCCCAGGCAGAGGCAGATCTGCATGCACAGTCACACATGTTCTGCTAATGCCCAAAACCCCAGACACCTTCCTGTCTCAGATCCATGGTCTCATTGAAGCCTGGAGCCCAAGGGAAGAAAATTCAAACTCCTGGTCATTTTCCAAATGCATTTGCTTATAAAGCACTTGTGAGTTCATCACGGGCACACTGGCTGACTAGGGGACAGGGGAAACTGACCACAGAAGTCTTCACCCTGACTTTTTCTACAACAATTAAATGCTATTTGGGCATCCCTAAGAATGTAGAAATAAACAGAATCAAGAGCCGATGATGGCTACTCACCATCTCTGCGAACACTTTACCAAGGACTCTTGCAACTATTATATTAGCTTCACAGGCCTCAAACCAACCCATCTCACTTAGTGGTGGGCTTTTTCAATAGGCATTTTTCTTTCCTTCTTCTTAAAATTATGTAAGTAACTGATGTCAAAAAAATCCAACTAAGCCAACAAAAAAGAAATCCCATCATCCTGGAGGTAACCATTCCTAATATATTTCTTATATATCACCTTCAAGAACATTGCCCATATAAATGCACAAAGGTGCACAACAAATGTTTCCTGACTTTCCTGATAAAATGAGATGATACACGCCAAAACCGGTTTGGCTCAGTGGATAGAGCATTGGCATGCAGACTGAAAGGTCCCGGGTTCAATTCCAGTCAGGGGCATGTACCTTGGTTGTGGGCACATCCCCAGTGGGGGGTGTGCAAGAGGCAGCTGATCGATGATTCTCTCTCATCGACGTTTCTAACTCTCTATCCCTCTCTCTTCCTCTCTGTAAAATATCAATAAAACATATTTTTTTAAAAATGAGATGATCCATATTGGCTCTGTAATTAGTTCTCTCCATTGAACATGTCATGTATCTCCTCATTGAGACCTTGTTTCAAAGAAGCCTGAACCACTGCTCCTTGCCACCCAGGATGCCAAAACCTACAGACCTGGACCACCAGCCCGTGCAGCCCGCAGGTCAGCTTTCCTTCGCGGAAACTCCAGGTCTGGGTAGTGCTTCTCCTGCGATCGGGCTTCCTGAGCATCAGCGGCTCATACCTGGGATGAAGGGAAATGCAGTGAGTCCTCTGAGTCGCACAGTTCAGGCTCAAGGGAATACTAGCACCACGGTTTTATTTTTCATCCTTCCAACACCCTCTCCCTTAAAATCTAATGGGCAGTTAGCTTAGACCCTATGGCAGCTGGTATCTCTTAATGTGGAAAGGGGAATAAAACAAAATGGAAAGCAACAAAAAGGGACGTGGAGTAACAATAGTACTTTATGGATTCATTGTATATGTATATATTTATATAAAATATTTACCATTTACATATACAACAATATAGGTTCTTGCACTCTCACAAGGACTAGCTATCATGCAGTATGAGAAGGGTTGTCAAACACATTTTAAAATAGTTTCAGAAGTCTTTGTTCTGTTTTATTTCCTAACACATTTATTTATAGTGGGTTTTAACTTATAAGTCATCTAAAGTTGTTCTGGAAGTAAATAAGGTATTGCCTGAAAATAAATACACTGACTTCACAGAAACACTGAGGCACAGCAAATAAGGGAATTTAGTCAAAGCTAAAGAGCTGATTTGAACCCAAGGAGTTAGCCACAACTCCTTGATTGTTCTCTAAATAATTTATTTCTGCTTTCAAGAGATTTAGCATAATTTTTAAAAAGATTTTTAAAAAGAAACTGTTCACTTCTAGGGGGTAATGGTGAATGGAAGTTTGGGTGAAAGAAACATTCACTTTTTATAATATGTCCTTATTGTTTAAATTTTAAATATCCCCATAGCTTAAAAAAATAAAATAAAGGCCCAATGCTCACATTTGGAAACATATGAGGTTTCTGTCACTGAGGAAAACAACAAAGCGAGTGTCCTTCATTTACAGACTCGCTTTTTGATATAGCACTCCTCTGAACAATGTTGAAAGCAATGAACTTGAATCAATATTACCTGTTGTCAGTTACGGCAGCCAGCCCAGCAATATCTAAGATGGCAGAGCCCTCGGTGGAGCGGGCTGCAGACGGCTTATTGGGGTTGTGAGGCACCGACGAGCCCTCATGGGCCAGCATGCCAGTCCCGGTCATCCTCCACAGCTGAGAACGCTTCCCTGGCTCCTGTGGGCAAACCAGAAAGAACGGTCATGTGCAGCCACAGCTCTGTGTAAGGGAGACGTTCTCAAGTAGGAACTACACTGAAAGACATTTCCACTTCACATAAAGGCTTAAATTCAACTTTCATAGTTTTAATTTCTAGTTGAACTTAGGATGAGTCTGGCTACACTCTTGAGCCAAACAACCAAAAATTACAAATAATGTAAATTAAAAAAATATTATCTGAGCAAACTTGTCAGGTGAAGTTCAATCTAATCACCTCAACTGGCAATACTGCTGATTTAACTGCTCTTCCAAATGATGACTCTTGGGTGCCCTTACCTTAAAGAGTGATCCAATTATATAAAGTACTAGTGGCCTGGTGCACGAATTTGTGCACATTGAAAGAAAATTAATTAGAAGAAATATTTTAATATCACTATTCGTCCTTTCTCTATAACAGAAGTGTCAAACAAATTCATGATACACAATGACAGATTGAAACACACGCATACAAGTGGCAACAGCTAGAGCTTTATATGTATCATGCATGCACAAGTCAACTTAGCCTTTTATATATACAGAATAAACTTGCTTAATTAGACCTGTTTTCTGATTTATCTAAACTTTTTCCAGCCCAGTGAAACACCCCAACTTCTCTTTCCGGTAATTGTCAACAACACAGCAGTAAATATCAACATGAAGCAGATTATTATTGTAGATCACACAAGGATAACAAAGGGTAAAACATTTAACTGCAGCAGTGTTTGACTACATTCTGTGCAGTGAGAAAACCTGAAGTCATTTTCAAGGTCCACCATTTCTTACTTCTTTTTAGTCAAGTTTCTAAGCTTTCTAAATCTCCATTTTCTGGCTAATGAAAAGAAAATAGGATTCCATCGAATCTCCTATCTATCTACTCCAGGACTTCTGTGAGAATCAAAAGAGATGAGGCACAGGAAAACGCTTCACAGACATTTGGTTAGTGTGAAATGTTTGCACCTGGCTATAAAGCAAATTGTGTTCCTGAGCTGAAGAAACTGCAATGAGGCTAGTCGCTAGGGAGAGGAAGCCGATTATTGCTATGTGACATCATTACCCGGTGCCCACAGCCACCATTTCTGGGTTGGGCTGGGCTATGGGCCACATTTTGTGCCATGGGGTCTTAGCAGCATCAGCTAAGGTGTGGTGGCGGGGCCCCGTGTCCCACTTGGGGGAAGGCGAGGGTTGATCTGTGAGCCCCAGATCTGCGGTGCCATTTCTCTGTAAATGGCCAGTGCGTGTCATAGCAGCTCCTGCATTATCATCTGCCCCCAGGTGGTCAGTGCATGTCATAGTGACCGATCAGATAGTCGGATACTTAGCATATTAACCTTTGATATCTATATCTATATATCTATATCTATATATAACGTGATATTTTTAATATGTGATCATTGATAATCTCATAATTGGCTGACAATCAGAATTTACCAGAAATCATCTTCCCTCCCATGTTTATAATGAAAGTATACTATATTAATAGTTTCCAATTTATAAACTGATTGTATTCAAAAGTCATAGTAAGTTGATTACTGTTAGTTATAAATATTTTCTCCTTGGAAATTTTGGGGGTTTTTATTTTTCCATCAATTTTTATACAGTGGAAGAGGAAGGGAGTGGGAGAAAGCAAGAGAGAAGGAGAAACATCAATTGGTTGCTTCCTGTACATCCTAGACCGGGGATCGATCCTGTAACCTAAGTATGTGCCCTGGCCAGGAATCGAACCCACAACCTTTCAGTGCATGGGACGATGTCCAACCGAGCCACACCAGCCAGGGCAAGCTCCCTTCTCTTAATATATATATATATATATATATATATATATATATATATATATATATGTTTTATTAATTTTTTTAATTGATTTTTTACAGAGAGGAAGAGAGGGATAGAGAGTTAGAAACATCGATGAGAGAGAATCATCGATCAGCTGCCTCTTGCACACCCCATACCGGGGACATGCCCGCAACCAACATACATGCCCTTGACCGGAATCGAACCTGGGACCCTTCAGTCCACAGATTGACACTCTACCACTGAGCCAAACCGGTTTTGACTAAGCTCCCTTCTCTTAAAGTGACTTCTGCAACTCTGTGTCCTGAAACTTCTTTTATTTTGAAGGTTGAACTATTTATTATCAGTTCTTCTGTCATTTGTAATATTTCTAGCCAAATTTTACTTTCTTTATATATATAGGTCTATTAGCATAAACATTTCCCTAAACGGACTTAAAAATAATGTCAGCATAAAAATGGGGGAAATTGTTAGTTTGATTATTTTTGCATTCCCTTTAGGAATATGTAGATTAGGGGAGTACTACAACAGAAAAATAGAGTAATGAAAATGATATCACAGATTTGAAAAAAACAGAATTAAGTTTTCCAAAAAGGGCATCAAAGATGGGAAGGGCGTGGGACTCCTAGCACAGTGTCATGGGACAGTGGGAAGAAATAAACCAGATCAAGGCTCTGTGTTCTTGCCTTGAGCAAGTCACTCAGTCCAAGTCTCCACTTCCTCGGCTGTAAAATGAGGGGTTGGACCAATAGAACCAGTTTCTTCCGGCGTTAAAAATCTTTCATTCTAAACTCCAAATTCTGAGTTCTTACCTTCTTCTTTAAAATGACTCTTTGTGTCTTTGGCGAGACATCTAAGACAAGCTCTGCACAGGTAACGGCCTTGTTGGAAGCCACAGGCCTTCCTGTTCCCTCCTGTAAACTAGAATTTTAAAAAATTATAATATATAACTCACACATATATATATATACTCACACATGTATTTAAGTACTCATAAGCAAATGCCTAAAACGTCATTATAAGAAAGAGAATTCTCTTTAAATCACGGAAGAAAAAGTCTGACTTGAGTTGCAGAAAGATTAAGGTTGTGTTGTTTTCCTGTACAACTGAAGATTCACTTGTCAGGAGACACACTCTGACATTTCCCCTCTCCTAATAATTTTAGAGGCTTAGGATTTAGGGTAACTATGTATCTGTGGAGGCCAAAAAATAAAAAATTAAGCCCAACATTCCAAGGGTTGGAGAATGAGCTCTATCCCTTGCCAGGCAGCACACCAGCATCATAGCGTCCCCAAGTCCGGACAAGAAGTCAGAAGTCCCTCTGGGAGGAATCTAACGTGCTCCAAAAGATGGTTCAGCCCCTTAGCACAAGATCCTCTTTTCATTGGCCACGTAGCTGTTTAGCCCATAGTCCTCCATTAGGATTTGTCAGTGAAAGAGCTTAGTCACTGCTGGAACTTAGCATAAGAACATTAAGGGGAAAACATGATTAGCAACCAAATTAAGAACTGGTTTTTCAGGCACTAAAACCCTAAGCATGTCACACTGTTAAGTGTCTTAACCTTTAAAGAGAAACAAACAAACATGACTGACTCAACTATAACGAGATAAGCATCTTGGACCTTAGTACCAAAGAGAACTGCAACCAACAAAGAAAAGTATGCTAAGCCAAGATGTCCTTCAGTCAGTCCATTCCCACTGACATGTGGGCTCTAGAAGGAAGACCTGGAGATTACTTTATGAGCCTCAGGCACATGCATAAATAGGCAAAATTATTCACATTTCGGAAAGGATTATGACTTTACATGTCCCATTGATCCAATGGTGTATATTTGCAATGCTAAAGATTCAGCAAGATTTTCCCAGTTTCTTCACAGACAAACTTTAAAATTGGCCCTGAAACCAGCACAGCAACAATGAAATTTACAGGTTGGTGCAATGATGTTTTGAAAGCCCAATGTTTGAATCTCTATGTGCCAATCTACGTACCAATCTAACAGGAGAATTAGAATAAACTTACTGTTCTTCACCCGAGTTTTCGAAATACAACTAGTCAGGTGTCAGTGATTATAATCCTAAGGCAATTAGAACTACTTCCAAGGTAAGCTACTGTGCTTGGCTTTAGTGAATATGAAGATAGACCCTGAAGTGTCTGTCTAATCAGTATTCTACTGGGAGAGGGAGGTAAAAATGATAATTTGAATAATTATGATGAAAATTAGTCAGTTTCAAAAGAGGAATGAAATAAAACAAACTTAAAAATAGCAGCAATGTTTTAAAAATACATAAAAATAATATCTAGAAGAGGAATTTAGGATACTGTAAGAATTACATCTTAGGAGTTATTAAATACTAGGATGAATTATTGGGGAGATCTTTAGAAAGAAAAGACTCTTGTCTCTTTGAATAAAGTTTAATCTAGGCAGAAGACAAGGGTTTAGACTAAAGACTTCTCAAGATCTCAAGACAGATCTTGAGCCTAGGATTTGGCAAAGAATGAAAGGAATCTTCCTTTATCCTTCAGCCTCCTGAGAACTGCTTAGAGTTTAAAACCAGTTAATAATCAGAGTGTTCTGCTTTATAAGGATAACACTTTAACCCCGAATTACCCGGAGAACGTGTATGTAGCAGCAATGTAAATGAAATTTTCATAATAAAGCTGTCGGTTATCCTGGAAATCATTCATGTTGCAATTGATCTCAGAGGAGCCTGCCCCTTTAACGGTCAGAGTGATAAACGGTGGCAAGGCGGGTTCATCCCAAGCGTAATCCAAGGAGGACATGGGCTTCACTTCAGTCCGTAGCCGGGGCTCAGCTACACCGAGCTGAGTGAAGACAACCGGGACCTACAGTGGTGGCAAGAGGAACAGGGCTTTCACTCAGATTGGTGTTACTGGAACATGACTTAGCACTTCCTAGTTTAAGTTCCAGATCCTTCCCAAATGAATCCTACTATACACACCACAAGTGACGTTCACCATCTTGCCCTTGACTTTCTAACCATCTTCCAAATTATAAAAAGCCCACCAATTAAATGACACTGGTAATCGCCTGTTGGACAAAGAGCTTTAAGAAGTTTTGCAACCCAAGTACCAAGGGAAGCAATTCTGCTCTTTCAGTGGCATCTCTGAAAGCCACATTATAAGACACTGTTATTCAAAGGCATAATTTAAAAATAGAACCTAATGGTTTCCAGTTTGGCTATATTGGTTAAGATTTATAAAAATGCTCACTGCAACTGAGCAACGTCATTGTCATTGGACGATCTGACTCATCGTCCACTATCATTGGATAATCTCACTCAGGCTCCTCTCTCCGTGTGGAATGTCCACAGGGCCACCACGTTGACCAAACAATCTAGTCACATAAGCACTGGTGACTGACAAGTCACTTCTGGGTATGGCTGCCCAGCCAGCAAAATAACCAGCAGAAACCACCTCTTAAGGGTGAGGACTTATATGGTTGTCCAGCCACAGAGATTCCTGTGTGGCTTCTTTTAAACCCAAGTTTAAATGCATTTCATTATCTTAAGGGCCCTCCTCAAATGAAACAGCCAAAATGGCTCTCAAGTCCACTTGATACCTTAGAAAAGTTGTCAATTCGGAAAGGAGGGGGCAGCTGATCTGTGTCGCTAAAGGAGATCCTGTAGGTAGCTCCTCGGAGTGTAATTTCCACGCGCAGGAAGAAGCATTTTCCCAAGGTATCTCTGCAGAAAAAGGGAACAAAAGAGGCTGCATAAAATGGAGAAAACAAGTCACAGTTCACTTTCCTCTCATGCTTCTCACAATCACCATACTGCTTGGACACTAATCAGTGCTGCTGTCTTGTTCTTTGATCACGTTAAAAAAGTAGGAAATAACAGCATAATCACACAATAAAAAAGAATCTACTCAAGCAATGTTTGACTAGCATGTTATAACTGGGCAGCAAGAGGATAATGGTGTCATGTGTAGCAAATGAGTAAATGGTGGTTAAATAGAATTGTTGATACTAGAGTACTTTTGACATGGACACAGAGCAATTGCATATGGTTCAAACTGACATTATTGATGTTACTGATAACCAGGGTTCTCACTATAGGACAAAGGCAGGTGAGGAAGAATCCTATGTAATGGAGGTACCAGTATGTGATCATAATTTTTATGTATTTGTATGTGAGAATGAAAAACTGTTCTTTACAGAAGACTATCAGTTAATAAATGTCAAAGAAATGAGAGAATTAGACCTGGAGATCCAGCCACAACCTAGCAGGTGCCTGCCTGGGAATCCAACCACTGAGCGCTGCTGGAGTACATACTTACTTTTAACCACACAAAAGTGTCTACCAAGTAAAAACAGGCCCCACTCTGGCGATGGAGCCCAAAATCCAGGCATGTATCCTGACTTAGAATTGAATCATGACTTCCTGGTTCATAGGTTGATGCTCAACCACTGAACTCAACCCAAGCCAGGCTCAATTTAATTTTGTGCTATTTTCAAAGAGTTTTCAACCACTCTGGGTGATGTCAAGGATACATTTCACTAAAACAGTAATTATACTTTTGTGCCTTTGCCTGGCCTACAGAAAAACAACATATATGATGTAAAGGAAATTGGACAACAATATTAGTAATCGGAAGATGGCGGAAGAAATGAGAGAATTAAAAAGTCACCATTTTGCAACCACCAATGTAATAATTGATTCCGATAAGAACCATCAAACCATGGAGTGAAAGGTTTTTAGGAAACAATATACACACAGTCTCAAATTATCCACTGATCGATTTTCTTGTCACAAAGAAGAAAAGGTAACTCTGTAAGAAAAACCTGTTAGACAAGGTTTTTCTTAACCAAGCAATGATCCAATTTAGCAACATCAATAATGGGACAACAGCTGTCACATCCCAGGCCTCCAGGTGTGACGCAACAGTAAACATACAATACCACATATGTAGTATTCTTACCACAAAGGTGTTACCCAAATCTATATTAGGAAACTATCAGGAAAATCCAGGAAATAGAACATTCTACAAGAAACTGGCTTGAACGCTTTAAAAATGTCAATGTCAATAAAGACAAAAAAGGAAAAGTGACGATTTAGATTAAAGGAGATGAACTATATGGGTCAAATAAAATGCATGATCCTTGACTGAATCCTAGATCAGGAGGACGGGATTGCTATGGAAGACATTTTAAAGAACTATTTATTAGAAAACAAATCAATATTAAATTTATTCAGTGTGTAATATTAGTATATTTATTTAGAAAAACGTCCTTGTCTTTAGGTGATGAGTAAAGTTTTTACGGCTGAATTACCATGATGATTTCAATTTACTTTCAAATGGTTCAGAAGAAAAAAAAAAAAGTATGTATGTGTATGGAGAGAAATCAAGAACATAGCAAAATGATGAAATGTAATAAATCTAGGAAAAAGATGTAGAGATCTTCAGTGTACAACTCGTAAGTTCTCTGTAGGTTGAAGCTGTTTCCAAATGACATGATGGGAAAAGGAGAGAAGACAGATGGCATACGTCTATGACCAATACTTCAGGGCGACATTTCAAATGGGTTAACAAGGGTAGAGAGTCATTTTCTCTCCCCCCACCCCCACCTGGTAATTACTTTCCTTCTTTTTTTTTTTAAAGTAATCATGAGTAGCTGTTTTATATAATTTTAAACTGGCTTCCCCTTCTAACACAATAGATCTGGACAGCCTCCTCCTAGGAGGCATATACCCCAACAGTGGCTTTAGCTGCAGAACTCTTCCTCTTCCCCCATCCCTCTGCAGACCCCAGTGAAATCTTTTGAGAAACACATGATATTGACAGCCAAGAGTTCTGATTGAAGAAGGGATGAGGGCACTGAAGACCTGCCCACTTGACTCCCTAGGCCTCTAAAGTCACCACCTTAGATCCCCCAACTACTCTTAGGAACACAGCCTAAAAACCACTATAGCAGATGTAATTAGTTCTACTAAGGGCTATTGACAAAATGAAAGAAAATAAGAGCTAGCTCGCTCTCTCTCTCTCTCTCTCTCTCTCTCTCTCTCTCTCTCTCTCCTGTGCCTTTCCTCTCTAGCTCATGTGCCCCCTCCCCCATCTCTCTGGAGCACTCCAGCATCTTTCCCCTTCTCTTCCTCTCCTAAGATCCAAGGGCCCCTTCTTTTGCCTCTGTAACTTGTTTTCCAAGCCCACACAGCCCATCCGGCTAAGTTTTTCTAACTCTGTGACTTTCTAAATCAACTTCCACTTCTATGAGTGGGAGGGAGGAGGTAGGGGAGCGGAATGAAAGAAAATAAAATCTCACATAATGCATTTTTTAAAAGTCAACTATAGGTACTGCTGTATATCATTATTATTTTTCTGTTCCCTTACAATAGTGTTCTCAATGAAGAACAAGCCATAACTATAAAAGATTAAATTTTGCCTCTAAATGTGCTGAAATAGCACTGATTTCACTGACTTTAGCTTCGAAGTATTTGATGAAAGAAACTGAAGAGGACACAAACAAATGGAAAGGCATCCATGGTCATGGATCAGAAGACTTAATATTGTTAAAAGATCAATGCTACCCAAAGTGATTTACAGATTTAATGCAATTCCTATCAAAATCCCAAGTTTCTCCCACTTCCCAAAACAAAACAAAAAATTCATCCTAAAATTCAGATGGAATCCCAAGGGACTCAAAATAGCCAAAATAATCTTGAAAAAGGCAAAGTTGGAGGTCTCACACTTCCTGATTTCAAAACTTATTATAAAGCTACTAATCAAAACAGTGTGATACTGGCATAAAGACAGACATATGGACGAATGAGACAGAAAGCCATAAAATAAATCCTCACATACAGAGTCAAATAATTTTAGACAATGGTGCCAAGACCATCCCATGGAGAGTCTTTTCAACAAATTTTGAGATAACTATCATAGATAGCCAGAAACAAAAAAGTAGAGTTGAACTTTTACCTTATACTATCTATATATAGAAAAGGCTAATATGGAAAGTGTCCCCTCGGGAGTTCAACTGGAAGATCAGGAGTTCAATCGCTCACTATGACATGCACTGACTACCAGGGGGTGGTGTGGAACGAAGGAAGGCCCCGGCCAGCAGCAGGGGAAGGGAGGCCCTGGTCAGAAGCTCATCACCAGGGAAGAGAGGCCTGGTTGGCAGCAAGCAGCCGGGGAAAGGAGACCACAGCTGGCAGTCAGAAGGCCCCGATCAGCCCTGATTGCCAGCCAGGCCTAGGGATCCTACCCATGCAATAAATTTCATGCACCAGGCCTCTAGTGTACAAATATCAATGCAAAATGGATCAAAGACCTAAGTAGGCTAAAATTATAAAGTACTCAGAAGAAAACACAGGGTAAATCTTCATGACATTAAATTTGGCAATGATTTATTGGCTATAAAATAAATAAAAGCAGAAATAATAAAAGTTAAAATAGATAATTTGGACTACATCAAAATTAAAAACTTCTAAACTAAAATAATCAACCGAGTAAAAAGGCACTGTAAGAAATCGGTAAAAATATATACAAATCATATCTCAAAAGGTTTATATAACTTTTATACAAAATATACAGAAGATTTCTATAACTCAACAACAAAAGAACAAACAACCTAATTCAAAAATGGGAAGTACAAATGGCCAGCAAGCACATGAAAAGAAGTTTAACATCACTAATCTTTAGGGAAATGTGAATCAAAACCACAGTGGGCTGTGATCTCACCCATCAGGTTGACTACTATCAAAAAAGCAGAAAGTAACAAGTGCTAGCAAAGATGTGGAGAAATTGGAACCTCTGTGCACAGCTGGCTGAAATGTAAAATGGTGGAGCTGCTATAGAAACCACTATGGCAATTCCTCAAAGAAATAAAATTGGAATGACCACATAAAACAATAATTCCACTTCCAAGTATAGACCCAAAAAAATCAAAAGCAGGGACTCCAAAGAGATATTTATACCCCCATGTTCAGAGCAACACTATTCACAACAGCCAAAAGGTAGACGCAGCCCAAGTTTCCTTCAACAAATCAATGGAGAAGCAAAATGTGCTATATCCATACAATGGAATATTATTCAGTTTAAAGAGGAAGGAAATTCTGACACGTGGTAATGCAGATGGACCTTGAGAACATTATGCTAAGTGAAATAAGCCAGTCACAAAAAGACAAATACTGTATGCTTCCACCTATCTGAGATACCTAGGGTAGTCAAATTCAGAAAAAGCAGAGCAAGGGCTGGAAAAGGGGGAAATGAGGAGTTGTTGTTTGATGGGTACAGAGTTTCAGTTTTGCACGATAAAAAGAGTTTGGAGATTGGTTGCACAACAATATGAATATACTTAACACTAGTGAGCTTAAAAATGATTAAAGTGGTAAATTTATGTACCTGAAGCCCACAAAACCATCTTGGGGTCTTTGTGTTATCTTTCTCACGTGGTATGTGTATCTTACCACTATTTTTAAAAAACCCACAACTTTTAATACTTAAAAAAAAAAAAAAAAAAAAAAAAAAAGCATTTGATGAACGCAGAAGGAAGAGAGTCATCCTGGGCTAGCTGAGGCTAAATCTGGTTGATTTTTCTTACCAAGGACTTGAATGTCACTGGGTTTGGCAAAGAAGGGCAGATAATTACTGAAGCAGCATCAAACGAGAGAAGATTTGGTATTTTTATCAAATCTTCTCTCATTTACATTTATAATCAGTGTTAATGTCTAAATGCAGAGTTTTCAAACATGCTACCCCTTCAACTTGACACCTGAGACCACAGCAGTTGCACAATGGTCACAACTGCCAACATTCCCTTTAACTCAGCCTATCAAACAGTTCATTCATACATACCTGGTCTTTGCTAGTTTTAAGAACTTTGTCTGAGCCAGAAACATGTGTGTCCATTTCATGAAGAGTAGTATTACTATTTACTACTTACTATTTATAGCTTTATAAGTATTTAAAATTTATATGGTATTTATAGCTTACTATTTAATGCACCTCAAACAAAGCTACTTTTTGTCTCAATGTAGTCTCTGAACTTACCTCATGTTGATGTGGAAAGAATTATTCTTGTTGACCTCAAAGCCTCCAGACCAAATACAATTGGGAACATCCATTAATCTGACACACAACAACTGATCATAGTCATTCCGAGGCCAATGGAACACCACACTGGAACCAGGAAGGGTAGAAATGTAACCTTCGGGATTGGCTGTTCCCTAAAACACACAGAATCACTGGCTTTGGTCAACAAGTCAAGACAGTAAATGTTTACTAAGTACCTTCTCTGAGCCTGGCCCTCTGCCAGGAGCTATTTAGGGCAGGAAATGGTTACTCACATCACAGAACTTAGGGCGTTGCAGTGGAGATAAGCCATGACATTAAAACTCCCTGTGCTATTAAACACTAGTAATTCTTCAAAAGCAAACTGCTTACCTGTCCCCTGGCAAATTCCCTCTGTGCAAATGCAAGCTTGTGGGATGACTTATTATCTAACAGGTAACGGGGGGCAAAGATGACCATACAGGTGTCAATATATCGACCTCGGCCTTTCTTGACATCAATACCTACAAATAACAAAAACCACTGCCATGAATTAATCAGAAAAAAAGATAATCCATGCTCTAACAAAAATAAACAGCCTTCACAATTACTTCGTTTCTCTAAGAAAACAATTATATCACCCAAAGAGGCTGTCAAGCCTTCCAAGAATGGAATGAAAACAGCAAGCACACTCAAAGTATTACTCTTCATTCCCATGTAGGCCTTAAAAAGTCTCAGTGGCAGTATCAATATCCCCTTAATTTCTAGCTTCTTCATAAAGTGTGCATCATAATAACAGCAACTAAAAAGCACAGGTGTTCCGTCATAGATACCTTTGGTTTCCATTTATGAAGCTGACTACATTTCTGCTCACATCTGGGACACAAAATTTCCACTAGAGAATTTGCCCCTCTTACAGGATACAGTAGAAATTTCAGATTACTTAATTGGATTCTGACTACCCGGAACTCAAAGGACTTTTCTCTAGTATTTTCTTTTAGCTCTTGGCCCAAGAATCCAGCTAAAACCAAATGCAAAATATTATAGGATTTATTCATTCATACAATACATGTTTTCAGCACCCACTGTGTACAGGGAGGAAAAGGCAAACAAAACACAGAGCATGGAAAGATAGTCATAATCATCAGAAGGAAATCTCAAAAACACCCAAAGAAAGGAAAAAATAAATAAACAGCAGTGAATTAGCTTTAAAAATATGATCGTTTTTTAAAATATAAAACTCAGTGGGATGAACTATTTGTTCATTCACACAATAAATATAGCAACTGGGCTGGACTCTGTTTCTACAAGGATAAAAAATATTTGTAGTACAGATAATGAATATAATAATATTAATTGAACTCTTAATACAAGTTAGGCCCTCTACCAAAGGCTCCACATCTAATTCTCATAACAACCTTATGAGTTAGGTATTTTCATTCTTTCCATTTTACAGATGAGGAAACTAAGGCATGGAAAGCGAGGTAACTTGCCCCAGGTCACACAGCCGCCTGCCTCAGGAGCCCTTGCTCACATCACGACAGGACATGTACAAGGACCCTACTCAGCAGTGAACAAGAGAACCATAAAAAGGAAAGAGACCTTAGATGTGACAACTACCATGTTGTCACATCCTCCGAAAATAAGACCTAGCGTATGGAAAGATAAGACATCCCCTGAAAATAAGACCTAGTGCAACTTTGGGAGAAAAAATTACAAGACACTGTCTTATTTTCGGGGAAACACGGTAGGTGTCCGGGATGTCCTAACATAATCCCAATGATAAAATTCCAATCTGATCACCCTGTAATTCTTTCGTGCTAGCTTGAAGAATTGGGTGTGCCTTCAATGTAAGCCTTCAATATAAAAGACTGAGCGAATCTCAAAAACAATCATCTCTGGAACTGTATTTAAGAAATGCTCGGGAACACTAGAGCAGCGAGGTATTTCCTATCACTCATATTTCCTAACACACAACAAGCATTAATTGTCAGAAACTGACATTATCTTAGCTAGCTGATCTCAACTAATATAAAGTCTGCCCACAAAAGATGTGTCTAATTTGACAATATGAAAAAAATCTACAGTACCGAGACTCAATTTTTGGAGGAGAGAAAAAAAAAGTAGGCTTTTGTTTCCCTTTTCATCTTAGATTGCTCTGGCAACTCCTCAGGAAATGAATAGCTGATAAGATAAAAATGTACAAAATCCCTCTTTTTGGAGGTACATGTGAGGCCTCCCTGAGCCTGGGACTGTGTTTTTAACTTTCCTGATAGGAAGCTAGTTATCTATTGAACTCTCCAAAAATATTCAAGTAAGAGATTCCACAAATTCCCTTGATATTACATGCCAAGATCTCATGAATCTTAAGAATTATAAAGTCCTATCTTAGCCCACCCCATCTATTGCTTTTTTTGGTATAAAAACAAAATTCAAATCAGTCTTGTCCCTAAAAACATATGTAATTAGTTTTAATGAATGCTCCCAGCACAGCAATTTTCAAATAGTGTGCCATAAGAATTTTTAAAACGTGCAATACCTGACTACTTAGTCAGGTGCACAGACCCCTTTTCCCTTAGACTGTCAAAAAATGACAACAGTCAACACAACAGCCGTCCAGTATGAATTTCCTATCTTAAGCCATAAATATATAGGTCACATAATAAGAGCTGTATCTTACTGGTCACTTTGGAGCGAAAAGAGTGGGCAATTTCTTTTCTTTTCTTTTTTAATATATATATATTTTATTGAATTTTTACAGAGATGAAGGGAGAGGGATAGAGAGCTAGAAACATCGATGAGAAAGAACCATTAACCAGCTGCCTCCTGCACACCCCCTACCGAGGATGTGCCCACAACCAATGTACATGCCGTTGACCGGAATCGAACCTGGGACCCCTCAGTCCGCAGGCCAACGCTCTATCCACTGAGCCAAACCGGTTTCAACAAGAGTGGGCAATTTCTTTTTCTTTCTCTTCTTTTTTGTAAATCAATCAAAACCGTATTTTTATTTTTTACTGGCAAAGAATATATATTTTGGTGTGCGACAGAATTTTAGTAATTAGTCTGTGTGCCAAGCAATGAAGAAGGTTGAAAATCACTGTCCTAGCATATAAGTTTACACATGCTCTCAATGCATAGTTCTGATTGGCCAGCTCAGTTTGCCTCCCTGAAAGAATTCCGGGATTGCTTAGCGCCAGCTGCTAAGAGCTCCATCACTCCACCCGCCATTTGTTCCAACTACAGTTTCTAGCCAACCTGCGGGAGCTTACTTTGGAAAGTGTATCAAGGACTAGATACCCCAAAAGAAAACCAAACCCAGTCTGAAACAGCCTTTGCCCGTTCAAGGGGCAGAGCGAATAACGTGAACAAACGTAAAAAGAATGATCCTCAGCTGGAAGATCAAATTAAAGTTTATTTCTTCTGTTAAAAATCTTAATGTCAACCTTAAAGGAGGCAGCCCCAGGACACGGGAGGATGCTCACAAATTCAGGTTTAAACAGCACGGAAAGCAAACTATACTTGGAGGAGACTCTATTACTCATAAAAACTCAAGCACTTAAGTCCTTGAGTCTGCGTGGGCCCCAGAGCAAATCGCTAAATGACACCACCTCAGGCTCTCCTACAACATGACTATTTCTGCCCTGTCCCATATGCAGCCGCTAGGCATATGTAGCTACTTAAATCCATTAACACTCAATAAAATGAAAAACTCAATTCCTTGGTCACACTGGCCACATTTCTTAGCAACGTACTCCCAAGTGTTCGGCAGCCACGCGTGGCTAGTGCGACCACACTGGACAGTGCAAACCAGAACAGTCCCCTCATTGCAGAGAGCTCAAGGGACAGCACAGTCCTAGATCGTTTTCCAACGTTCGACATTGAGTGGTGCTTGGACCCTTGGAAATTATACACTGAAGGAAGGACGCACAGCTAACATCTTAAACTTGCAGCGTCATTTAAATAATCAAATGTATCTTAGCTCTGCAGAAAACCATTGAGAATTCCAGGTGGCTCTGAGGTTTGTAGGTGCAGTATGCTCCCCCCGTCACCCTCCACCTCTGAAAGCGAAGCTCGTTTAGTGGGCTTCTAATGACTATAACCACCGAGTACATTTTATTACATTTTCTGCCTCAAATGTGCACACTGCAATCATAATCCCACTCTGACCCAGACTTCCCCTTTGCATCTGAGCAAGTCACTTAACCTCTTTGCTTCAGTTTCAGGGAGAACAATGCTTCTTGCCCTCTTAGAGTTTGCCGGTTTTAATGAATGCGTGGGAAATGCCTGGAGGATGAAAAAGGCATTCTAAGTGTTCCTATTATCCCCACGAAAAACAAGGATTTAAGCCAAACTGATACTTTAAGTTAAACAGAGCCGCAGCCCTCAAAGGGGGCAGTGTTTAGGTAGCTCCTTAGATCCCCAGAATAGATCTGTGCTGACAGCCATCAAGCATTCAGAGGAAAGACACCTAACCCAATGCCAAATGAGAAAGTCAGCACGGGCAGCCGAGCCAAAAACGCATGGCCAGCTTGTGGGCCCAGCCTGAGCTCAGGGGCCGAAGGTCAGATTTCCCCGCTGCCCCCCAGTAACCCACCAATGTTATAGATCAGCCCTGGGCGGTTTCCGTGCTGGATGACTTTCAAAGCTCGGACACCACTACCACCATCCAGGGAGAAGCCCTGACACCAGCCCGGCATGCCTTCGGGATGAATCCCCCTTCCGATTCTCATCGTGCAGCTGTGGGGCAGAAAAGCAAAGGTTGATACATTCATCCATAAGCAAGTCTTGTCCACCTGTCCTAATCAGGAAACAGTGCTGTCACTAACACCCGAGATTAGTATTCTAATGCTGACTCTTCCTCACTCATGTAATTCCCAAACATAGCGAGGCAGTCACTGCCGGTTAACCCCCATCTTACTGGCAGCCACAGTACAACAATGTGTAAAGTGTATGGCGTCTTCTACTGAACACTTTAAGACCAAACATTAAGATTCTACAAGCATAAAACATACAGAAAATGCTACAATATCTATTGTTCCTCTGAAAAACAAGGATTTGAGCCAAACTGATACTTTGCTGACTCGGGTGTTTGAAAGGTTCATGAAATACCCTGAACATGGAAGGAAAGTGTGCCCACAATTCTGTACATCCAAGGCAAGTGTGTGCAGAAGATGTGGCTAATGGTAAGGTGACCAGATCATCCCCTTTTGGCGGGACAGTCTGATTTTCAACAATTTTCCCCGCGTCCCGGGGCGTTTTAAAAAAGTCCTGATTTTTGGGAAGATTGGAAAGATTAAAAGATTCTTTCCAAAAATCGGGACTTTTTTAAAATGCTGCGGGATGCGGGGAAAACTGTTGAAAACTGGACTGTCCTGCCAAAAGTGGTACGATTAGCCACTAATGGTACATTCCCTCCATGGTCAGGTACTATTCTAACAGCAAAGCCCTGTTCAGTTGGCCAGTATCTTATCATGGGCCCTGGAACCATCATTCCTGAATGTGTGTTCCAGTTCTGCCCCTAACAAGCAACATAACTTTGGGCAGGTAACTGTCTCTCTCGGAGCCTGTTTCCTCATCTTAAAATAAAGCAGTACTTCCTGCCCTGCCTAATCCACTGGGATGCTGGGAGAATCCAATGAGATGGTCTATGTAGAAATGCTTTGGGAACTACAAATTCCCTGGATAAAATAAACTGTGACAAATGTCAGGAAGAGTGAGATTGGCTAGTGACATTGCCAAGCGTCTGTACAACCACCATGTGCAGACCCCCATCAATCCTCTCCCTACCCCAGCAACAACCTACACTTCAGCCCTCCCTGAAAGACACATCTGCAACCACTGGCATGTGGTGCTCCCTAAACCTTCCTCTTAAACTGGTAGCAAGCCTACATCTGCAGATACCAGGGTATGGCATTTCATGCCCATTTGGATTACTGCTACAAATTAAGACTCCTGTAAAAGGCAGAATGTTCAAACCAAGAACAAAAGTGAATTAATGCTCATACCATACATTAGGACATGTCATCTAATCCTCACTATTGTTGCTTTTCCCTGCCTTTAAATGTGCAAGGAGTGCTTGAGATCTTAAATGGCACCTTACACAAAATGGCCTGGCTTGGATTAATGGGGCAGAGGCTTTACCAGAGGTCCAGTCACCCCCACACACACCCCCATGCCAACTCTTCTGCCTGTGCTGAGCTGACAGCAGAAGGGAGCCATGCAGAGCCCAGAACATGTGGGTTTCTCTTCATTGGCAGAGTTGTGAATAGAACTACTTCAATGCACGTAAAATAAAACTTGCTTTCATTATAAACCTACCAAATGGTTTATTTTCACTATCAAGTAACACAGAAATTAGATCCCAAAGAATCCCATTAGGTCATGGTCCAGCTCCCCTGCCAAGCCGGGATCGTTATCTACGGTATGATTATACTTACACGGATACACTCTAGCCTGTGCTGATTTTTTCCCCTCCCTAGGAACGTATTTCCCCTTCCCATAAATAACTGTACTCACAGGTTTGGCTGCTCTTTGTCAGCATAGCAAAACAGGAGGGGGCTCAGGCTCCGGGCCAGCTCATGCTCCTCAAACTGGCCTGCAGCATCTGTCTTTGCGTTGTCCTGTCTGAAGATCAGTGGTAACCCTTTAGGAAGGAGGGGAAAAGTATAATCAGTCCCACCCAGTCTCCCCAAGACAGACATAAACGGTAAAATTAAAATTTTAAAAACAATCAAGGGGGAAAAGAGTGCAAATTGAATTTATTTAGTGGGTTCATTTTATTGTCTAAGGGGATAGTTCTGACCATGATTGAGCACTAATTATGGAAGCAGGAAAGTTCCAGCAGCCCAGACTGTTGATGGAGTTACTTTATTGGCTCCATTTAGTCAGCTGAGCAAAAAACTTGAATTCCCATGGCCAAAGCCAAAGACCCCCTTGAGCAGCCTCTATACTTACCTGTTTTGTTAATCAACCAATACGGAGCAGAAATGAAGATCTTTAGGGATCCTTCTGCTCGACATACAATTCGGATGGTGAGATTCAGCTGCCGTCGGTTGGTGTCATAGAGACGCATCCTTACCATATAGTTTTGGGTTCCAGGTGGAATGAGCAATTCTTTACAGAGTGGAAAATTCTCCAGTGATACCCCTAAAGGAGATATAAGCTATTGTCTTTCTAAGCTCTCAATTTAGTTTGTTAAAATATTCAGCAGTCAAACAAAATTGGATTCCTTTTGGAAAAGTCAGTAATTGTTTCTTACTAGCAAAAAGATCTCGTTAGAATGGCCATTTTCCTCTAGCCAGGGTGAGAATACCTTTGAAGCAAACCTGATGGGCTGGAAGCCACACTGGGGAGTCTGTACTGCATAGTTAGAAAGATGAAAATACCAGAAAGCTACCAATAACAGCTAGGAGTATTAGGAGCTTACTAGACATCAGGCCCTGTGCTGGGTATCTAGTCTACAATAAAGGCAAGGACAGGGTCACAGTCAAGGTTTCTGTAGCCGAATGCCTGGCCTTACGTCCCATGGTGCAGGGTGAGCGATTTACCCTCCCTGTGCCTTATCTGCCAACGGGGATAACGACAGTATCTCCATCGCAGGGACGCCATGAAAGTGGTGGCCCATGGGGAGCAGATTGGGAAGATAGAGTGGTGGTGTGCACCGAGTGGTGGTGGGTGGGAGGACGTTTCCATTCCACCCAGGGGCTCAGAGACATTTGTGCTTAAATGTCAGAGCACAGAACTCTTTTCTTTAGAAAGACACCTAGCACTGTACTACTTTTGTGTTCTAATTGAAGTGTAAGTTTATCGCTGTGGGACACAATTTCAATGAGTTTCAGGTTCCTATCTGTATGGGGGTGGCAGCTGTCTCTCTGCCCCAAACATGCAGTTGTGAAGATCAAATGAGAAGATATACAAAACTTTAAAAAGATGAATATCTGAGGCATTATTTTTCCAGCATTTCTAGAACAGCATTAAAGAAACATACTTCCTGCCCAAATTCCAGAAGCTCCTCTTTGCTGTAAGTACTACAAATAGGATGATGATTCTAATGATTCTCTACCTCAAGTTCATTCATCTGAGTGTACTTGATGCATCAACATTCAATTTCTTCATCAGGAATGGGACAAATAACTCTTGCTTAAGGTTTGCATGAGATCATGTGTGTGGAGCACCTGACAAATAACTCTTGCTTAAGGTTTGCATGAGATCATGTGTGTGGAGCACCTGACATGAGGACAGTGCATGCTTGGTAAATGTTTTTCCCTCTCCTGAAAAGAGAGGAAGAGACATGATTTGCTCCTTTTATAGCTGGAGAAAGCCTGGTTTGAAAAGATGAAATGACTTCCTATCATCATACATCAAGTGAGCAACATAAGAAAAAAGCCTCCATTGAGTGCTTCCTCTGGGAATCTTTTGAATCTGTTCAATTATTTTTCTTTTGATAAATTTCTAACTTTGAAGTTTGATGTTTTTTAAACTACATAAATCCTTTAGCTGGTTTACTGAGATAGTGTATAGGCTATAATTTCTCCAAAATGTTTACCAAATAGTCTCAAAATACTCACTGATATTTTCATAGAATTGCTACCAATGATAATGTGACTAAATGCTTACCCAGTTCAATGTTCTGGGCTGTGTCAGCGGTGTGGAGAGCCACCTCTTTGCCAGGTTTCAGAGTCCCGTTAATAGGCATCCCTTTAACATAGAAATCCAGTTCACAAGGGAGCAAGTTGCAGATTACCACAGTTGGCAGGAGATAGATGGTATGCCCCGGCTGCCTGAAAATCTGTTTTGCACTATCAGAAAATATGTGTGAGGGCATGTAATCTGGATAATTCTCTTTCTTTATGGCCACACAAAACCTATGAAGACAAAATGGTATAAAAACCACCAATGAACAACTTGAATTTTTTCACCTTAGCCGAATCTGAGAAAGCATAGCATTAAAATGGTTCAATAGCCGAAACTGGTTTGGCTCAGTGGAAAGAGCGTCGGCCTGCGGACTGAAGGGTCCCGGGTTCAATTCTGATCAAGGGCATGTACCTTGGTTGCGGGCACATCCCCAGCAGGGGGTGTGCAAGAGGCAGCTGATCGATGATTCTCTCTCATCGATGTTTCTAACTCTCTATCTCTCTGTAAAAAATCATCAATAAAAAAAAAAAGTAAAATGGTTCAATAATTCAGTAAGATACCTACAATCTAAGTCAGAATAAAATGAATAGATTTTAAATGTTCCACTTTGTGGGCTTTTGACAATTATATGCATACTATAGCTACCACCCCAAACCAGTGATAGAATATTTCTCTCACTCCAGAACGTTCCCTCATAACCCTTTCCAATCAAAACCCTCTTCCCCATCAGATAAGCGACAATCTCTGAAACTTGTATAGATTAGTTGTGCCTGTTCTTGAACTGCATAAAAAGGGAATGGCAGCCCATCCGGTGTGGCTCTGTGGTTAAACATCGACCTATGAACCAGGAGGTCACAGTTCAATTACTGGTCAGGGCATGTGCCTGAATTGCGGGCTCAAACGCCAATGGAATGCATGTAAGAGGCAGGGGACCAATGATTCTCTCTCATCACTGATGTTTCTATCTCTCTTTCCCTTTCTCTTCCTCTCTGAAATCAATAAAAGTATTTTTTTTTAAAAAAAAAAGAACCAAAACTTTAAATAAGCACAACTGAATCATTGAGGGTCCTTAGAGAAAGAATAAAGAAAAAATGTCCACAAATACACATCGCAGAGCCATGCATACCTGAAGAATCTGCTTTTCTCCGTGTCCATGGAATGGCACTCTCGTTTGCTGCTACTAACCTCTGTCGTCTTCACTACGTTTGTCCAGTGGATAGGAGCCTTACAGAAAAACACGCCCAGCCCTTTGGGCCGGGCCTGCAGCCGCCAAGAAGTGAGGTGCAGAGGCACAGCGAAGGAGTCCCCCGGCATGACAGCGGGGAGCACCACGGGCTCTGCCACAGAAATAGGCGTTAGCGTTCTCAGGGAGGGTCTTCCCCCAAAGCTGGCTTTCTCAGAGTAAAAGGGGGACAGACTATGTCAAAACTCACTGTCCGGAGCTGATGGGCTGTCCAGTCTTAGTTCCATTGGTGTCTCGAGTCTGTTCTTCACAATGAGGGCAGACCGGACAGTGATCACTTTGCGAGCACTGCCTTCCATGGTCACGGCAAAGACCACCCGGACAGGGGGCAGTGCTGAGAACTGTGAAAGAGACATGGAAGTAAAAGAGCATCACTGTGATTCTGAAAATACACAGAAAAATACAACCATACCAACCAGAATGCCTAAATCACAGCATTTTACTATTACAATAGCTCTTCGGTAAAATTAATAATTAAGCCCTAAGACCACTCAGTTTTTATAGGAATGAAAGCTTATATATATGCACTCTTAAAAGAGCTAATTCTAAACATTTCTATAAAAATAGTTAATATATTCAGCCCAGCTGGTGTGGCTCAGTGGTTAAGTGTTGACCTATGAACCAGGAGGTCACATTCCTGGTCAGGGCACATGCCCGGGTTGCAGGCTTGATCCCCAGTGTGGGTGTACAGGAGGCAGCCAATCAATGTTTCTCTCACATCATTGATGTTTCTACCTCTTTCCCTCTCCCTTCCTCTCTGAAATCAATAAAAATATATTTTTTAAGAGTAGTTAATCTATTCAGAAGTGACATCACAAAATGTGTCATTATAAAGAACTTCCCCCGAGAATGGTAACAACCCTTCCAGCTGCCCACACTGGTGCTGGAAGTTATCCTCGCTTACAGTGTCGCTGGATCCCGGCACACCAGCCCTTACGTGGAAACGGACCAAGGCTCGCCATCAGCTCTGCCGGAGGGGACTAAAGACCGTGCAAAGCAACGCAAAGTTCAGAAGCACTGAGGCAGGGCTTCGTAAAACATTAAGTGATTTACCTTCTGCGGTATGTTCCTCCCAGATTAATATTAAAGTGAGAAAACATTCTTTGAACACTAACAATGGGTTGGGAACTGTCCAAAATACACAAAAGCAGGAGGAAGTCTTCTGAGATTATAACTTGTCTTTGTAAAAGCCAGAGAGTGTATAATAAAGAGTTGTCTACATTGGTATGCCTTTCCCAAGAACAATAACTTTGTTCCTAATGTCATAAAAATTACTCTCTGGGCCCATACACCATTCGCTGACATGCCTATAGAGAAAAAGCCAACATTTGTATTTCAAAGAACTTCAAAAACAAACTTCTCTTTCTTCATAATAACTTTCCAAGTTCCAGTCAATGATCGCTCTTTAATAAACAGGACACTGAGTTTCAGAAACTCAACATAATGGAGGGAAACAATTTATGTTTGGTCTTAGGTCGCAGCCACTACGTTCTTTTTCCATACATTCATTCTCACATTCAGCCCACAGTGTGTGCCCCAGAACTCTTTTTCTTTTAAAGTTTAAAACCTCGCATCAGGTAAACCAAAGAGAAGGTTTCTGAAACTATTATTCTCAGCAGGAGTGTCCAGAACATACTGACAATGCTTTTTTATTGGAGAAACAAATGACACCACGTCCAAGCGTCTCTTACTGCCAACTATTTTATTAAAAACAAACAGTATGTGAAACCAACCTAATAAACAATAAAATGAAGAGCTCCATGTTTTGAGCCAAGACTTCCAGGAAGCCCAATGAAAAGGCAAACTAGAACTGTCTGGAATGTTTTCAGAGACAACCCCAGGCAATCAGCACCGAGGAGTCCATGGACCCAGCCTAGTGAAGCTCCGCTCAGCCAAGGCCAATTACAATTGTTTTAAATCTTGATCTTAACACCTCAAATTTCACATTTCAAAACTTACCATCCCTAAGGGAGAAGAAAATTTAAGCAAAAATTAAAAAAATAATAACAGTAATTTTTTAGTGTCATCTTATGCTGATGTTTCAAAAGCCAAATGGGAAGGAAAAAAGAATCTTACTATCTTTCATTCTTTTTACCTTCACGACCCCAAATCTATGAAATAGGTATAGCCATACAAGGGTCAATTTATATTTTAACTTGGAAAGAAAAGGAGACATTGGCCCCAGACATGTTTTTTTCTTTTTGTTGCCTGTAATATTCATTCTCACGTAACAAATTAGGTGAAATATTTTCTTGCACGTTTTTAGAAAATGAGGTAATCATCAACAGAAAAGCAGAGAGATAAATTCCAATCACTTATATGTCATAAAGTATCCTGATCATTAAGAAATAAACATCTACTTATGGTTCGGGCAGTGTCAACACTCATACACACAGTGACATAGGACAATCATACTCACATAGACCTGGGGATGGATAATATTTGTTCTGCTGCTTGGACTGCCAATCTAAGAAAGATTCCAAAAGTCAGAGTCAGCGCAGACCTAAGATCATAGGCATCATTAAGTTCAATGCCAATGAAATTAGCTTGAAAGAGTGGTGTTTGCAAATACCCTTAGCAAAATATGGTCAACTACTGAGAGAAAGCATCTTAACTTAGAAGATCTGGGGAAGACCTAGCTGGTTTGGCTCAGTGGATAGAGTGTTGGCCTGGAGACCGAAGGGCTCAGGGTTCAATTCTGGTCCTACATGCCTGGGTTGTGGGCTCAATCCCAGTAGAGGACGTGCAGGAGGCAGCTGATCAGTGATTCTCTCATTGTTGATGTTACTATCTCTCCCTCTCCCTTCCTCCCTAAAATCAATAAAACATATTTTAAAAAGAAGAAAGAGGTAGGGGGAAAACAACCCTCATTTTACTACCACTCCATATGAAGACACAAATTTCCAGAACATATCCATGCAATAGAAAGGTATCTCTTGGGGGAATTAGTTCTTTCATTATCAGACAAGAAATTAGGCAGAAAATTAATCTTGAAAGAAAGTGTCCTTTCCTAAGAAACTTGGGGCACAAGAGAGGACGAGTAGAAAGAACAGGGTTTCTCTATGAAAAAAGCAGGACGAAAGCCACAATCTCTGCAAATCTGCACTTTCCCACTCATCACTGATTATCTACCAACCAGGGAGTCATCCTGGGAAGCATGTCCGAGTCCTGGGCATGAGCACCATGGCGGACACAGGGGCTGGGAGGCCAGCCCTCACCTGCATCACACTCTAGTGAGGGATGCTACCTGCATCATCCCCAGGCTGGTCCCTCTTAACCCTAGAGCTGCAGGCTGGGGTCAAGTTCGAGCAAGGATGTGTGGAGGGTCTGTGATCAGGTGAACAGCAGCGGATAGCTGTCTTTATGCTAGAGAAGAGAAGCTGGAAAAAAGGAACTAGAAGGATCAAGGAGCAGCACTGTAAGAAATTGAAAAAAGACAGTAATGGATGAAGCATAATAGCATGTGAAGTAAAGGCAACACATGTTCAACAGATCAGCAAACTGCCAGGTGTGCCAGCTGCGTATGAAATGGGTCTGCATGGGTGAGGTAACATGCATTAAAGTCACTTTTATTTACTTATTATTTTTCATTAAAATCACTTTTAGATGCTAGTTTGTTTGTTTTTCCCCCTGAAATTATCCATTGACTGGCTCATCTAAATATTGATTATCAGTGCCGATGATGGCTTGATATCATCTTACATCTTCCTAGAGCTTGTGTAAATGAAGAACAAGAACTCTTTACTAGAGCAAGGCCATTCCACTGTGTGAGTGCCTGGCTTTACGGGAGCGCGGCCAGGACACAATGCACACCCATCCCCCATCACACACCGTAGAGGAAGATGAATTCTTATCTGGCGCTGCGTATCGGAAAAAGGTCCCAACTTTGTCCACAGACACGGGGCTTACTTGCTCCCAGCCATTTACTCTCACTTGCAGTTGGTGAATCCGGAGGTCATGGGTGTGCCTGTCAGGCAGGACATGGAAAAAGACATGAAGCGCAATCTTCAAAAGCAAAGAAAAGCAGAAGCAAAGACTCAAACCCGATTTACTACCTAGTGACATAAAAACCCAGCTGTCCAAGCCTTGTGGTGATTACCTAATGCAAGAGAAATCGAAAGAATATAGTAACTTGGTTTTACATTTAAAACTGCAGACTTATAAAGCTGGGGCAAGAATAGCATTTGTCCTCCCTTTGTATGAACCGCACAAACCCTCCACTCTAACCCCAGGCCCTGGCCCACCAACCCACCCAAGCTTTTACAAAACGGTGACATTAGCTACAACCATTTCTACGGGGCAGTAAAAATGTTCTACTAGCAAGCTGATCGTCAACCATACTCTTGGAAATGCATGCCATGACATTTCCTCTGGGTTCTTTTGCTGAAACCCTACTTCTCTTAGACACACACTCGGTCGTTTGGCTCCGGTTCTACAGGCCAGACAGGTTAGGTGTTTTAAGGCTGAAGGCTTGGCTGAAACAGCAGGAGGCAGTGGGCAGAACAGGAGGAGCAAGAGGAAATTGCACATTTAATTCTATTTTAGTTTTCACCTAATTCAAGCCAGAAGCCTAAAATGGGGAACTGGATTTGAGGCCGACAGGAAGGAGGGAGGCAGGGAGTGGGCATGGTGTGCCAAAGGGGGGAAAGCCAGAAAAGGCATTTATTTTGATGAATTCAAGCAGGACAGTGGGACTTGAAATGCGTTACAAAACGTGGAAACGAAAACAGAAATGATAGAGAGGTCAAACACCTTCTGATATGACAGAGGCAGTGCTTATTAAGACAGACAGCCAGCAGTTCATAATTAGCCTCTTCAGGAACTCTGTGGAACAGGACAATGCTCACCACTCAGCCCTGGAGATGCTAACGTGGCTTTCAGGTACATGCACCCTCCTTAGGGATTTTTTTATGCCCTATTTTTCCTGAATAATCACTGGGGCCCACAAGTTCAGACATGTGCCCCAGGGAGAAATGTGTGCCGGTAGAAAGCTGTGCAAAGGGATGAAGTATCTGACTTAGGAGCAGGTCTGCACACAAAGACTTAGAGCATCATGAAAGCATAAGGCGGAAGCCAGTCTCCCACACTTCAGCTCAGCTTGCAAACAGATATGAGGCTGAAATCTTAGCCTATTCACTGGACAGCCTTTCCACTTAACAATGTCTGCAAACACAAGAACACTTTGTTAGATATTCTGTGACCTCTCGCTAACAAGCCACAATCATTTCTGTTCGCTCCAGTGCTAGCGGCCTCCCCAGACGAGTGGTTCCAATCCCCCTCAGCAGCCATGTGCCTCCTCATTCGGCTCTGCTTCCTGGAAGCACCTGCCTGCGCCAAGTGCTATGTGGCACATATGTGTCTTAAAACTGAAAAAGACATGTTTGCACCATGTCACCAGTGCATCATGAAAACCAGGCTGGGAGGCAATGAACTTGAGTGTTATGCTCTGTCAATCCTTCAACTAAATTATGTGAAGCACGCATATCAAACAAAAAGATAATTAATGGGGGGAAACTTTATTTCCAAGATAGTAAGAAAGTCATTATATTTTTTAAAGGGAAAGGAACCACTAATTTTTAAAAATATCTTTTAAAAATAAATTATTAAAATCTTTAACAAAGGAAGGTGAGTAGGCAAAACATTAGGGACAATCATATCATATAAACATTTTTTTAGGAAAAGAATGAATCATTCTTTACCTGTGCCTTAGTTTTCCACGGGCTTCAAATTCAAAGGGAATCTCTTCACCTGTGAGGACTTCCCGCCACTCGCTGACCTTGTGAGTGTCATCGAGAAACGTCCCGTCCCCTTCTGGAACTCCCCCTGGACTCCCGCTGTGTGACAGTGCAGCCCTGGAATCAAATCAGACAATGCCAGCCTGTGCCTGTCTCCCAGCTCCTCCTCACTCGGAGCTGGAGCTGGGAACAGAAACCCTCCCGGAACGCGATTCACAGCAATAAGGCCGCATAATCTGGCTCCAAAGGATGACCTAAAAGGTCAGTAACTAAAGGTATATCTTCACGATCAAACGCAGCTCATGTGACACTTTAGAAGCAGCTGAAAGCTATAGTACACAGTCACCTGCCTCAGCAGTAGAGCTGCTACGTAAGTGCTATGTAAAGTGAGTCGTGACTTTTAAAAGTCGGTTTTAAGTGACTACCAAGAACTTAGCAGGCCTGAACTGTGTTTAAAAAACAAAAACTGTCTCCTGTAAGGCATTATCATACTGCGCGGAGGCAGGAAAATGTGGTTTCCAACCAATTGATGCTGTTACTCGTTGTGTGTTCTCATTTCCTAGGCTGGAGAGATCAGCGTGGATTTGGAAAGTCCAGCCAAGGTCTGAACGGGCTGAAAGCTGCTGAAGGACCTTCTCACTTGGTTTAGGTAAATTCTCACTGGTTCTCCAAACTCCACCCATTCCATCTGGATCGAAGTGTGCATTAGGTTGGAAAGTGATTCTTGGGGGGATGAGGGGATGGAGAGAAAAGAAGGGATGACTTTTCTTTCATGCTTCCCACTCTCAGCCTTAATTTGCCAAACTGACTTTAAACGTAATGTCTACCGGGATCAGGATCACATTTGGACATTTCAAACTATTTCTCTGGCTACAGATCCCACAGAGAACTAGAACCTTCACCAGAAGTCTCGGCAGGACAGCACGTGATTGCTTCGAATACAATCTAAGGGCCTCAAGAAGGGGCCCACTGGGCTGGCGCACAAGAGCCTCGGGTGGCAGAGATGGCTCAGTGACAGAGTGCTCCTTACCTGGTGGGCGTGGTGGTCAGGGTGGCGAACCACAGAGTGCAGCCCGTGTGATTCCTCAGAGCGAAAGGGATAAAAGGCTGCCTGCGCTTGGGTGTTTTCACCTCTGCTGTGAACAAACAAGGTGGCCGTTAGCACCCGCCTCCATCTGTGTGGGAGAGCCTCCCCTCCCTCCCCCAGAGACAGTGCCAGAAATGGTCCCTTGGCAAAAGGGCTGGAGGGGGGGAATGGGGACGGATGGAACCTCCGTGTACTTTGCTGCCTGCTACGGGGTGACTCGGTCCTCCCAGACAAATAGCTGTGGACTGCCAGCCCCAATTCTCCCACAACTCTTAGGGGCCTCATCCCCACGGAGGGCAACGGGACCTCACTTTGTTGGAATCAAAAGAGGGAAAAAGAGAAATGGACCTCACTACTCCCAATAAATAGATTCTAAATAGGTAACCCAAACTGTAGCAAGTTTATCACACCTACTTGATTAAACTTTGTCCAAAATGCCTGTGCTGTAACAAAGCCTCCCTTTATGCCAAAGTTACACTTCAGTCGTATTACTCACATTATAACGAAATAAAAACATTCGTCCCTACGCTCTTACACTAATAGTTGGGATATTTTTCTCCCAGAAAGATCAGAAATATACTATTTCAGAGCTTTTTAAATGAAATTATTAGCCCGTCTCTGGCACAGATACCACCACCATAAGTACTATAGAGTCTACAAAAGGAGCACCAAATATGATTTCTTTTCACAAAATAGTTGCTCGTCAGGAAAACTGGAAACACTGATCACTACACGACTAATCTAATTCTAGAAAGAGCTGACCTGACAATAAATACTTTAAAAAAGTCAGCAAAGTGGGAGACCACATGGCCAGAGAGCCGACAAAGGCTGTAAGTGCCCGGCCACTGCCCCGGTCCGGCTGCCGCAGCCTGCCTGTGTTGGTGGTCTGGCACAGGCCAGAGGCTGCCCAGGGAGGGGCTCAGCTCCTCTGACCACGGGCCTGAGTCGCCTGTGGGCCCCAGGAAGAAAGGCAGCTGGAACCACAAACACAGCGGCAACGCAGCGCTGGCGCCTCCTGACTGCAGTGCCCATGCCACACGCACACTAGCAACAAAGCGGGGGCAGCCCAGTCTTACTGTGCGCACCGCTTTAAAGCACAACGACTATACGGGACCCAAATGGCCCGCAGCTGAGGAGAAAAGGACTTCTCGGGGTGACTGCAAATGCTGACTGAGAACACTACAGCAAAATTAAACTCCTCTCCCAGGACAGGAAGGCAGACGGCACCAGAGTAAGGTGTGGGGCAGCATCAATCAGCAGTGGTCTCTGCCTTCAAAGGAAGCACTTCCTTTCCCCCTTTTTTATCCTCTAAAGTTTTCAGGAGTCGGTACTACCAACACTGCAAGACAAGCAGTGTCAGGTTAAGGCAAGTTCTGCTTTGGTAACACAGTGGCTCCGGGAAGTCTGGGGGATGGCAGCATGCTAAATAAATGGGCGTATACTACAGATTCCCTCAATTCCATGGACAGTCCAGCGAAATGCATCTAAAGATACTCTCTGCTCAAAACATACCCATTTCTCCTCCAAATGGCCTCACTTAGCTCCCAAGGTTTGCTTTAAAAAAAATAACGTTCACCAAGTAGAACATTACAGAGTAGCTGTGAGGCTGCCGACAAGAGCAGAGGGGGAGTAAAAACTTTAAGAGCTGCCTGCCGGGTAAACAGTGCTGACCGTGGCACCTGAGAGGCGCCCGCTCCCGGAGCGCGGGGAGAGCGGCTTTACGGCGGGAGATACGGGGCCCGGAGGACAAGCAGCCAGCTGCGCTTTCATAGCCCACGCACGCCAGGCCGCAAGTTTCCATTTGCAAATTAGATTTTAACAGAACAGGTGGCAAGTGGCTTTGATCACGCTGTAATACAGAATAAAGTGCTAGGAACCCACATAAAGGTTTTCACAACTATATTACTTTGGAATTAAATAACCGGGAAGGCACACTGCTGAGGTCCCCAGGCTGCTTGTTTTGATTACACATACCGGCCAAGAAGCCAGCAACGGACTTCGGTAACAGAACTCGTGGAGTGCTCACGAGTCCAAACCCAGCACCAGGGGGCAACCTGAAATCTCCTGCGCTGGGGTCCAAATAGGCCACAGGTTTGCCTCGGCACAGCACCAGACAGCAAAGACCCCAAGCCACGTGTTCCCTGGTGGCCTCAGAGGCTCTGCCTCCAGTGACCACACCTAACTTCTTCACAGGCTCCGAGAACCTGAAACTCCTCCCATCCGACTCTGGCCTCAAGTGGCTCCAGCTGAGAAATGTCCACCCTTTTGAACTCGTTTCACGGAGTAATTGGCCATGATAAACCGTGCAGGTTTCCGTGCTATAGAAGCAGCGCAGCCTGTCGGAAAGGACCTACTTTGTAAATCATATAAAATAGATTAACGTCCCAGGCCTGCTACTAGCTAGTCAGGTGAGTGAAGGCCAATCACTTAGTCTTTCTCAGGCCCTCTGACCTCATCAGCTAAACTGGAATAATACTCTGCTCAGCCTGAAACATTAAATCACAGACAGAGGAACGCTTAGGGTCTAAATTCCTGAATAAATGAAGACTCAATCGTGGGCTATCTTGGTGTAAACATCACCCTCGGTGAAACTTTCCGGAAAAGCCCATAGTACTACCCCACAGAGTACTCTCCCTGCTCTGAACTCCCGACAGAGGAAACGCAAAGATCTTTTCCTGCAAAAGATGTCATGGCCCAGGCAGGGCCTGCTGTCAGCCCAGTACACACACAAAAATCATTCTGATTACATGTATGTCCTGGGATGCCAATCCCTGCATGCTTGTGGTATATTCTGTCATCTACTGACCAAATTCCCAAGGAACCTTACATGGTCAGGGTAAGAAAGACATTTGCTTTCCTGTCTCCTAACAGCTCGAGTCACAGCTAAAGTTGAGATTTGTGTGTAAGGGAAGTATTTGCTTAGATCTATTCCCGATCAGGAGAGCCCTTTGCATTCTGGGCAAATATTCGCTGAGAGTGCGATACACAGACTGGCAGCACTGCTCGGTGGAGGCTGGGCTTCTTCTCACTTGCTTCTCACTGAGCGGGGTATTTCTGCACCCCACATGGCGGAGCTGATCCCGTTTCCACCGAGGGATAGGCAAATGCAAGAGACCACATACGCCAGCGCATCGCTTCCTTCTGATAGAAGGCATCTCTGTTCATTCGTCGGAATTCTCTTTCCTGCTACTAAACCAAAACACTCAAAACCTGGTATGCCCCCACTCACAGAAAATGGATGGACATGGGAGTTCTTAAAACAGGAAAAGAAAGCAAGCCCTCGCTTGGCCGTACTGTACCTCTAGCATAGATCTGGTGCTCTAGGTTAGTCAGACTGGCTGTACTCCTAGTTCTAAGGTAGACAAGGGGGAGGCCTGGTAGACAGGAGAGACAAAGTTAGAGAGTAAGAATAAACACAGTGAATAAGAAGACTCACCTCAAAAGCGTAAGCACAAACGGAGTACGTTACGGAGACAGCAAGCACCATGCACCTGCACCATCTTTCCCCTCAGTGATTTCTAAGCGCTAGGAAGGTCCCTGACCGAGTGAGCAGGGCATTTCCACGCTGGCTTTTATTACTGAGGCATCGGGAAAGAAGCGCCTTTTTTCCTCAGTTGGGGAAAGGAAATGTATGCAACATTCTTTTGAACAGTATGACAAGGCTTTTGAGGATTTTTAACTTTAAAGCACCATGTTCTTAAATGTCACCAGCACTGCCCTACCAGCTGGGGGGGGGGGGGGGGGGGGGAGGCGCTCGTTCTGCTGGCAGAAGCAAAAGCAAAAGCAGAGGCAGCAGGATGCTATTCCTCAGGGGTCTCCACATTCCAGGCTAAGAGCCCATCTGTGTTTCAGTTTTCACATCTTTACTAAGGCGTTACCTCAAAGCATTATTTATGTTACACATTAAACATGGGAGTGTTTAGTAGAATATTTATATTTGGGCCGAGACCGGTTTGGCTCAATGGATAGAGCGTCGGCTTGGGGACTGAAGGGTCCCGGGTTCGATTCTGGTTAAGGGCATGTACCTTGGTTGCGGGCATATCCCCAGTAGGGGGTGTGCAAGAGGCAGCTGATCGATAACTCTCTCTCTCATCGATGTTTCTAACTCTCTATCTCTCTCCCTTCCTCTCTGTACAAAATCAATAAAATATATATATTTTTTTAAAAGAATATTTATATTTGGTGTTTCCATACAATGTCTTTGGAATACAAAACTAGTCAGTTCAATAAGGTGCCATGCCAGCCAGGTTTACCTGCAGAATCTCAGCCCTTACTGAACAAAGCCAACAATAATGTCAGAAATGAGGCTATTTTCTTTCCCCTGCTAAAGAAACAGTGGAAAATCAGCAGCTCCCCTAGGCTAAATTTCACATTATTCCAAGAGCTCCCACTGAAACTGCCTGGAATAAATAAAATGTACAGATCTGGGGGGGGGGATGTGACTGAATAGTCGTGAATAAGACCTGAAAGTCTGTGGTCAGTTCCACAAGGTTCAAACCGACTGGCTTTCAGAACAAATGCCCCACAACTACTTCACGGAGTCTAAAACAGAATACAACCCCATTTGATTTACTGCCACCCAGCAATTTCCAGTCAGAAAAGAAGTCTGGAAATTTAGGCATCTTCAGTTACATCTAATTAAGAAATATTTCACCTTTATAAACCTAAGTAACCATAAAAATCTATAAGGAAATAAAATGCGGCTTTCATTTAGCAGAGGCATTTAACATAGATAAGGCAGCTTATTAACTTTAAAGAAAGAGGAGAACCTTTTTACTTTCTGTTTTTAAAAGGGCAGGGAGGAGAGGGACAGAAGAAAACCTTTCGCTAGGATCCTAAGATTGGGCCTTGCAGTGTCCGCACTGACTGGATTTAAGATCCTCCTGTATGAAGGCTTTTAGAAACACACACTCCCTAAGACAGAAGACATATTACAGGAGATTATTTAGTCTTCTGGGTAGAATTCTGTGTTACATTCTCTGGACACAGAAGCTGGGAAGGTTAGGGGAGGAGCCAACACTGAAGCTGACGATATCTGAAAAGCCCTGGCTCCGAAGCAATGACCTTGAGTCTCAGAAGCAACAGCCTGGGAACAGAGAGCAAGCAGAGCTGACATTTCCTTGTCCCTCATTCTGGAAGTACAAGGCAGATACACAGTCCATTTAAACATCCTGAGGAGTGACGGACAAGTTCAAATACTTCATACACTAGGAAAATCCGTCTCCCCGCGACACGTTTGCAGACCAGATGGAGTATTTATGTATGCATGAGCTAAGTGAAGTCCTCATGAGCTATGTGAAGCCCAGCCAAGACTCCCAAAGAAACCACACTCAAAGAGCTGGGGCTGAGATGAATTTGAATGACAATGACTGTGGAACAAGTAAGAACCGTGCAGTTGGCCATCACAATCTCCCCAGCTCCGAGGCAATCAGAGCTCCATGGTGAAGCATTAAATAAGGAAAGAAAACATCATTAACAGAGAACAAACTGACTGACTCCTCCTCTCCAGGCGGCTGGGCATTCAATTCTTTTATATTTTATGAACAATACAGGACCCCCCTTACAGTTTTTTCCACATGGGATAATCTGCCCTCCCTCTCTTCCAGAAAATAGCCAATCTCTGGATTTAGCAGACTGAAAAGATGTTTTTAAAAGACCAGTCAAAAAATCCCATCAATAGGAATGTTTGGCTGAGTAAAACGCAAACTGAGCAATGGCTGGTCTCCATGCACTGCCAGGGCGCCAGTGCCGTGCCACGTGGCCAGAATTGAGGACCGGTATATTGCAGGTCCTCTCTCTCCCACAAAGGTGAGACTGGAGCTCATATTAAAAGTCGAGTATTTTGCGCCAGAAAAACGTCTCTCACAAAGACTAAAAGAGAACTGTAGAAGACAGTCAGAATTTCCTGTTGGTTTTTCTACTGAAAATGATTTCGGAGTTTTCAATGAAACGTGGCCTTGTAGATCAATAGTGACAGACATTTGCAGAGAAAACCCTTACTTTGTCCAAAGCAGGGAGGATCCACTGAAGAGCCCATCCAGTCTTCTGTTGTAGTTGAGTCTACTTCCTTGTCCTCTTTACAGTAATCTGCCATCCATGATTCCTTGGTACTTACATACTGGTCTGGAAAATATGCCCCAAAGACATTTAGAACAGAAGTAGAAAATATGAAAGGTTCAAGTCGGATCATGTCAACTCAGCAAAACAAGCTTCCATGGAATGCCTCACTACATGCTGGGCACATGCAGGATTCTGAGCAAGTGTCTCCTGGAGAACCTCATTCTCCAATGATAGAAATTAATGTTAACAACACAACCATTAATTACCACAAAAAGATACCACAATGTGAGAGGAGCTAAAACAAAGATAAGAATGAAATTCTGTGGGAGCACAGAACAGGGGAAGATTTCGTCTGCTTTGGCACAAGTGGAGGCCCACACATGGGAATCTTGAGGGGCGGTGCGGCGGGGGGGGGGAGGGGGGGGGACAGAAAGGATACCTTTGTTCTAGGTCTAAAAGAATGAGTAGAAATTACAGTTTACCAATGGGATTATGATACAGGCACAGTCCAGGCACAGAGAACAGCATATGCAAAGGCTTCAACAGGTAAGTACATGGTACAATTAGTGAACATTAAGTACTTCAGCGTGACTTTGGCACAACATACTGGGGAAAGGACAAAGCCAAGATGATTTAGTGTGTGTAGAGGGTGGAATCCCATGCTAAAGATAGGGTTTAGAGATAAAACTTTAAAAAGACCAAGTGGAGGCTTTTAGAAAACCACTAAATTCAAGAGGCTGATATCCGCTTGATAGTCCTCAAGCTGTTTTGTTTCTTTTTTACTCTTTTGAGAGGAAAATTACAATGGGGAGAGCAAGTTAACAAAATGATGTACCACACCCAAATAAAGACCTTTTATACTAATTAAGATATACTTCTTAGAATAGGCAGAGTGGTTAGGAGCAATCAGCCAGGCAGACAGGCCAGTGGTTAATAGCCAGTAGTCCCAGCTTGCAAGAGGGCGTAGACTGGTCTGAGGGATAACCTCAAAAAACACCCCCCTGCCCCGCACAAATTTCATGCACCGAGCCTCTAGCAAAAAAAAATAACATTGGAAGCAAAATAAAATAGTATAGGAGGATCATGAGATCAATTTACTGTTGTTGCATAGGTAATAATATCCAGGCAAATTAGTGAATGAAATCTGATCATGTGAAACAATGGTTTTAAAATATGAAGATCAGCTGAAACCAATTTGGCTCAGTGGATAGAGCATCGGCTTGCGAACTGAAAGGTCCCGGGTTCAATTCCGGTCAGGGCATGTACCTTGGTTGTGGGCACATCCCAGTGGTGGGTGTGCAGGAGGCAGCTGGTCGATGTTTCTCTCTCATCGATGTTTCTAGCTCTCTATTTCTCTCTTCCTCTCTGTAAAAAATAAATATTTTTTAAAAATTAAAAAAATAAATAAATATGAAGATCATTACACTTATGGTCTTTTTTCACTATGCATTCTCTCCATCTTACTGAAATGGAATAAACCAATGGATATTCTGAGAGCCTTAAGTTCACAGATTTGCAACAATGTGTGTATTATCTATCACTCAGAGATAACTACAGTTGTCACCAAAAATCATATCACTAGGTGAGCAATTCCAACAGTGAGTGTGAGTTGTATGATAAATCATTTATGAGTTTCACATGATGTAAATACAAGCATAGAGTGCTTCTGATTCTCGACACTTAATCCACACTGTCCAAGAGACTCTTAGAACATACACCATTAGCTTGGTAACCCTTTTACAAAATGACATGATACCTGATGGGAGGCAGCACAGGCGACTTATCCTGCTATAAAGACAAGGTCGAAATTATGCCTTTTAAGAATTATTCAGTGAACTGCCTGAGAGAAGTGAATCTAAAGCCATTTCTGCACCCCCATGACCAAGCTCGATGAGGAGGAAGTTCATCATGAACATTCATGTTTCCCAAGCAGGCTCAGCTCTTGTTTGATCACTGATCACATTAATTGGGATGCTAACTCTGAAGCTAGGTTAGGGATTTTCAGAAAAGAGCCACGATGCATAAGTGGTGTTTTGTACGGGCCTAAGCATTTACTAAACTAGGATTAATAGTCATCCAGACAAGGAACTTATGTACAGAAATGTACCAACCTTCCGAAGACAACTTTCCACTCACCAATTAGTACTGAAGTGATATTGATATCCAAACGGGTTTTGGCCTTGGCTTCCAGCTTCAGCCGAGGAGGATGGAGACGACTAGCTGCCTGCTGTTGCCAGGATACGGTGCACGGCCAGGGCTCAAGAAATGGCTCCCAGCCTAAGAGAGCACAGGAAATAAGACATCTGTTCAGCAGATACCAAGCCTTTATAGTGGAACACTGTTCACAAATGCTCAGCAAGAACAAACTGTAGCTTAATGGCTTTCTATTTCCAATTAGATTTCACAATGAAAGCACCATCTTTGGCCACAGGTCACCCTACAGATATCTGTGCTATAGAGAGGATATAAGTAGAAAAGCATATCTGTGCCAACCACAGTATTTCAGGGGTGAAGGCGATGTGTCTCTCCCCTTAAAGGGTGGCAGAGCCTGTTTTGATCCTCTCAAGATGAAAACTGAAAAGTAGCATCAGTGGCTGATGTAACTATTAAATTTGATTCTCCTGCTTACATCATAAAATCATTGGTTAAATAAAAAGGTATGCTTGGAAATCCATTAAGACTTTCCAATTTTTTAACTTAAAATGCTCTATGTACAAAGGCATATAAACTACATATATGTATAGTTTAAAGAATAAAATTACTGCAAAACTCATGCACGCACTATTCAGTTTTAAGAACTAGAAAATCACAAGTGCCTTTGAAGCTCAAGCCCAAGTGCCATGCCCCCATCTCTGTCCCACTTCTCACCAACCCTCTCCCATCCAACTCCCAGTCAGCCTGCACTTGGATTTCTAATCGTTTCCTTGCTCTTTGTTACAGTTTTACCACACCTGGATGCATTTCTTAAGGACATATTAATTAGTTTGTCCTGTTGGGGATCTTTAAATAGAATCGAATTGCATGTATTCTTTTGCAAGTTTCTATTTTGCTCAACAAATCTTTGAGATTCACTCATACTGATGCCACATAGCTGTAATACATTTGTTCTCACGACTGAACTGTAACCCACTTAGGACTAAGCTGTATAATCTATCTCTTCTACCACTGAAAGATAGTCATGGACTCGTTTCACTGCTGTTAGGAAGGCCAGGGCTATCAGCCGACTGTGCTCATTTCCTGGGTCACACAGACAAGAGACTCCCTGAGCACAGACCTAGAAGCAGCATAATCCTGGGCTGTTGGAGATGCTTACACTCAATACACTCAACTTGTCTAGGTCATGACATATTATTTCCCAACACGGTTGCACCAATTTACAATTCTAGCAGCAGAAAATAAGAGTTCTATGGCTCATGTCATCACCAATATTTAATAGTGTCACATTTCATTTTTGCCAGGCTGTTGGGTGAGAAAAATGGTATCTCACTTGGATACTTTTCAAGACCAGTTAATTTTTGACAGTTCTAAATATACTCAATCAACCACAGGTGAGCTGATTCACTAATACAAATCCAACCGTTGGCACACTTAGTGACCTGTGTTCATACAACCTTAAAAGTAAGCCATATTTACTGAGAATACAAATGATTCCCAGAAAAATAGCTGCCATGTGCCCTGTAAGAGTTTCTCTCAAAAAGCAAGACTTGGGCCATTGTTCTCAAGTGAAAACATTTTGAACAATTGGGAAATGAGATGGTTACTCTGAGTGAATCCGGAACAGAAAGGAAAATGTTAACTAAAAGAAAATTAAATGAGATGGACTCTAGAACAGAGGTCGCCAGCCAGTGGTCCGCAGACCACTGGTGGACCGTGAGATCCGAAAGGCTGGTGACTGCGGATTTAAGGAAACCTTTGGAGCACAATTGGTGGCCCATGGACCACTGGTGGTCCGTGAGGTCCAAAAGGTTGGAGACCGCTGCTCTAGAACACCCAACAGCAGCGCAGCACACTGCGGCTTAATTTTCCATTGACAGCAAAAGGAGCAACCCCTCGCCGAAGCTCAGCCTGCTTGGTCCACAGCTACTAAAAACTCTCTGAAGATAAAGAACTTCACAGCCCAACCCGCTCGGCACTGGTGCAGGACAATTCCTGAGTGTCAATCTGTCTGGGCCCTTAGCTTGGTCTCTCCGTGGAAGGAAAGACCCTGGAAATGCCTTGTAGGATATACGGGTTTTCTTACTCTGGAAGGAGAGAATGCTCTGATGAACCAGGCTTTACTTTAGAGAGTAGCTATGGCCGATTGGAAACGATCACTGACTCAGTCCTCTTCTAATAAAACAAACAAGTCCAGCAGGGAGTGAGGAGGCTTGAAATTTAAAATGATGGCAGCCATAAATCTCCTTGGAAATTTAGCTACTATCAGGGCCAGCCAAATGATCCTTCACTATTGAGCAATTTCAGATTCTAGAATACGCCAAACTTCAAGGTCAAAAAGACTTAACTAATCACACACCTTTTGAAATAACTCAGTTGAATTAGAGGAAGGAAAAACCTTGATCTTTTGTGCTTATGTAGGCACTTGTTTTTTATCTTTCCCTGCCCTGGCCTGCCCCCACCCCCCTCATGTAAAATTTATGTAGAAATAGGCCCAGGCAAATATTTGTGTTAAGCCCCACAATAATATATGCTTAGACTGACCTGACAGAGCCCGGTTGTAATAATCTCCAGAAAGGGTGAAGTGGGCGTAGCCTTCAGGGCTAGTTCTTACACGCTGGAGAAAATTCAGACCTGCAATGAAAGCAAAGCTTACTGCAGAGCCAGGGCAGAACGACCAAAACTTTCTTTTGCAGACAAAGCCCATTAAAGAGATGTTAGTTACAGCTACGACTGATGATCTCACAAGAAAGTACATAAAAATCTGATCCTTTGTTCATCACAGAGTTCTTTGTATGGATTCTGATTTTTAAAATACTGCATTAAAATACTGCCATTTCTCTCCATTACTGAGTTGTGGGCACCCTTTAAAGGTTGTGACTAAGTTAAATGCCTCCTTTGTCTCCCTCCAGAGCCAGACCGAGGCCCAGCACCAGGTGTATTTGAAGCCTGGGGACATAAAAACATTTCCAGCTGAGGATCCTACAAGAAGGTACAGTGCTAGGAGGAGTCATGTCCTGATAAATATTAGCTCGCATTTATAAGCTTACCATAGGAAAATAAGGAATAATGGTGCTCTGCAGAAAAGAGACTCGTGGAAACAGTCCAGGTCCCAGGTGCTAGTTTTAATCACGTGGCCCTTGTAAGTGCCCAGAAGCAGAGGAAAAGGAAAACCTCTACAATGAGCAAAAGGTCAAATTAAATCCCCGGAACCGATTTTCTTTGAAGGGACGAGAGGGCAGCAAGATCAAAACAATGGAAAATTAAAAGTAAACACAGCAGGGAGAGGTTCCTTTACTCTGCAGCAGCCGCATGTAACACAGCTAACAATGGCGCGGCGTAGGCTAACGCACTTCTACCCGAGTCCCTGTTCAAACTTCCTCTTCCCTGCCCTCTGAGGGGAATCTAATAGGACTGTGTTTTCTATTTTCAAAAGATATATAGAGCAGAAGCATTCTAAATGCCTTTAATAATGCTACAATCACTTCAGTATTCAGATACATAAAAAAATAAGGTGGAGAGATCAGGAATTATTGAGCTAGAGCTGTTAATATAACAGAAATTTTGTCAATGACAATTTCGGTTATTCCACAGCTATAGGCTGAAGGCCACATATGGCAAATAAATACACATTTCTTTAAAATACAAATAATGAAGAACATATATAAAACCATTATCTAAATATTCATCCATACTACTAAGTAGAGGGCATGAATAAAACAAAAAGGCCCCAAATAATTCAGCAATCACGGGAAATCTTCAGGATGAGTCTGGAGACCAGGAGCACACTCACGGGAAAAGGTGAGCTCGGCAAGAGGAACGTCACGGTCCATGCAGTCGTCGATGAAGCAGATGCACACGCTCTCGGCCTTAATCTCCACACCCGAGATCAGCTGAGCCGGTGTGGTCCCCTGGCTCTCTTGGCTGTTGGGGGCCTGGGAAAGCGACTTCAGAGGCTCGGCATTCTTAAACAACCAACTTGCTGCCTTTTTTAATTGGCCTGCAAAGAAATTAAAAGGGGATCAGTGCAACCAGTTCCCACAGCGACTCAAGCAACTCACAGAGGAAGCAGAGAAAGGGTATGGGGACCTACTGGACAGCCCAAGAGAACCTTAGTCCAGCTGTATTCTTAGATATAAAAAAGGAAAAATGGCATAATAACAGGATTTCTGCTTTTAAGCAAATAATAAGGCTCTCTTCCAGTCATTTTATTACACCTTTTATGTATTAAAGCCAGAGCCATCTTTCCTCTACTATGACACCTGCTGAAGGAGAGGAGAGAAAAGGATACAGAAGAGTTATGGAGATACACTGAATTACCTTGGCACACCAAAAGAGCCTTGCGACAATCGTCCATGCTGAATCCCAGCTCCTGCAGTCGAGCCAGCTGTAACTCTAGAAAAAGGAGTACAATATTGTTATTAATATCTTTGTTAATGAATCCATAGACTAATTTAAGGCAAAAGAAAAAAATTCAGAAACTGGTGACTAAAACATTTCATTTCTCTAGGCAAAAATGGTCTCCTGATTAAAGACTTTGGTCACGTGTACCCTGAAAATTATAGGAGCCTTTTTCTGTATATTGATTGTGTTTTAAAAGTTTAAAACTGAAACTTAGTATTATCTACATAACTTTAGAGGAAAACTCGAAGCTGAAAACCAAACCTTAGCATTTCCCATATAACTCAGGAGGAAATTGCAAAAGGAAACGTAGATAGGCTAGAACAGATGGTTTGGGGTGTTAAAAGTTTTTTTAAAAATAGAGAAGCATATTTAGGCTCCCAATTATACTTTCGGACATGCAATTACACTCTGAACAATTAAGCTGTGCAAAAGGAAATCTTAAAAGTAAACAGAAGGAAAGTGATTAGAAGGACTATGTGGGTTTAAAGTTAAACACCTACCCAAGACAGGATCTAAGGTATGTCTTGTCCCTTCTCTGATTTCCTCTCCAACTCGAGTCGCACCAGATAGGCCACTGCTAACGGAACTGGCCCCCGAGGCCGCTGTGTCGGGCACCGCAGCGTTAGCTTGCTCAGGGATGGATTTTGCAATGGCGAGAAACAGCTGGACATCATTATAGGAGAGTCTGATGTCCAGGGCTTGTAACTGAATCTGTCAAAATGAAAACGGTGGCAGTTTTTAAAGTTTGATTTTTGCATCGACACCTCTTTCAGATACAATTCCCTAGTTCAAGTTTCAGAAATCCAATAGACACTACACTACTCATTTTGAAAACGGGAAAGCTCACTATAGTAAGCACTATAGTAAGCCATGAGGTAAGACGTAGGGAGACTTTCACACAAGAACATTAATCATTAAAGCAGAGGATCAAAGATTGGCTGCAGGGGAGAATAAGATCCTCTGTTAGCAACGTTTTGTTAGTCCATTTGGCTTTGTTCTATTTTTTCTTTTTAAATCTCTGAAACAAAATGACCAACAAAAGTATCTCATCTTTATTCAAACAGAACCTAAAATGATTCAAGTTCCACATGAATATTTCCTAAATCTCTGGTCCTCCTCAGAGATTAGCCACACAGCCAACACTAGCAAAAGCCACACAGACGACATCAACCCACTTTAAAAATGGGATGACGGTTCAAATGTCTGTGTATGATGCTTTACTTACTTATTTTTAATTTTTTTTTTAAAGACTGAACATTGGAATTGCTTTTCTCTCTCTTTCAGGCTCCTATTCCCCCTCTACCAAAGAAATAAAACATCAAATCCTTAGGCCTTCTTTGCCAGGCCTCGCCCTCCCTGCTTCACCATACATCTTCCTCCTCCTCATGCCTCTTGTTCTAGTGCACTGGTCGGCAAACTCATTAGTCAACAGAGCGAAATATTAACAGTACAACGATTGAAATTTCTTTTGAGAGCCAAAATTTTTAAACTTCTTCTAACGCCACTTCTTCAAAATACTCTCACGCAGGTATTTTGTGGAAGAGCCACATTCAAGGAGCCAAAGAGCTGCATGTGGCTCTCGAGCCGTGGTTTGCTGACCATGGTTCTGGTGAGACATATCTATCTCATGTTTGTTGGGCCATGTGCACCCCTGACCTCAAGGCTTCCTAACATGAAATGTTCTCCCTCTCTGCCTATTTACCCTCCCCTCCACTCGGACTCACCTGACCTGGAGTTCCACTCACAACCAACAGTCCTACCTGCGTGGAGTTCTGCTTCCCATAAACCTTTATAGAACTTGAAGATTATACTAGACCAGTGGTCTGCAAACTGTGGCTCGCAAGCCACATGCGGCTTTTTGGCCTTTTGAGTGTGGCTCTTCCACAAAATACCACGTACCCTAATTAAATTAATAACAATGTTCCTACCTATATAGTTTAAGTTTAAAAAATGTGGCTCTCAAAAGAAATTTCAATCGTCGTACTGCTGACATTTGGCTCTGTTGACTAATGAGTTTGCTGACCACTGAGCTAGACAATTAAAAGGTCTTTTAGCCTCTACAAGACAGCAAGATCTTCAGACAGAGTTGGTGATATTTGTATTTTGCTGCTGAAGGACCTAAAATGTGGTTGGGCCCAGCAGAGGCATCTAGTCCCAGCTCAGAAAAGTGTGTGAGAGGGCATCAACGTGGCACGGGTGGTCATCATTACCTCCAGGATGGGTGGGAAGTCTGTGCTGTTGAACGCATCCATCAGTCCTGAGCTGTTCTGATAAGAAGAATTCCCCACCAGCTCCACCTGGATTTGTACTGGATCAACAATTGAAAGAGCCGTATCGTGTTCATTCCCCAGTCGGCACGAAAACACCTAGAGCGTTAAATGTAATATGCTACGAATTAATGTCTGACTTAGAAAGAGCCTGGCCATCAGCTGAGAAAGAGATGAGCTCAGAAGCAACACCCATGACAACTACTGGGATACTGTGAATAGAGAGGCTGGTACTGCCCAACTGCCCACGGCATGTTCATGTAAAAGGCACTTTAGCAACAGGTAACAAAAGACTTAAAACTCTCACAACCTTTAAGCCAGCAACCCCACTTCTTTCTGGGAACTAGCCTAAGGAAATAATGCAAAATACAGAAAAATTCACTGAGCCATTACTTAATAGTTAATAAAAACAATTAAGAGCAATCAAGGTTAAAAAGTAATAACAAATTTTAAAAGAGCAATCAAGGTTTAATCACTCAATACACACAGCTACTCAATGGAATATTTTGCAGCCACTTAAAGTGACAGTTAAAAAGAGCAGATGAAATGCAGGAAGACAGTCCCAATACAGGTTATGTGAAAATGCAGCCCAATAAATAATTATGATACCATGACTTTAAGGGAAGAAACATATTGAAATATCAAAAGAGATTATTTTTGAAGAGAGAGGTGTTTTTCCCTCCCCTGCCCCAATTTTATATACTATAGTTGTTCCGTTCGTAGTCAAAAATAACTACATTAATTACTGAAGCTGGGTCCATTATATTACTGTTTCCTTTGTACATGTTTGAAATGTCCTATTAAAAAGCTTTAAAATAAATATCTTTTATTTATGGGGAGAAAGAAGAGAAGGAAGGGAGGACTCCTATTCTAAGATCAAATTATTCTGCCCTCTCAGAAAGAGTTCAGAGAGGAAAGCATTCATGTTGGTTTTCCTTGCTCCCTTTTTTGGCATTTTTTAGAGCTACCGAGGTCCTTTGCTGTATGTAAAATTAACTCACTTTGCTTTCTTTATAAGTTTGATACTGTACCAAGGAGGGCTTCCAGCTCAGATTCCACCGTGCTGCCTGCTAACAGGACGGCAATCGGTTTCCAGGAAGCTCAGTGTGCGTGCACTTGTTCTAAGGCTCTGGAGCAGGTGAATTGGTTTTCCCTTTTCCCTCAGGGGCTTCTGCTACACAAAACCCAATTGTACCTAACAGCTCATTAATCAATCACCAAGAGTGTCCGTTCAAAGCTGGCATTGTGGTGGCTCAGAAAGTAGATGAATTGCAATTTCATGATCAACTCGCATCACACCAGCATGTAAATCCTTCCTCTCAAACGGAGGTTTCTTTACATGAGAGAAACAAGTGGTCGAGAAGTGAAATCTCTACAGGTTTTAATCAGCTATATCTGACCAGAGGGGGTGGGGGGGAGGGAAAGCACCATATGCGGTTGACAGTGAAAATAAGTTTTCTCATCAACTTCTGAATGATATCACTGGGAAGAACAGGGCATGGAAAGTTCAGTTGTGAAAGGAAAGGAAATGATGAGTAACCCTGACCCAGGATTGTAGCGCTGTAACAGGAGGAATGTTAGCCGAGATCAGGGAATGAAGAACTTTTGATAGAGATAACAATCTGCCTCATTTCCCCCTCTCCCCACGAGTCCTGGCTTACAGAGAGGAGAGAATTTTTATCTAATATTGTACAATATGACTTCCAGGCTACGGAGGACACTCCAATACATATCTCGTTCGGGAGGTTAAACCAGGGCCACGGGATCACTATTCAGTCCCTTAGGTAATGCATGACTCTCCATAGTGGCCCTTTTATAGATCAGATAGTCCTAAAAGGATACATAAAACTCTTAACCCCTTTTATAACTACGTTTCCATGACCACAAAGCCTTCATCTTCATAGACAAGCAGTCACTGTGGAGAAAGGTGCCAACGATGAGGCCTGCAGAGCCTGAGGACAGAGCAAGGAGCCTGGCCGGGTAACGAGGAGCCTGACCTTCTGAGGAAGAAGGGTGTAAGAAGGTGGTCAAGCCAAAACCAGATTGGCTCAGTGGATGGAGCCAGTCAGCCTGCGGACTGAAGGGTCCCAGGTTCAATTCCGGTCAAGAGCATGTACCTTGGTTGCGGGCACATCCCCGGTAGGGGTATGCAGAAGGCAGCTGATTGATGTTTCTCTCTCATTGATGTTTCTAATTCTCTATCCCTCTCCCTTCCTCTCTGTAAAAAAATCAATAAAACATATTAAAAAGAAAAGAAGGAGATCAAGTCCCTCCACACATACACGACCCGACACTGGAGGACTCCATTCACGCTTTAGAGTAAGCAGGCAGCTTTGAGGAGAAAACAAAGAGAGGGCAGGGATCCTCCAGTTCTGCTCATTATTTCTCCTAATAAAAGCTCGGGAGGCAAAATGCTCTTCCAGCTGCTCTTCTTTTGAGCCAAACAGGTAGTCTTTTGATCAACTCATAAACTTCTTACCTCGATACCAAACAAACTTCCTGAAAAGGGGCGGTCCACAAATCGGGGCTTATAGGTAAGCACGGTGGTGCCTTTGAGAATAATGGCGTTGGTGTCGAAGCAGGACACATCTTCCACGACCACAAACTCTGTACCTGAAAGGAGAGCACCGTTAGCCAAGCCCAGGCTGGGGAGCTGGGAAGCACCAGGCTGCTGGAAACGAGGCGGCACGTGGCCACCAGGAGGGGCTGACCATCGGACCTGTTCTCCGGAGTATCCACATTCTCCTTCACCGTCACCCTGAACCATTCTCTGCGTCTGGCCAGGCACAGCTGAGCCAGCAGATCCTGCCCAGGCAGAAGGGACTGCAGTACAGTTTCTCTCTTTAGAACACATTTTTAAGCTAAGTCTCCTCAGAGAACTAACATATTCAGAAGCTCAGAGAATCATCCCTCCTCCAACCGATGACCTGCTTTAAAATCCCAGAAAGTAGATTCAGATAGGAATGCTGGGCAGGCAGCATTAGACACTGTATCATCCATGTAGCCGTTCAAGAAGAACAATCTAGTGTAGAGATTTTTAAAATTAGTACCTGCAGTTTCCTACTTATTTGTATATGGAAAATTTACTTTGCTTTATGTACTGTGTGTCTTCATCAAAAACCAAGTATAAAGTGATCTTTCGCTTCCAACCCATTGAGTACTTCATAGGGAATATCACAAACAATAAAGACACAAATACATACAGATGTACTAGTTAATAAAAACCATAATAAATCTATTTGTAAAGTATTCTATTTGTAAAGAGAAAACAATCCCCTCACTTATTATAAAATTAAATTTTCACATTCTGAACTTGCCCAAGCTCAGTAAGGCACATCTGATGGGGCCGTAAAGATCCAATAGAAAATTGAAGGAGATATTTAATACTGGGGGGGTTAAGGGGGAGTGGAGACCACTGCCCAGGAGGTACTCAAGCTGGGATGTGCATTAGGCCAGCAGAGGAAAGAGACAAGAGACCCTGAAGCCTTCACTTAAAGGCCAAGTAGTTCACACCCACACAGAGGTCAAGAACATCAATGCTTATTGTTGGTCGATAAAAGACTCAAATGTGGCCAAAATCAGGTTGGCTCAGTGGATAGAGCGTTGGCCTGCGGACTGAGGGGTCCCGGGTTCGATTCCGGTCAGGGGCATGTACCTTGGTTGCAGGCAAATCCCCAATAGGGGGTGTGCAAGAGGCAGCTGATCGATGTTTCTCTCTCATTGATGTTTCTAACTCTCTATCCCTCTCTCTTCCTCTCTGTAAAAAAACAATAAAATATATATATATTTTTTTAAAAAGACTCAAATGTGTAAGTGCTGTCAAAAAATGAAAGGCAATAGAAAAGTTATCCTGTAACACACTGAACCTAACAGTTAAACTCAGAGCAGTGACTCGCACCTATGAATACTCACCTGTTACATTGACTTTGACCTCCAAGTGCCTTTCAGTGGACACAGGAAGGGAAGACCGCCTGGTAACTACTCCACTCTTCACAGTTTTGGGAACTACAGCAGATTCACTGCTAGAGTTCCGGTGGCGAGAAGGGGTAACATTAGCTTGTTTCTTAATGTCACTGGGAGTGTGGAGAAAATCATGGACTAACAGCAGCCAATCAAATATGAGAAACACTCGGAGATTGTTGAGAACTACCGTAAAACAGGAGGAATCCTTCGTAGATCTATATGAAAGAAGGGACCAAAACAGAACATCAAAAAGGAGAAACATATTTCTTTAACCTACAAATGTATTACCCATTTTTGGCAGATAGTATTCCATCATTTTCTACACTGACAGCTGTATCAATAAACTCTGAAAACTGTTATAAATAAAACATTAAATGCATGTTTTCAGAAATTAATCATATTTTTAATAAGCAAGAAGTAATCTATATATAGCCGGGACCGGTTTGGCTCAATGGATAGAGCGTCAGCTTGGGGACTGAAGGGTCCCGGGTTCAATTCTGGTCAAGGGCATGTACCTTGGTTGCGGGCATATCCCCAGTAGGGGGTGTGCAAGATCGATGACTCTCTCTCATCGATGTTTCTAACTCTCTATCTCTCTTCCTTCCTCTCTATACAAAATCAATAAAATATATTTAAAAAAAAAAAAAAAAAAGAAGTAATCTATATATATAAAAGGCTAAGTCTGACTGGTAGCTATGATATGCACTGACCACCAGGGAATAGATTCTCTGACAGGTAGCTATGACACACACTGACCACCAGGCGGGCAGATACTCAACACCCAAGCTGCAAGTGACTCGGCAGCGGCAGTTCTTGGGTGATGCACCCCGGAACCAGAGAGAAGGGAGCCTGATTTCAGGTTCATCACGAAAGAACTGCCTCTTGCAATCCAGGACCTGTCAAGGTGGGGGTGGGGAGGAGGGATGCTGGAGAGCTGGTTTCAGCCTGATTCCCGCAGGCCAGGCCAAGGGACCCCACCTGCTGGAGGTATCCCGCTCACTCCATGCCCTTCAAGTCTCTGAGCCACCCCAGATGCGGCCAGCTGGGTAAAGTTGGCTCCAGGGCTTGTCCGGCCCGTCTTGCCCAGTCCCGCCCTGCGGACCACCTTCTAATCAATATCCTCTCAATGTGCATGAATCTGTACACTGGGGCACTAGCATGCTATAAAAAACAGTCCGGTGCAGTCCAATGGCTCTCAACAAGGGTGGCTGTCCCTCAGAAGACATCTGGCAATGTCAGTAGGTATTTGTGGTTGACACAACTGGGGGGGAGGGGTTGTTATTGGCATCTTGTGGGTAAGGCCAAGGATGGTGCTAAACACTTCACAATGCACTGAATTATCTGACCTGAACATGTTAATAGAGCTGAGGCTACAGTAAAAAGGGCGCAGGCTCAAATCCTGTCACTTAACAAGACGTGTTGTCTTGGGTGAGTAGCCTACCTTTTCTGAGACACAGAATATGTATTTGATAAATGTCAGTTCCCTTCCCTAAGGCTGTTTCAAGGAGATCAAGGAGGCTCTCTTTCCTTGATGTCTAGAATGACTCTTTATAGACACCAAATTTATACACCAACACCAGTGGGTTTCTCTACTGGAACTGACCTGAGAACCCAGATCTTTGAGCCTGAGCAGGAGGTCAAATAAGATAGCGTTTATTGTGGGTATGACCCCCAAGCACCCTAGAAGTAGAATGGGGGTGAGGGGGAGAATTCCTTGTTTTTTAGTCCCATTACCCCAAATTCTACATTTGAGGTGAAAAGTCAAGGACTCTCAGACCTGGCCTGGCCCACGGGGGCAGTAGGCAGACGGGTAGCACAGAAGGACAGTGGGCTAGGGACATCTCTACAGCATTTTCTGGGTTGAACTTTGTTCTGGAGCTCTAGCTAATGCATGTACCTGGTTCTCTGCCCTAACAGGGCTCCTATTCTGGAAAAACTGATTCGGAGATATTTGGAAGGCTGGTTTCCCTATGCTCATATTTCTCATAAACCTGGCTCACTGCCTCTAGAAAAGAGGCACAATGATGTATGTCTCCTTCATACAGTCACAGCATTTTTCACAGAAACACTTTACCCTTTTGTAATGGAGAAAAAATGTTGCCCTCAGTGAAAATTTTCCACCCCATTTTGAACACAGATCGTCAGAGCTATGCACTAACTGGAAAGTCAAAGTGTGTCTGATCCTTTTTCTGGAAAATATTTCAAGCTTTTAAACACTGTGAAGTGATTTATATTTGACACACAAAATCCCAACAAAAGAGCAATTCTTTTTGAGACACAGAAAGCGTTCAAAAGTTCCAATCAAGAGAATATTTTAACCCTCTCGCTAACAATGGCACCTCTGTTAGCAAGGGCCAAGGTAAGACTTCATTTGACTCCAAGAAATCATATACCTTGAGTATATAAATAGAACAATATTTCAAGGCTGCTTATATATCAAAAACATGATAGGCTAAAAAGCTGGCTGATAGTTTAGGAAGCCAGATCATTATTAGATCAATACGAATAAAGCAAACCTAAAAAGAAATTGTTGCTGCAGATGAACCAAATATATGCGAGCTTCCTGTTCAAATAAACATTGCCTTCAAACAAAGGCACTGCAAAGCACAGCCACCTGTCATCTGACCACTATCAGCCCATCCGCCTGCAGACATCAGGAAAGAAAGGACTTTGATATCAGGGGCCCAGGTTTGAGTTCTGACTACTTTGCTTACTAGCTGCGTGACCTGGAAGAGTTACTTAACCCACTCCAAGCTTCTAGTTCTGCATCTGTCCAATAGGGAAGGAAGTCACTCACCTTGCAGACTCGTGGGAACTAAAGATTAGGTAAATTGCCTGGCTTGTGTTTGGCTCAGTAAGAGCCAGCTAGCATTCCTAGTACTGAGCTTTTATTTATTTTTATTTTTTTTATTATTAATTTTTTACAGAGAGGAAGGGAGAGAAATAGAGAGCTAGAAACGTCAATGAGAGATAAACATCGACCAGCTGCCTCTTGCACACCCCCTACCGGGGATGTGCCCACAACCAACGTACATGCCCCTGACCGGAATCAAACCTGGGACCTTTCAGTCCGCAGACCGACGCTCTACCACTGAGCCAAACCGGTTTCGGCCTAGTACTGAGCTTTTAAAAAGTTCATACAAAAGCTTAAATGTCTACTTTGCTAGTTTCCTATGGCTTATGGAGAGACCACAACCTGTCCCTAAAAAATATTGCAGCCCTGAGGAATTCACTAAACAGCATACTGAAATGGCAAGTATATTTAAATATATAAATACAAGAGATAATCTTGATGCATTTTTTGTTTCTTTTTATGTCTAACCACGAAGTTTTCACTTACTTCTTCTCTCTTAACCCAGCCTTTTCGTTACTGGCCTATATTTACAACGTATCTGATGATATTATGTAGCATAAACAGAATGAAATTGATATTACTGCCACAAGTCTCCTTTTGGATTTGCATGGAGAGATTTCTTTATGTCAAATTTAATTTTTTAGTTTTCAGGCCAATGCTCACTTGGTCACCAAATCTTACTGAAGTATATCATAAAATAACCTAAGCTACATCAGGAATAATAATGGCTTCTACCATCTGTGCCAAACAGAATGCCAGGCAGGTACAGTTGTGCTTTTCTGTCTTATAAGAAGAAAATGCACCTCGAAAAGGTTAAATAGTTTGTTCTAGGGACACACAGTTAGAAAGTGTAAATGGAGTGTTTGATCCCAGATCCGTATGACCCCTGAACATTCACACTTGCCACAGACACAACTGCCTCCCCTAATACCAAAAAGAAAACATAATCTAGTTTTAAAGCTAAAGCTCTTTTTCAGGACAAAGTGAGTCAGCAAGACTTGCAGAGGTAATCGGCAATGCGAGACAAAACCATGGTCCCCTATCATCAACAAACAACGAGAGCAGAGAGGATGCGTGCACTGCTGGTGGGAATGCAGACTGATGCAGCCACTGTATGGCGTTTCCCCAAAAAACTAAAAATGGAACTCCCATTTGACTCAGCAATCTCACTTCTAGGAAAAAAAGAAATCAGAAATACCGATCAGAAAGAATATATGCACCCCCATGTTCATAGCAGCACAATTTATAATAGCTAAGATTCGGAAACAGCCTCAATGCCCATCAGCAGATGAGTGGATTAGAAAACGGTGATACATCTACACAATGAAATACCAAGCTGCTATAAAAAAGGAGGAGTTCTTATCATTTACAACAGCATGGATGGACATGGAGAACTTTATGCTAAGTGAAATAAGCCCGTCCAAGAAAGATAAGTATCACACGACTTCACTCATTTATGGAATATAATGAACAATATAAACTGATGAACAAAAATAGATCCAGAGACAGAGAAGCATGGAACAGACCATCAAACCTCAGACGTGTATGTGTGAGGGTGAGGGTGCGGAGTGGAGGGGAGGGTAAAAGATCAACCAAAGTTCTTGGATGTATACATATAAGCATAACCGATGGACACAGACACTAGGGGGGCGAGGGCATGTGCTGGGGGGTAGAAGTAGCGGGGAGAGGTCAATGGGGGAAAAAGGAGACATATGTAATACATTAAACAATAAAGAATTAAAACACACACACACAGAGAGAAAGAGAGAGAGAAACACCTTCCCTTCTGTTATCTCTATAGAAAAAAGTCTTTCTTTTTCCTTAAACAGGCATAGTATTCCCTGCCCAAGTTGCTTTACATATTAAAACAGCCTACAGCAAGCATGTCAAACTCACAGCCACACAAGCATGTGGCCTCCCAGCTTTGAGTTTGACATCCATGGTCTACAACTTATAGGCAGATGGATTTCAAAAACCTGGCTTAACTCTAAACTACTTTTTTTAAACAACAGAGACACCTTTTGGCCAATAAATGAAGCTGCAAGGTTAAGGAATTCTAAGTCAATATACATTACAGTGCACACTGATGGATGGACCATTATGTCTTTATATTCTCAGTGATTCCTTGGTCCTTTGCTGCTCCACAGCCAACATGGCCATGGCCGCAAAAGGAAATACCTCAATAAAGAAAGGCAGACCAGGGTCTGGATGTACTACCTGAAATGCAACTCGATCTGAATGGATCCCAGGGCTGTGCTGCTGTTCTTGGAGGGCTGGAAGATGCAGCTGAAGACGTTGGTCATGCCAGGACTGGCCTTCTGCCCAGCATAGCGGGTGTCAAAAGCCATCATGGAATGGGAAACCAAGTTAACAGATTTGGTTTGGTTGGAAAAGCTCTCAAAGAGCAGTTTACATTTCTTAAAGTCAAATCTAAAAGAAAGAAATCAAACAAGATGTTAAACTCTTACCTTTTCCAAAATTATGTAAGTTCAAGATAAAAGAACAAAATAATAAATATTGCTTAAGTTCTATGAAGGAGGACAACATTCATTCTGAGATCTTTCATTGATCTTAACAGATACCTCAAAATGGACTTAATATCACTATGATCTGTATCTTACTTTCTATTTCTAAAGAGATGATCTTGTCCATAGAAATCTCATAAGGAACAGCACTACCACGTATGTATTATATTCTTGGTTCATTTTCCATCTCAAGTCTAAGAAGATTGAATACAGGGTTGGGCAAAAGTAGGTTTACGGGTTTTCGGATGGAAAATATATAATAATAAGTAATAAATAATAACACAAGAATAAACTCTGTTTCCAGTACCCGTAACTGTAAAGCTGTTTTGCCCCATGCTGTATATGCGATAATCCTCAAAGGATGTCAAGGATCCCTTTAGTCCTTCATCTGTCGACTTCTAGCCTGCCTAGAGGAGTCTCTCTCCAGAGTTTGCCTAATTTTTACTCAGACCACTATAGTTTAATGGGAACTACCAGAACAAAAAATACCCTTCATTACAGAAAAATAACGCAATTCACCCACCAATAGGAAATGCATTTGGGACTGACTTATTTAATAACAGAGAAAGCTGCAATGGACAACTCATAATCACTCAGTGCCATCACAACAATCTGTACAAAATTGTACAATCTGTACAACTGGAGAAAACTAAGGGCATAGAAAGTCATCAAAAAATTTGCAACAAAACCAGCAGCATGGAACTCGATCTGAGTTAGATACAGACCAGGATGGATTTTCAAGGGAAAAACAAGGTAGAATCTAAGAATGCTTCTGTGAGGAAATCACTAGGCTGAAATCCTGTTTTCAAACATTGAAACACTTATCCAGCCATATAATCTGACATTAGTCAAAAACTCTATCTAGAAACCAGAGAAAAGTAATGCCTGCACAAGCTTACATAGCTGTCAAGATATCTACATGAAAGGTAATCAAGTGTGAAAACGCAATGCGTTCTTGAAGGTTCTCACTGCTAATAGATTCCTGGTCCACACTGACCAAGCAGACAATATAAGTGAATCCCTGCGTAAATGCATGCCCTTTCAAAAGGATTCCCAAGTTGCCACTGGCTTCTAGGGCTTCCAAATGAAAACATGGGCCAGCCAAAGCTTCCGATTCTTCAAAAGAAACTAACTTTTTGTGTGAAAACCCCCAAATTGTAAATGTTGAGCAGTGAGGGCAACGTCAGTGCTGCTCACCAAACAGTCTGGGTCTCCCCTATGCAGACACAGGAAGACTGCATGCTGACTCAGCCATGCGTGTGTGGGACCATGTTCTACCCCATGAGGTTTGCAGGGCATTTAACTGCTTGATAAGACCCTCCGGAGCTCTTATTTTTCTCGCTGGCATGTCAAGACTCTGTCTGCTCTGTCAGCCATGGTGACTGTAGTGGGCAGAGACGCCCGAGACCCCTGTAGCAGGAGGAGAAACCCTCTCCCTGTTCTAAGTCACTGGGATTTTCGAGTGCCTGCTACCAGAGCGCAGCCTACGCTACCTGGACATAGACACAATGAATTTAAACTTTTGAAAAGCACTCTGCAGACCACATTCCGCTGGGAACCAGCACTCCGGAACCTCTGCTCTCTGCTAAAGCAAAACATGTGGGTCGCTGTATTAATGTTATGTATTACTGTTGTTATAAGACAATGTACTAATGAGAGCCATACCTCGCCAGGGAGCCGGCACCTTCCCTTCCTTTTGGATCCTTCAGCTCCAGACTCACGTTCACCATGTCCATGAGGAAGCACATGCATGTGTACACCTCTCCGCTCAGGACCGTCTGGAAGAGAAAACGCTGGTCAGCCCATGCTTGATGGTGCCAATGAGGAGTGGGAAGAGGATGGCAAGAAATCTAATTGGCTTATTGTTCCATCTTCTTTCGCTGGGGGATGTGAGGCACGTACGCACAGGGGGACCATCTGCAGAGTTACAGAAGAACATGAGGTCTCACTCACATGAATTCTTGGGTCTTGCAAATCATAAGGCCGCATAAACTCCTCTATGGGCTCTCCCAGGTTGTTCTCTAGCAAACCACGGATCAGCTTGTATTTGTACAAGTCCAGGGAGCAGTGGACTGAGGAGAGGTTGCCATGGATGGATATGTCTGGCACAGTATGACTTATCTCTCTGTGGGGAAAAAAAAAAGGGGGCAAATTTTACAAACAAATCACTAACGTGACATTGGCATAGTTCACACCCGAATATAAGAGCTAAAAAGTGCCCACCTACATTATTGAACAGTTAATGTCTAACTTCCAGTGACAAAGATGTCACGTGCCTCCAAACAAAGCAAGTTAGTACGACTAAATGTCATGCTTCAACTACAAAAAGCCCCTTTCTTCCAAAATACATATTTACAAAGTCCCACATTTGATGAGCTGACTAAGGAATATGTTAATAAGGAAAAAAATCTCATGAGACTCAAATACTTTAAACATTATAGTTGGAAAAGCAATAAAGAAATAATGACAAGGTCTTCGTTTAACTCTTCAGATTAAGTGATAACTGAAGGGCGAAATCAGTGTTTTATCCCAAGCTCAGTGGGACATGAGGACAAAGTCTGTCAGTGATGCGTCTCAGCTGAGACGGCAGGAGTAAAATGGAAGAAGCCAGGTTGAGGAGTAATACATCGCTCCCCCCCACGGAAGCCCTTTTTCTCTGCCCTCCTCGGGGCGAAGTGGGCCTGAGAGGTCCTGCAGACGCCACGCTCTGAGTACGTAAAATAGAAGGTCAGATTTCACGTGGAAGGGGAATATAAAAAGGTACATGGTATATAGAGAAAACCTACATGCAATAAAGAGAAAAAGGACCAGTGGTGCAACCAGCCAAGAGAAGCTGGAAGGGATTACCGAGTGCCCTCCCAGGTCCCTGTTTGTGTGGAGTGAGAAGCAGATAGGATGCCTTGTGCTCAGTTATCACCTTATATCTGGGCTATAACCATTTGCACATAAACACCGATGAAAGTGGGTAACGTTTAGATAAAGAGAATAGCAAAGCACTTTTTTTTTTTGAAGCATTACTTGAAAAGAAAACAAAGTGTTCGATTTCTAAATAATGAAGCTCCTCCTAAGTCTGCTAAGCCAGTAAAACCAAATATAGCCCATGCCAACCATAACTGAACACCAGCCAAGGCGCACTTGAATAACAAGTAAGAATGAAATGCAAAAATCCCAGTGAGAGCAGCTACACTCTTTCATTAATCCAGACAGAAACGAAAAAGTGACATAAAAGGACTTGCCCAAACCCAAGGACTGCAAAGGGTGTGGCCAAAGAGGGACTCCAATCACTCTCTGTACCAGTAAGGAGGCTGCTTTCCAAAGTGTTCCTTTACAGCCCCTGCTCCTCTCCCAGGAGCTGAGATGCAAATGTTGCTGCTTATCCAAAACCAGCGCCTCAAACTGAAAGCCTCGTGCACTGAGGCCAGCAGCCTCCTGTCTGGCACCAACACTTCCGGACAACCTTGTTAATATAAACCGGGGCTCCGCCTGAGAGTCAGCTTCTGGTGGACTCAGGTAGGCTCTGGGAATGCCTATTCTCAAGACCTTTCCCAGCCGGGCATGGAACTAATGACAATTCAAACAATGTTCCAAACTACAGAAAGAAGCATCCTGTGTTTTGAGAGACCAATGAAAAGGTAAAGTCAGTTCACTAGTGTTTATGGAGTACTTTCAGACTGCTTAAGAGAGTGAAATGGGCAAAACTGCATCGAAACAGTTATTCTGGTTAAATGGAGCTCCAGGGAAATAGCAATACCAGGCCCAGAGCCCACTGTATTCGGAACATACAATCCAAATGTCACCTCTTCCAAAGTATTTTCCCTGCCGTCACCACCTCCTACACCAAAATCCATGCTAAGTGTATGTCCCTTCCTGTTTCTAAGGCGCCTGCTGCAATCCCAGCACAGTTTGTAACACTGACTCAAACACTAAATTAGAGCCATCTACTTGCCTTCCTACATCCCTCAGCAAAGCTCTGTGAAGGCAGATGTTTGTTCTTTCATCATAGCAGCCCTCATGTCTAGCACACAGAACTCAATGAACATTTACTATATGAAGAAGTGAATATCTATTATCTTTCACATCCACCTAACATCACTGAGTTCCACCTTATGAACATTCTACTTGTGACAGTTATTCAGATATAAAACACTCACTTATCCAAATTCCTTTCCACTTGCAATTTCAGCCGGCAAGGCTCAGTTAAGAGGCTTCCTCCTGTCTGTCGCACAAAATAGGAGGGAAAGATCAGATCTCCGCTGCTGTCGTCTGAGGCCTTAGAATACTCCCGGGGACGTCTCTCGGCAGCAAAGATGTCCATGTCCTGTAGGTCCACGACAATGCAATCCAGCAGGCAGACATGGTCTTCTACGTGGACCCAAGAAAAGAGAGAGCAGGAAGAAAGTGAGACCCAAAAAAGGCTGGTCCTGAGCAAAACTAAAAAGCCAAAGGAAGTTCGTTCTGTCTTTGGGAAAACGTGGAGAGCTGCCTGCTTCAGGAAACGAGGTGCCCGGACGTCTCCTCTCGGGCACCAGGGCCGCCCTGCGCAATGCTCTACGTGCTGACACTTCCTGCCTGCCCACCCCCACTTCCGGTGTACACTGTGCCACATCCCCTCAGCATCTCACTACTGTCCAGAGACACGAGCTGAGATTAAAAGGTTTTGATTAAACTGATTTAACATGCATCCCTCCCAGAACATCCAGGAGGCACCTGCTGTAGAGATAACATTACCCAAAGGTTACAAGGTCTCCCAGCAACAAAATTCTCTAACGTGCACCACGTTATATACCATTTCCACCACCACCTTTGTTCTTGCTTAGATCACCATAAACCCCCCTCCCATTACCAACCAATTCCCTCCTGGCCCTCACAAAATCATTCTGCCCACAAAATACCAGTGTAATCCCTTTAAAAAAATAATGAGACATAACATAAATTCTCTTCTTTTACACACTTTAATGGCTATGTTTATTCCAATTTTTTCTGTAAATCTCCCCTAAGCCCTGTAAGACCCTACATAAGCCCACTGCCTACTCTTCCAGCCTCTTTGCTATCTGAACAGCCTTACCTATGGGGCCGCCCTCCCTTCTCCATCTCACTTGTGTCCTCTCTGTTCTTCTGTCTTTCCTGTAACGTTTATCTTAATCTTCCAATATTTAGAAGCTTATTTAATGTCATTCCCACATTATTCACATGGTGGCAGGAACAATGTCTAACAGCACACACCTGGCATTAAGCAGGCACTAAATAAATTAGTTCTTGATTTCTTAACTATACTGATAACTATGTGAAAAGGATAAAAGTAGAGCTGATTTAGAAGGAGAAGGAGGGGATAGGAACAAAGGGCTTCAAGAGTCCATGGGCCATCATGGAATCCTAGGGATAAATAGAAGTAGGAAAACCACTACCTTAATCCAATCTTATACACAAATAGAGGAATCCCAGAAATAAAAAGTAAGCCTGGAGAAATATTGGTGGAAAGGAGATCTTTCTATATCCCAAATCCTTTCCTGTATGTAAGGCTGTCCTCATTCCTCACCAGCATTGTCATCATAGTGACAGAAGACAACATTCGCTGAGGATGCTAGGAGTGCACCCACCCCTGTGCTCCACATGTGTCACATAACATAGATCGAAAGGCAACACCATGTGGGTTAAGAATTCAAGTTCTGGAGTCAAACTGCCTAAGCTCATAGTCCAATGCTACCATTTATTATACTATAACTGGCAGGTTAAATTACTTAATCTCTCTTAGCCTTTATCTCTTCATCTGTAAAATGGGGATAAAAATAAAACTCTGTAGGGGTGTTATTAGGTTGAAATGTATGTGATAATTTATCTAAATAGTAAGTGTTCAACACTTATGATAATCATATAATGCCACTAACCATCTATTATGATAATCATATAATGCCACTAACCATCCAGGTAACCAACCTCCTGTCATCTCGATTGGCTCTTCCTCACATCTACCGTGTTTCCCCGAAAATAAGACATCCTCCGAAAATAAGACCTACTTACAGGTTTCCTTTTGAGTGAAATATAAGGCATCCCCCAAAAATAAGTGTGTGGTTCCCCCCCTCCCCCCCCCCGGCTAAACATGAGAGATTTGGTCCACTGATTCTGAAAGAAATGGAGTCACAAGAAATTCACCAGGAAATTCAGGAATTGGATTGTTATGATGATGTTCCAGAAGATGATGACATGATTGTCACTGAATAAATGAGTAAATTCTTGATACTGTAGGATTCACAGTTTGTCTGGTTTGTGTTGACAACTACCGTCCTACCGTACCGTATACAGGTAATAAATTTCCTTTATTTTCATTCAACAATAAATGTGTACCGTATTCTTCTTCATGGAAAAATAAGACATCCCCTGAAAATAAGACCTAGTGCATCTTTGGGAGCAAAAATTAATATAAGACACTGTCTTATTTTCGGGGAAACAGGGTATCTAACAGAGGATGCTCAGCAGTCTCCCTCAGCTTGAGTCCTCTAGCTCCCGAAGACCAACCACGATGGACTGGCTTTTGCGGCTTATCATACCCTGTTTCCCTCTTGAGCTCCTTGGAGTAGCATCTCACTTATCCAATCCATCACCCAACCAGAACCCATCTGAAAACTAAAAGGCCAAAATCAGGCTCTCATCTGGATGGCCCATTCTTAAATTCCAGAGCAGGAAACCAATGACTAGATGGCCCATGTCTTTTAAATTTTTTTCATTTAAAGTATTTCTGTTGTTACCTAATTCATATTAACATTTTATAAAAGAGTTTACGTTTTATTTTTTAGAATTAAATAGTGACTGGCAAGGATGGTGTCTGAACAGTAGGTGTGTCTAAGGATGCAGAAATCGTTCTAGTTATAAATATCACCATCTGGTGGCAACTCTCTTGACCTATAAGAAAAAAATCCTAATAAATGATCTAAATATCTTTCTTTACACTGCCAATTTAATCCACTTTAGAAGTCACCCAATGCTAAGTCTACATCCTAAATATCTTAGGCCTACTAAAGCAATGTAAAAATTCGATTAGCACAGAAGACATGCTATTGCTTTACCAGCATCTGCCCTTACAGGGGGCAGCCTTCTCTTCCATTCCCCGCCCCCCAACACACACACACACACACACACACACACACACACACACACGACCACTTACAGCCATCTCAGGAATTTCCCACCTTCCATCACACAGTTCCTTTCTCCTCTCTTACCTGGGCTACTGGAAACCTGGCCGGCAGAGGGTGTGGCTTGCTGCCCTGGCTGCCTGGCTGAGGCACTGGGCATGAGCTCACTCTTCAGGCCGCCTGCACTCCCTCCAGCAGGAGGCGTCATGAACAGCCCCTCCGCGTGGCCGTCCTTCGGATCCTCCGCGCTTGTCATTTTCCTCATGCTGTGCTTGGGAATGCTCACTGGGGAGGCTGAAGACACCGATTCCTGGAAGAAACAGAAAAAAGCTAAAAGGCAAGGATGGGGTGGCCGCTTCACTCTCCTGGAAATGCCAGCCAGTGCCTGGGCTCTTCAGAGACCCTATCACTTGGCGCTTCCCAAGACAACCTGATCCCGTGAGCAAAGGGTAACAGGATCACGACGTTTACATCACATGTAATTACCTGCAGAGATGTTACATATAATTCAATACCTGGTGAAAACTGGGCCAATTTTGCAGGAAGATATTATCTTTTGTCTAAAGAGTAAATGTTAAGATGCTAATTGCCAGTGGTTTAATCTACGTAAAATGAAGCAAAAGCTAATCTCTCAGCCAAATGATAGATTGGAGGGAGGATGCTTATTGTTCTAAGAACTGTATCTAACAGCAAGTTTGGTTCCAAGGGAACAAATTATTTACGTAACGTGTTTGAACTTTCTGGAAGTCTCTCCTCATGGGTTCCCATTTCTTATCTCTCTCAGTAACTGTATGTCAACGGAGGAGGGGGAAAGAAAGGAAACACAGGCGGTTGGCCTTTCCTATTACGTTTCTGCTCAAGGACATAAAGATTAAGGACTAATCTAGAGTAAAATAAATTCTACAAATCTACTGAAAATACTACACCCTGCTCTTACATACTGAGTGCCTTCAGTTAATTGCTCATAGGGATAAATCTTTTCACCAAAATGATTCAATAACTGCCTTGAAAACCTCCCGTGACTGCTCTGCCCAAGCCTCGGAGCCCTGCATCCCTACGGCGTGTGCCTCACCAGTGTTCTCACCTCTCCATTCTCAAGAGCGAAATGGAGGAGGGGAGAGCCGCTTTCCGCTAGCGCGGCCTTGCATGTTATTCCTCTCAGCCTTCAAGAAGGAGATGATAACAGTGCTCTCCTTCACGGTTATCTTGGGTAGGAATTACATGTAACACTGAAAGAAACCAGTTCTTACTTTCCGAAAGGTATTTTGCAAGTCAAATTACTAGGTAAATACTGTTATTTAAGTATTTCCACATTAAAAACCTTTCCTCTTGCTTCGTTTATTTAAACTCTAGAAAGTTGCTCTTTCATTTGACTCATCTCTACATCCTCGCTGCAGTTGGTCTAAGTAAATCAATGGCTTGCGGAGACTCAAAGCTTTTGAAAAGCTGACTTAGAAATTATGGTTTAAGCAAAAGTTCTAATTGAGGACATGAAAGGAAGAGCATATGTAAAATTCAAACCTGCACTCATTAAGACCTGGATTTATGTAAAACAATTCAAAACACACAGGAGTCATAAGCTCAAAGGCAAATAACCCCTCTGCAAGCTTTGGTTGCAGGATTACTTCCTGTTCTTCAACCACTGGAATGCATGCTAGACAAACCTCACACGTGCAAATGTATTCAAGGGCAAATGGAAATGCAAACTGGTTTTGGTGAGGAAAGTAACTATCTACTTTATATAGGCCAAGGAGCTTCACAGATATGTTTATCTGATGGCATACTGTCACAGGCAGCACACTCCACACAGCCCTTATGGAATTCTACAGAACCACCACTAGTATGCAAAAGGATAAGGCTTTCCTAGGGTTTAAGGGGGGGAAAATGCACCACCAAGAACTCACTACCGAGAGCAAGAAAGAAAGAGAAGGAAAGGAAAGAAAAGAGAGAAAAAGAAAAGCAATTGCTTTTCATAGTCCTTGAGAACTTCTCTACACAGGAGGAAAGCCACACACACACACACACACACACACACACACACACACACACAATAAGCAGACTTTCCCAATGAGATACTTTAAAGGGTTCATTTTTAAATTTTTCTTTTTTTAAGCATAAGAGTGTGAATTAACTGCTGAATCCCATAAGGTTTTTCAGAATAACCAGGAGGCAAAAAAAGCATATTATACCTTGAAGAAAAAGCGATCCTTGTATGCACTGCGACTTAAAATCAAATCCTCAAAAACAAATATAAGGAAATTTCTTTCATTAAAATGCTGCAAACTATATACAGTTCTCTGGCTTACTTAACAAAACTTTCTTGGGATAGTTTGGCAATTCTTTGTTAAGCTAACTTCGGTGTCAGCTTGTGAGCCCATATATAGATACCGGAGACCCGGTGCACAAAATGCGTGCACAGGTAGGGTCCCTAGGCCTGGCTGGTGATCAGGGCTGATTGGGGCCTTCCTTCTCCCTGCTGTCACTGCTGCCAGCTGGGGCCTTCCTTTGTTCTATGCCGCCCCCTGGTGGTCAGCACACGTCATAGCAAGCAGTTGAACTCCCAGTTGGTCAAACTCCAAAGTGTACAATTTGCATAATTGTTTTTTATTATATAGAATATCTGAGAAATCAGCCCTTTACTTTAGGAAAGGTAGAGACACAGAAATGGTACTTTTTTAAAAAAATACATTTTTTTATTGATTTTGTACAGAGAGGAAGGGAGAGAGATAGAGTTAGAAACATCGATGAGAGAGAGACATTGATGAGAGAGAGTCATCGATCAGCTGCCTCTTGCAACACTCCCTACTGGAGATATGCCCGCAACCAAGGTACATGCCCTTGACCAGAATGGAACCCGGGACCTTTCAGTCCCCAAGCCGATGCTCTATCCATTGAGCCAAACCGGTTTCGGCTGAAATGGTACTTACTGAACTTAATTACCCATTCCAGCTCTAACTGATCTTTTCCTAAAAATATGTAGGTCTCAAAACAAAGATTTACCACAGAACAAATATGTTCCCAAAAACTTACTATAAACTCAAAATACAGTTCCCAAGGAGGACTCCCTGGGCAGTAATGGCAGCAGAGCTGGAGCAAAGATGCAATATCCATGTGCAAACACTGGTGCCAATAGGTTTGTTTAAATCTACTCATCCTATCCTATATAATAAAGAGGTAATTTGCAAATTGACCATCACTCCAACAAACAAGATGGCTCTCCCCATGTGGTCAAAGATGACCACCCCCATGTGGACACAAGAGGGCCACCATGAGATGGCCAGTAGGGGAGGGCAGTTGTGGGTGATCAGGCCAGCAGAGGAGGGCAGTTGGAAGGGACCAGGCCTGCAAGGGAGGGCAGTTAGGGGTGACTGGGCCAGCAGGGGAGGGCAGGTAGTGATGATCAAGTCAGAGGGGAGGGTAATTAGGGGCAATTGGGCCAGCAGGGGAGCAGTTAAATGTCAATCAAGCAGGCAGTGGAGTGGTTAGGAGCAATCAGGCAAGCAGACAGGGGAGCAGTTGGGAGCCAGTAGTCCTGGATTGTGAGAGGGATCCCAGATTGAGGGTGCAGGTTGGGCTGAGGGACACCTCCCCCCTTGCACGAATTTCGTGTACCAGGCCTCTAGTGTTAATCATAAACACTTCATACCTAAGAAGTGAATAAGAAAGTTTAGAAGCAGTTACCAATTTTTCTTTTTATGAATGAACCTTTCTTTTATGTTCTTTAAATCAGCAAACAGCAAAAGGCTTATATCTCAACTATGAAAACTGGTTTACTTCATTAAGGCCAAGGTTACTAGTTCCCTAGTAGGCCTACTATGAAAAGACCAATAGTGTGGATTTCACTTTTACTGTTGCAAAAAATACACATAAGTGGCCCTGGCCCATGTAGCTTGGCAGTTAGTGTTGGCCTACTCACTGGAGGGTCATGGGTTCAATTCCTGGTCAAAGGCAAGTACCTGGCTGAAACCGGTTTGGCTCAGTGGTAGAGCATCGGTCTGCGGACTGAAAGGTCCCAGGTTCGATTCCGGTCAAGGACATGTACATTGGTTGCGGGCACATTCCCAGTAGGGGGTGTGCAAGAGGCAGCTGGTCGATGTTCCTCTCTCATCGACGTTTCTAGCTCTCTAGCTCTCTCCCTTTCTCTCTGTAAAAAAAAAAAAAAAAAAAAAAAAAAAATCAATAAAAAATATTTTTTTTAAAAAAAAAAAAGGGGGGGGGGGGGAGTACCTGGCTTGCAGTTTCAATCCCTGGCCCCAGTTGGGTCATGTGCAAGAGGCAACCAATAAATACATATTTTTCTCTCTCCCCTTCCCTTCCCTTCCTTCTCCTCTCTCTAAAAATCAATGGGGAAAAATATCCTCAGGTGAGGATTAACAAACTAACAAAAATACATGAGTGGGAATCTGTTTCTCCCAGTAAACGCAGCCTCTGGCAGTAAGGCCTCTTATTCCAACAGGAGGGCTTCTCGCGGGAGGGCAGGAGGTGACCTTCAGTCGTCAGCTCTGCCTGCAGGGTGCCTTTGAGCCTGGGTAAACCCGATGCTGCCCTTCCCTTGCATCACTCAACACTGCAGCCCCTGAGCGAGTGGCTATAACTAAGGTGATATATGGACAATATGACCTCCAGCACTTTGTCCAAACACCCCCACTCTGGGTCCAGAGCCCAAGGTTACAACACATGGACGCGGTTCCTATGGTTGTCCCTGTTCCATCTTCACTCTTCTCCTTCCTCCACCCATTCCCACTCACTGAATTAAATATCTTTGGTTCAAGGGGTTTACATAAATAACAGTGAGAAACTGAATGAGTGAAAAGTAAAAGAAATAAAAAATACAGAGATAGTAACTGAAAATCATAACATTACTTGAGTTTAAGCACTGCCATCAAATAATTATTTTCTTACTACTTTCTGAATTGAGTTGCGGTCCCCTTGGCAAGGTCCTGGTAAGGACTACCACCCCACTCCTGCTCTTTCATCTGCTCTTCTTTCTTTACAGAGGCAAACAGTAACTGCTCATTCATATCTTTTGTGTCTAAGTCTTCGGAGTTCTTCCATCTAAGTTATTTTAATGAACTCACTGCCACACCCTTCAGAAAATTCAAAGAGTTATAGCTACGCAGTAAGGGCCACTCACAACACATAACAGGAACAGCGTCTATCAGCTTATTTTCCCCACATTAACCTAGTCCTAATTCCGGGAGGTAAAATCAAATCACAGCATCTAAGTATGAGGTCCACATGTCCTCCTTACTACCTGTACAGTCCAAAAGAATTGGCTCAATCTTTTTTAAAAAAATATATATTTTTATTGATTTCAGAGAGGAAGGGAGAGAAAAAGAGAAAGGGGGAGGGAGAAATTTAAATAATGAGAGAAAATTATTGATCAGCAGCCTCCTGAACTGGAGATCGAGCCCAAAACCTAGGCATGTGCCCTTGACCGGAATCGAACCTGTAACCCTTCAGTCCACAGACTGATGCTCTATCCACTGAGCCAAACCAGGTAGAGTGGCTTAATCTTTTCAAGTCTCAATTTCTTTATCTGGAAAAACGGTGTTAATAATACTAGATACCTCTTAGGTTACTAATTTACTAATGAGAACAAAGTGAATAAATATGTAAAGAGCAAGGCTGATATATAATAAGCATTCAGTAAGTGTCTCACTGCTATTATTGTCAGTCATAAAATCTTATAATTAAATCAAATTTTATGTACACCCCCATTCAAAGGCCATCTCTCTCCCAGTGTTACTAGCTGTTAGACTAAAATGAGCATAACTAGCTGGGGTTTTCAGTAAGAGCTATTCTGACAAGCTAAAATGAGTTTGTACTGAATAAGCAGACAGACTGAAAAGCTTCTGTGGAAACTAGGAAGGTACCATCAAAACACAAGGAAAAAAGAAGACACCTCTAATTCCAGCAATGTTACCAGTCTCCTCAGGGCAAATATGAGTGGGAGGGGCTAAACAGACCACCTCCATGTCCTCTTGGCACTAAGTCTGTGATTACTAGGTCCTCTCTCTCTCTCTCTCTCTCTCTCTCTCTCTCTCTCTCTCTCTCTCTCTCTCTCTCTTTCCTTTTTTGTTTTGTTAATCCTCACCCAAGGATATTTTTCCATTGATTTTTAAGGAGAGTGAAAGGGAGGGAGATAGAGAGAGAGAAACATCAATGTGAGACAACACATCAATTCGTTGCCTCCCGCATGCACCTGGACCAGCCCAGACTGGGGCTGGGGATCAAGCCTGCAACTGAGGTATGTGTCCTTGAACCTGGGACCCTTCAGTCCTCTGAGCCAACCAGCTAGGGGGAGTGCTCCCATTTTTATCATTTATTCTCAATGAGTCCCCCTTTTTCCAAATGTAAAATGAAAACAATAGCAATCCTCATGCCAATTATCTCCAAACATTATTGTAAGAAATAAATAAGTTCTAATATAATTTTAAACTATAGAGCAATATCTGTATAAGACTTTATTATAAAGGTATTTTTTAATGGCTTAAGATAAACCTTGGGCCAAATCAGGTCCCCTGAAAAAGCCAAAGAGTATAAAAAGTTGATTATTCTGAGGTCAAACAGTGAAGAAAGCATTATAAAGATAGAAGATTGGTTCTGTTGGTTTGTTTGATGAAATAACTTACTACACAGTTAGTAAAGTTATAATTTCTACTATGTCTATTAAAATGTCAATAAAATGTCAAAAGCCCTAGTCAATTGCTCAGTGGTTAGAGCATCGGCCCGAGAACTGAAGGGATGCAGGTTCGATTCCCAGTCAAGGGCTCATATACTTTGGTTGCAGGTTTGCTCCCTGCCCAGGCTTGGGGAGCGTATGGGAGGCAGCCAGTTGATGTTTTTTTCTCTCTCCCCTCCTCCACGCTCCCTTTTACACTCTTTAAAAATCAATGGAGAAAATATCCTTGGGTGAGGATTAAATAATAATAATTCTTCAAAGTCACATACACTAACAACAGTTAGGAACATCTCACAGCAACACATGAATTTTTTGATTGGTGTTCAAATGCTAATTCAGCTGACAAGGGAATGGGTACTGAGTGCTCACCTTATCTTGTAAGGAAAAGGTCCCAGGAAAACCAGCAAAGAGAAACCTGTTCTTGACTTTCAACTTCCCCAAATTTGCCACAATCAGGTTGTTTGATCTGGAACTTTCTGGGATAAGGAGAACCGGAGCACCAGCCTCGATATCCAGGAGAACCCGTGAGCAGCGCTGAGCTTGATCTCTCACCTACAAGAGAAAAGAGAGTGTACTCAGAGGATGAATTAATTCCCTAATTTTACAACCAAATGAGCTCAGGGCTACAAAAAGTTCCTTTAATTTATAAAACTAAAACCCCTAAAATCTACAGAGTACTAGTATTATCCAATAACCACCATGGAGTTAAATTAGAAATTAGTAACAAGGAGATAATGAAAAATATTTAAAAATCAGACTACACACTTCTAAATAACCCATGGGTCAAAGAAGAAATCACAAGGGAAATGGAAAAATATTTTTACCTTACTGATAACTAACTCATTGCATGCTAAAATTCATGGGATGTGTTTAAAACTAAAGAAAAATGTTCAGTAAATGCTTATTTTATATTTAAAAATAAAGATTTAAGACCAATGATCAAGGCTTTGACCTTGGGAAGCTTAAAAAAAAAAAAAGAAAGAAAAAAAAACTAAATAGAGCAAAACCAAATAGAGGAAAGAACATAATAAAGAACAGAAGTTACTTATTTTGAAAACAAATAATAGAAAAAATAAATAAAAACATTCATGGAACACTACATCAACAACCAGAGAATATACATTCTTTTTAAGTTTAATACCAGGCTTCAATAAATTGGTTCTTTGAAATGACTTATCAAAAATGATAAACCTCTACTTATAATAATAAAAAGAAAGAAATGAAACAAAACCACCACTATAAGGAAGGTGTGGGGGACATTGCTACAGAACTTGCAAATATTAAGAAGATAAGGGAACCTATGAAAAATTTCATGCCAGCAAACTGACAATTTAAATGAAGTGGACAGACTCCTTTAAAAAAAACTACAGTTAACATCATATTTAATGGTGAAAAACAATATTTTCCCCCTAAGACAGCAATTTTCAACAGGTATGCCGCAAGAATTTTTAAAACATGCAAAACCTGACTATTTAATCAGGGGCCTTGACCTCTTTTCCCTTAGATTGTCAAATTTAAAAAAAAAAAAATGACAATAGCCAATACAATATTTGTCTGGTGTGAATGAATCAAAATTATACCTATTTTTTGGCCAGATCCTCAAAAATACAGATTTTTTCATGTGCCACAGAATTTCAGTAATTAGTTTATTTGTGCAGTGGAGATGATAAAGGTTGATAATCACTACTCTAAAGTAAGGAACAAGGCAAGTATGGCCACTCTGACCACTTTTATTCAGTGTTGTAGTGGAAGTCCTTGTCTGGGCAAAAAGGCATTTAGGTTGGAAAGGAAAAAATAAAATTATCTTGTTCTCAGGTAATAATCATCTACAGCAAAGAATTTAAAGAAACTAGAATAAGGAACTTCATTAAGATGACAGGATATGAGGTCAACATATCAATATGATTTTTAAAATTCACATAATTTACAATAGCATCCAAAATTGGAAATACTTAGAGACAAATATAACAAAATAATTGTAAAATCAATACACCCAAAACTATAAAATATTGCTGAAATGGAAGACCTAATTAAATGGAGAGATGCAAAGACTCAAGATTGCTAAGGTGTCAATTCTCCTGATACACAGATTCAATGTAATCTCAACCAAAATCCTCAGTGGCTTTATTGTAGAAATAGACAAGCTGATTCTAAAATGTATAAAGAAAAACAAAGGACCTAGAATAGCCAAAGCAACTTTGAAAAACAGAGGGGGGAAAAAAGAACAAAGTTGGAGAGTCTAATCAAGACTAGGTAGTACTGGCATACGATTAAATAAAAATCAGTACAACAGAATAGAGAATAAAGAAATACACATAGACATATATAGTTAATTGAATCTCAACAAAAGTGCCAAGATGTTTCAATAGGAAAAAAACAGTCTGGGGATGTACATGGGGGGAAAAACTCTCAGCCCTTACTTCACAAAAAAACACATACACACACACAAAAGTCAACTAAAAATGGAAGAGGTCTAAAATTATAAAACTTCTAAGAGGACAAAGGAGAAAATTTCTGCCACCTTGTGGCAGGCAACAGTTTCTTTGATTAAAAAAAAAAAAATAGCACTAACCATAAAGTAAAGAAATTGGACTTCATCAAAATGAAAAACTGCTTTTCAAAAAATAGTGTTAAGCCGAAACCGGTTTGGCTCAGTGGATAGAGCTTCGGCCTGTGGACTGAAAGGTCCCGGGTTCGATTCCGGTCAAGGGCATGTACCTTGGTTGCGGGCACATCCCCAGTGGGGGGTGCAGGAGGCAGCTGATCAATGACTCTCTCTCATCGATTTTTCTAACTCTCTACCCCTCTCAATTCTTCTCTGTGTAAAATCAATAAAATATATTTAAAAAAAAAAAAAAAAAAAGCTTGATGCTGAGATTCTATTAAAAAAAGAATAGTGTTAAGAAAATATTTTTATATATAAGATGAGCCACTGCCTAAACTAATAGGACCTAATCAGTTATCATCATAACTAACTAACTTTTTTTCATGTGTCTACCTTCCCACTAATATATAACCTCCATGGAGTCAATGAACATGTCTTTCTTGTTTTCCATTATATTCCCAGCACCTGGCACAATGTAAGACACATCATTCCACAATAAACATTCACTAAATAACTGAGGAAATGAACAAACAAGGTTGTCATAAGGATCAAATGAGAAAATATATATGAAAGTACTTTGAAAACTCCAAAGCACTGTTAATATAAGTAATTACTCAAATGTAAAGCACACTTATTTTTTCCAACTCCATTTTCCTTCTACAACCGAGTCAACAGAAGAACAGCAAGAAAAATAACTCGCCACCAGTCACACAGCTTATAGTGGCAACACCCAGACTCCAGATTCCTGTCCCAAGGTTCCTAAAGTGGAAATGTCTTAACTCCACCAAAAGTCTGTACTCCAGTTCCTCAGTGAATAAAGAAATTTAATATAAGAGACACCATGTAAAGTAGAAGACACAGGATACCTATATCATACTTCTGGGGTAAAAAAATAAAGGAAACAGCTGTATTTTGGGCCGATTTTACTTAGTGGTTTCAGCGTTGGCCCTCGGACCAAAGGGTCGCAGATTGGATTCCCAGTCAAGGACCTATAACTGGGTTGCAGGCTCAATCCCCAGCCCCAGGTGGGGCATGTGCGGGAGGCATGTGTCTCTCAAATACATGGATGTATTTGTCTCCCTTCTCTTCTCTCTAAAAACCAATGGCAAAAATATCCTCAGGTGAGGATAAATAAAAATTTAAATTAAATTAAAATAAAGAGAACAGCTGGCATGGCTCAGAGGCTGAGTGTCAACCTATGAATCAGAAAGTCACGGTTAGATTCCCAGTGAGGGCACATGACTGAGTTGTGGACTCGATTTCCAGTGTGGGGCGTGCAGGTGGCAGCCAATCAATGATTCTCTCATCACTGATGCTTCTATCTCTCTCTCCCTCTCCCTTTCTCTCTGAAATCAATAAAAATATTTTTTTAAATAAAAGAAGAAAGAAAACAATTTCTCTTTGCCCCAAATTAGGCAAATGATTTAGGTAAATATGTTCCTCTAATTTCAAGCATCAAGATTAATCTCTTTCTCCCTCCTTCACTCTCTCCCTCCCTCCCCTGCCCTTTCTCTTTCTCAAGTCAATAAAAAAATTTGTAAAAAAAAAAAAAAAAAAGGTTAAAAACAAATGTAAAGTCCCACCAGATCAGTATTTGCAGACATTAGAAAATGTATGACTAGAAATCCAGGTACAAGTTAACGGTAGATAATACCTCCTGTCAACAGTACAATAATAGGAGAAAGGAATTTAAATTTCAAACCAAATAATCTTATCTGCAAACAAAGTAGGTCTTTAGCTCTCTCTGTAAATCTAAATAATCCAAACAGCTAGATTAAAAAGCCTCGAGAAGATTGGCTTTTCTTCAAAGGCCACACATTTAGCACTATTCAAAACAGGAAAATATGCCTTTACCTTCTGCTTGTCCTATATAATTTAAAACTTAGCTATTTAATTTCTTCCTCCCCAGGAAGTTAAGCCCAATTACTCTGTAATGCAGTGTGTACTTTCCTAACCCAACTGGTTCTTCACAATTACTTATTACAGTTTAAGCACATATAAAAATAATTGTTTAAATATACATAATTCTAACAGACAGCGTTTAACAAAGCTGGACTGAAAGTCACAAAAATGTTCGTCGTTTTATAGGATTCAGTCCTATAAAATAATACCACTTAAGTATTTAATACCATTTACAGGATTCAAACCTATAATTCAGAAGTACTCAAAAATAAACTATGGGCACAAAGATACTCATGGAAGCATTACAAGAAAATGGTTAAGTAAACTAACTTGCTGGATTACATAGTTATTATTAAAAAGAATTACTATGAAAAATGCAAACCAACATGGAGAAAGATTATGAAAAAAGGGTTATTCCCAAAGTGTATGCATGAAGGTAACACACTTTCTGTACTTTCCTATATGAACTATATGCTTTCCCTCAATTTAAAAGGTTTTTAAAAAGTATATGTAGTCCACAATACCATTTTACACTCAGTAACTGACCCAAAACATAAAGGTTGACAATACAAGTGTTGGAAAAGATATGAATGAAAGGAATTCTTTACACATTGTCCATAGGAGTATGTAATGGAGGGGCCATTTCTGAAAACAATCTGGCATTATCTTATAAAGAGAAGTCTGTGTATCTCTCCAGCCCAAACATTCTACTCCTAAGTATCTCAGAAAAACTCTAACACATACTTGTACATTGGAAGACACTGAAAACAACCCAAATGCTCAACGGGAAAGTGAATAAACCATGTGTGGTATTATACACAATGAATTATCACAGTGAAAATAAATTAAATGCAATCACATGTAATAAATCTGGATGAATCTTATTAGCACAGTGACCAAAGAAAGCAAGTCACAGCTCAGCTGGTGTGGCTTAGTGATTGAGTATCGACCTATGAATCAGAAGATCATGGTTCAATTTCATCAGGGTTCATGCCCGGTTTCAGGGTCAATGGGGGGAGGCAGGGGCCAGGAGGCAACCAATCAATGATTCTCTCTCATCATTGATGTTTCTAGCTCTCTCTCCCTGTCCCTTCCTATCTGAAATCAATAAAAATATATTTTTAAAAATAGAACTACATTATAATTGTTTTCTATGGTTCCCAAACTGCACCAGGACACTCTAAGATGCGGCTGCCCACTCACAAGTAGGTGGCCAGGCCATGTTAAAGTTTTAGATAAACATGTCATCTGTCAGATACCGCATAATGCAAACAACTAGCTTGAGTTAGTTCATATTCAATACTAAATCATGTGACATCCTTTCAAGGATGTCTCATCTTTGTGAAGCCAGGTCTTAAGCAGCTGCTGTGACAAAAAGCAAGAACCATGAGGAAGTAAATGCACAACTGGAAATTTGGGTTGTCATGTCCAATCCAATCTCAAGTTTGAGAAGTTGTGGTTATTTGAGAATGATATAAAAATATTATTCTTTCACTTATGTGTTATTATTTTTCAAGCAGCTACTAAGTAGTTAGGACATGTGTACTTATTTAGTCTTAATTACTTCGTAAATGGGAAGCCATTGGGTGTTTCTTTTGGCCCAGGATGTGCCACGGAAAGACTCCCAAGACATTAAGGGAGCAAGAAGCAGTTTGAGAAATTCTAATTCAAGTTGAAAAAAGCCCTCTTAATATATATTATTCAGGACCACTTTCCAATAGAAGAATCCTCACTCACGTCTTAGGAGAGCCAGAGTCTTAAGTATTATCCATAAGTTTCATTAATCATTTTTAGAGAAGGTTAAAGCTAAACTTTAAAGGTAACTAGGTATTCACAATACAATGAATAAGAAATATAAGTCCCAGATTACAGCAAGATTTCTATAGATAACCAGCTACATGGAGGACATTAGTCAGCATTAAGTTACCTAATAGCTTTAGTGACATTTCCCAGGTTTAGCTTTAGCGGCTTACAAGTCCCACTAACCAGTCAGACTGAAAAGGCAGCTTGGAGAAACGAGACTACCTACCGTCTGGCCCTCGATGGCGGCCCGCTGGCGCCCCAGGACGTCCTGCAGCTGCGTGAAGTGCTGAATGAAGGCCACCACCTCGGCCTGAAAGCGCTGCGTGTGCACGTACTGCACCGAGGCCATCTGCAGGCTCACGCGGACGTCGTGCTCCCGCCGCAGCAGAGGGTCGGGCCGGCCGTACCTGGCAACGGCAGCATGTGACTCAACGGCGGCAAGGCGCAAGTCAGGATTGGAAGACAACTAGGATGGAGCTTGGGGTTTCCCTAGAGAACACACTTAAGGATTAAAATGGAAATCCACATCAAGTTTTACAAAGTGAACTCCAATAACCACGCCCTTTCTGACTTCGGCCAGCAGTGAGGATGTGAAATAGAAGGCTGGTGAGAGGCAGCTGGGCTGGACACAGGTGGGCAGCTCCGGGCACTAGCTCACTCCCATTCCAGGACTCACTCACAAGCCCCTGTTGTTCGGTCCTTTCACCTGCCTTTAAGGAAAAGCAATTATTCCTGCTCACTCTGTTCTAGCAATGATTGTGATAATATGGGTTTAAAAGATAATAAAAATAAGACCATGAAACAATGTCTAAGAAAACTGGGCAACCAAACTGATGTTCCTGGGGAAGACTCTTCTGGAGGCAGAAAGAAGTCTTAATTTAACTCCAGTGAAACACAGGCCAAAGAGGCTTAGCATCAACATTCCAAGACAAATTAGAAAACCTTAGGAATGATTTTGAATTTAGTGGGGTATGGAGCATGGTGTCGTAATAATAAATTAATATACAGCATACAGTCACTGGGGAGAGGATCTCACACTAGCTAAGTACTTATTCTGTGACAGAGAATTGAGAGTCTTATATTAATTATCTCATTTATTACAGAACCACACCACTGTGGTAGGTAACAATAGAAACTAATCCATCTAAATGCTCAATACAGTATGGCATACTCCCCCTGAAAATGACAGAAAAGTTCCCAGATATCTTTAGAAACAGATTTTCTCAGTTCTGGTTGAGTATGAGAATCACTGTGGCAAACTGGGGGGCAGGGAGGACTGAGCATTACCTTACCCTACACCAAAATATTAGGGGGTAGAGCTGGATATTTATATTTTCTAACAACTCCCCCAAAGGTTGAAAAGCCACCGTTTTAAACTTTCTGCCTTTTAATAACTATCCAGGCCTACAGATGCCTTCTAAATTCTAAAACTGAAAAGATTCAATATATATTGTTTCTACAGAAAGAAAAAAAAAATGCACGATGTAATTTAACACCTATATCTTCAACAGCTTCCTCAGGCTGCAATCATTCTAGAATGTTTACAGCCTGATGGAAACCGATCTCGGTCCCTCAACATTTCGGTTGGAAAACAGATGCACAGAGATGGAATGAGCGGCTTAAGATCACATAACCAGTTAGCGGGAGAGCGGCATGAGCCAGGGTTTTTGGTAATCAGAAGTGCTTCCATCATGCCCATCTGTTTATGAAACCCGAGGAGCCCACTTCGGCTCAGATCCATTTCAATAGAAATCAGGATTCCTCACAACCAGATCATACCAGTTTTGTGTAAGAAGGTACATTTTTTTAAGTCTTTTCTTCATTCATTAGTCAACACTAATTTGAAACAGCCAGCAATAATGATAAAAGAGAAAAATGAGGTTTTTACTTGAAAGTCTGGAAGATGAGTGCCTCTTCCCCCCTGGTGGTGAAGCGCTCCCGATAGAACTCCCCGTGGGCTGTGAGGTCACTCAGCGACAGGCTCCCGATGCTGCCCTGCAAGGCCAGGTCTCCTTCTAGGGGCGTTAGATTAGAACATGTTACATACTCTCTCTGTCACACACCGTAAAGGTGTCTGAAACAAAACTGACATGCCCGTGCCTCAGACTTCCCACCATCTGATCGAACTATAATACATAACAAAAACGAATTTTCCCATTCCAACACACCCGGGAAAAAAATGTCTTCTGCAATTTTTCAAGTAGGCTCAGTGCAAAAGTCCGCAGGGGACTGAAATGACATGGCAAAATCACACCTGAACGTTTACAACAGGGGAGAAAATAAACTAAGTGCATACACAATTTAAAGAGAAAAGCATTTACAACTGCAGATAGGAGCATGACCCATTCTGAGAGTAGACCCCTAATTAGAATTAGAGAAATATCCTCAGTTCTATTCATTGTACTATGGATTAAAAAATGAAAAAGGAAGTATTAGACATATGTCAGGTATTCAAGCAACCTTAGTGGTTTTGGTATGATTTAATAACAAATAAATAAAAACAGTATTCATGAGAGAGACACTAAAGACTCTGACACTGCAGCGGGAGGCCTCTGGAAGGCGGGCAGAAAGGATGCTGAAACTCGGGCATCTGAGCAGTGAACCTATAGAGTCATTCTCACCAGGGGGTGGATAGTAAGAAGAAATATGATGAACTATTGCTTCTATAAATTTTTATCATCATCATTAGCATTATAAAAACAATTACTAGTTCAGCTCCCATTGAGTCAAAAAGCACATACTAATTTTTTATTCTTAATGTCCTCTAAGAAATACCCAAGCTTCTCCAGTTTTAAAGAACTATCTCTGGTAGGCAGCTTCTAGACACCGATTTATACCAGGCAGAAACATCTCAAGTTTAGCTCATTCCTTTCCCAAAAGACATTCTTGTTTTTAACTACAGGGTCAACCTTTGAGCCTTGTAGTCGTCCATATTTCATTGCCTAGTCCTTAAGGAGGAATAGTGTTTGATTCACTTTAGAGATTCCTACTATTTAAAATTTGATGTGGATGATCATAGTTTTTCTACAAAAATTGCAACTTAAAGAGTCCCACTGGAAAGAATGCCAGGGCCCTGGCCAGGTGGTTCAGTTGGTTAGAGCATCATTCTGTACACCAAAAGGTTTCATATAGGAGACAACCGATAGATGTTTCTCTCTCTCTCTTTCTTTCTCAAGTCAGTAAAAACATATCCTCAGATGAGGATAAAAAAAAAAAAAAAAAAAAAAAAAGAATCCCAGGTTTGCAACAATATCTTCCTGCCCACCGAAACCGGTTTGGCTCAATGGATAGAGCATCGGCCTGCAGACTGAAGGGTCCCGGGTTGATTCCAGTCAAGGGCATGTACCATGGTTGCGGGCACATCCCCAGTAGGGGGTGTGCAAGAGGCAGCTGGTCAATGATTCTCTCTCGTCGATGTTTCTAACTCTCTATTCCTCTCTGTAAAAAATCAATAAAATATATTTAAAAAAAAAAAAAAAAAAAATATATATATATATATATATATATATATATATATATATATATATATATATATCTTCCTGCCTAAAATCATACACCCTATTGGCGGCTCCCCTCTTTACTGCAATAGATAGAATGAACATATGGCCTAGTTTCCCAGAAATAGCCTGTTATACACCAAGTGTAATTAACGAATAATCGTTCCCCAGATGTAATTATTAATAATGCCTCCTTTCACTCTCAAAAATGTCCCAGTGTAGACAAAAAAAATTATATAATCGCCAGACAGAGTTTGTTAAAACCACAGACACCAGGGCTCCATCCCAACCTCCTGGATCCGAGTCCTGAGATGGGGGTGGGAGGGAGGGAACTGTGCCAGACACCTGCATTTCACCAAGATGACCGACCAGATGATTCTCATCCATAAGGCAGCGTCTGAGAATCACTGTCATAAACCATGGCCAGGCCAATAAGCACAATCAAGCCGCTGATTCCACACCTTACTCAGCATGTGAGGACAATTAGATTTGTGAGCAAGATGTTCAAATTCTTACCAGATTTTGCAAGTTTGATTTTCCTCCACTTACCAATCATTTCCAGGTGTGCCATTAATTTGGACACATTTGCTTTAGCAAGCTCACTGGTGGTCTTATTCAGCACGAGAGAGAGCGAATGAACCTAAACGCACAGAAGACAAAGTTAGACAAATGTTACTTGCGGGGAAGGATCGGGGAGGGTGTCCTTCAACAGACAAGAGAACAAAGTAAAGGAAGAAGCAGAAAGGTAAAACTTCAAGTTGATGCCAATTTCATTTCAGCTTTCTTCAGCCAGTCGAACCATAATCTAAGGACTAAGGAGAGAGCTGATAAGATAGAAACTCAACGGGCAATCTACAACCCAGATTCTGCAGTGTCTTCTCTATGGCTGCTTGTCTATGCTGTCACCACCTGAACCCCCATCTTAGCATGAATGGGGCGTCACTAAAAGTGGGCCAACCAGATGTCTTATACATCCTGGCATAGTGTAACAGGATGCACTCAGCACCACTTAAAAAATGTTTTTACCAAAAACTCAGACCCAGCCGAAGCCGGTTTGGCTCAGTGGTAGAGCGTCGGTCTGCAGACTGAAAGGTCCCGGGTTCAATTCCGGTCAAGGGCATGTACCTTGGTTGCGGGCACATCCCCGGTAGGGGATGTGCAAGAGGCAGCTGGTCGATGTTTCTCTCTCATCGACGTTTCTAGCTCTCTATCTCTCTCCCTTTCTCTCTGTTAAAAATCAATAAAATATATATTAAAAAAAAAAAAAAAAAAAAAAACCTCGAACCTGAATCTGATCAAGTCTCTAGAACTAACTTCCATTTCTCAAAGTAGAAGATAAAAGAATCAAATGGCAAATCCGAGATGTGGGACACCTTACAGCCACTAACCCAGTTTCTACAAGTCAACTGCATGGGGGGTGAGGGGGAATAAAAGAGAAGGAAAACTGGCTTAATTAACAGATTTCAGAGCCATGACACAACTGTTACGTTTGAACCTTATTTGAATCTCCATTCAAAAAATTCAAATGTCCCGTCATTAAATTCTCCTCATTTTGTAGATGAGAAAACTATGGCTCAGAAAAGCAAAGTATTCCACTGAATTGTAGACCTCAAAGGAAAGACATGAGGCTTTTTAAATCCTTCATTCCTCTACAATGCACAAGTAAAGGAGCATTTTTGAGACAATAGGGGAATACGTAGTACCAGGGAATTCTTGCTAAGGCAGTTACATGTGACAATGCATCGTAGTTATACTTTAAAGTCTGTATTTTTCAGGAATGAAGACTGAAGTTTGTACAGATGAAATGTTATCTAGAATCTGCTGTAAATACTTCAGCAAGGAGAAAAGTAAATGTGATGATTCCCACAGGATTTGGTACATGGACGTTCATTATACTATCAGAGGTCCGGTGCACAAAATTCATACACAGGAAGGGTCCCTAGGCCTGGCCAGTGATCGGGGCCAATCAGGGCCTTTCAGCTGCCAGCCAAGGCCTTCCTTCCCTGGCTGTCAGCTGCCAGCCACTGCATTCTTTCCCCAGCTGGCAGCTGGGGCCTCCCTTCTTTCTGCACTGCCCCCAGGTGGTCAGCGCCCATGATAGCAAGCAATCAAACTCCTGGTCTTCCAGTCCAACTCCTGAGGGGACACTTTGCATATTAGCCTTTTATATATACAGACTAGTGGCCCAGTGCACAAAATTCATGCACTCGGGAAAGGGAGGGGCCCCCAGCCAGGCCTGTGCCGTCTCACAGTGCAGGAGCCCCAAATCAATTGCCCCAAAGAGGTGGGCCAGAGCCAGGGATCCCGCCTCCGCAGCACATGCGGCCACAGGACCCCCAGGGGCAGTCACACGAGCAGCCGCTGAGGCCCACCCCCACATCATGCACACAGAGTCAAGCCCTGCCCACCCTGGTGATGGACTGTGACAGCGTGATGGAATGGCAGCATCAGGACATGACGACCACCTAGGCTTTTATTAGTATAAATTCCCTCTGTTTGTGATATATTTGAAAATCTTCACATTAAATTTTTTTAAAAGTTCTTATTCTAAAAAAATCAATTTTTGAGGGGCAGTTATCCAGTCCTGTTGTCTTAACCAACTACATCTGTTATCTTAATTAGATGATGGAAGATGAGGAAACTGAGGCACAAAGAAACTAAGTAATTCCACTGAATTATACAAACCAACGAAAGTTTTTTTAAACCGTTTACTTTCCCTGCCTCCAGATGGGATTTACACTCAAACCTTTTCTAAGCCATTGTCTACCTTTTTGTAACAGATATATATAGCTCCCCTGCCAAGGGATCTATTTTCTAGAGTAAATGCATGCTAGTCCAATTTCAATAAACAAACTAAAATTCATTCTTAGAACTTCAAGGAGTGAAAGGGAGCTGATACCTTGAGATCCAGCCTGGTGTTAACTGGATCCTGAAGCTCAGGCTCCGGCAGAGCATTTGCTTCTGACTTCATGTTTTGTAGACTGTCCTCAGGTGCAGGGACCTTCATTGCATGGTTGTCTGCAGTGGAACCAATTCCAAAAAAATCTAGAATCACGACCCAAGTTTGCAGTGTGATGAGCACATCCAAGCAGTTAAAATCAACATCAATGCTCCGGTTAATTCGGTTGTAAATGGAAGAGAATTCTGGATGCTTCTTATCCACCAAGAATATATTGATGTGGACCAAGGAATCATCAAATTTACTCTTTCCAGCAACTGTCTTGGGCTCATCTACTAATGGAGAAGGAGGTGGGGTCAAGGGGCAGTCCTGGTCTTGGACTTCCTTTTGCTTCTTCTTGGATGCCGAGGTAGGTCTCTGATACAGCTGAAAGACGTTAGGAGCTTCTTCCATGTGGGAGGGGAGAGAGCGAGGCATGTCAGGATACTCCACATTGGATATCGAAGGGCAAGACTGAGAAAGATATTCTTTTTGTGTTAAACTTGACGGCTTAGGGGCTCCCCGAGACACCATCAGGTTCTTGTATTTAGAATCCGGATTTTTCTCCAATAAGTCTTCCATCAGCAGAGAACGCAGGGCAATCTGAATGGATAAGGTCTGAGGATGGTCTTTATTGAATTCCACCTCAAAATCCTGAAACTTTAAGCTCACCAGCCCCTGGGCCCCCAAGGTCAGATCTCCACTTAGCTGAACTTGAAGTTCTGATATACAAAAGTTGGCTTGAATCTGGGTAAAAGATTTGACCTCCTTCACAGACAAGGACTTCTGAGAAGAGTTAGAAAGGCTGGAGTGGCTGAACAATCCGTTCTCCTTCCTTTCCAGGGAAGGCTCTCCGCAGGTACTGAGGGAAGGCAGAGGAGAATTAGGGCACGGTGAGGAGGCGGCACTGCCTGGAAACTTATTCAGGTCTTCACTGTACACGAGATTGTCCAGCGTTTGTAAAACCTGCTCATACACATGCTTTGCTAACACCACCTGTATGCAAAGAGAAAAAGTTCCGTTATTCTGCTACCATGATTAATTGTACTCAGCTGCACTGCCCCAAAATTACCAAAGTTGCCTTTTATGGGTTTCCAAAGAAGTTATAAATTATTATAGTTGATGGCAAGAACTTTCTCTTTTGTTTCTTTTCTGCCCTTACCTCTCTCTCTGACCCTGTCTGTTTAAAGGTCCTCCCCGGTACCTCATGGAATAACCTATACACAATAAATGTTCATTAAGTGCAACTGGTTGTAGGCCTCAATCACTCTTTCTAAGCACATAAGAACAACTGCAGAAACTGGAGGGGATGCTGTTAAAAGTCCAGCGTGGTTGAACCGCAGGGCTGAGAAACAAGATCCATGGTTCTAAAACCTCTGATCATACCAAGCAGTGTAACCACCTATGTTTACGGCTAGACAAATAGATACTGCTCTTAATGGTAGTATTGATGATCTATTATTACCTATATTTCCTTTCTCCCTTATTTTGTTGTGTTTTTTTTTTTAAGGAAAGCTCTTTTTTTTTCTTCTTTTTTTAATATATTTTATTGATTCTTTTACAGGGAGGAAGAGAGGGATAGAGAGTTAGAAACATCTATGAGAGAGAATCATCGATCAGCTGCCTCTTGCACATCCCCTACTGGGGATGTGTCCGCAACCAAGGTACATGCCCTTGACCGGAATCGAACCCGGACCTTTCAGTCCGCAGGCCGACGCTCTATCCACTGAGCCAAACCGGTTTCGGCTTATTTTGTTTTTAATTACAACTTCTCATCTAAAATATTTTCAAGCAAGTTTTTATTTACTTAAGAGCAATTTTTTAACAGAGGAATTCCAAACAGATAATAGAAATGATGGAATTAGAAGGCGATCATTTTATAACCCCTAATTAAATAATTTATCCCATCACCGTTCATCCATGTAGAATAAGCTCTTCTATGAATGACTGACGGGGAATTTTGCAATGAAGGGATCAGGTTCCTGTCACCGGGACACAATCACCCATCTTAGCATCACTGAGAGAGACAACCAATCATTACATGTCTCCCACACAATGCAATATGAAGCCCACAGCACTACCTTTGAAGTGTCTAGCCTAAACAAAAAAACAAAAAATGAACCGGAATCCAGTTAAATCTGTAGAGTTAAGTTACAGTTTACAGGAAATGTGGGGGGACAAGTTAAGTAGCACCACAAACAAACAGTGAATCCAGAAACTGGGACATTCTATAGGGCAAATGACCTGGTTTTCACAACAAAATAATAGCATGGGGGGAAATGAGAGGAAACCTAAATTAATAGAGACCTACAAATGCAGCATGCAGACCTTGTCTGGACCCTGATTTGAACAAGCCTAACGTGAAAAGACATTTTTGAAAAATGGATTAAAATTTAATGATGCTAAGAAATCCTCATTTATTTCATCAGACATGATAATATTATTGTAGGTGTGTCAAAATGTATGTAGTCTGTAGAGATACATTCCTAAAATATAGATAAAAATGGCATGAGGTCTGGGATTTGCCTTAAAATCCGAGTGATTGGAAAAAAAATCTGAGTGATGGGTGCATAAGGTTCATTAGATATTCTACTTTTGTGTATGTTTAAAGTTTTTCATAATAAAATATTTTACATTACTTAAAATTATTTTTAATAATTTAAAATAATTTATAATAAAGAATATCATCAAAAACTATAGTAACTCAATGATAACCATAAGAATAAGGCTATAGAACTCAATAGAATTTACATTATGTGCTAGATTTAAGATGCAAATGTATAGAAAAAGCTTTGGGAACAGTTCTATCACCCAGAGTCTCATATCCAAGAACCACTGATACTAAGAAGTACACACATTCTGTTAGCACTCCTGATGCTAGCACACAGACTGATGACCAGCTAATGCCCAAGCCTAGGATCCACTGTCTTGAAATCCTGCCTGTCCTTGCTGTTTTATAATGTTATGCTATTTTCTCTCATCTCTGTGAAAGCAGGAAAAATTACACTTTTAAAGGAAAAGGGATGGCAAGTGTATGTACACACACACACACACACACACACACACACACACACGAAATCCCTATCCAGGCCCATTTCATTTCAAAGCGGGCAAGACTAATTCTAATTCTTCCTTGAAAGGATCTGTCAACAGCTCAGATAATCAGATTATTTTATGGGTTGGGCCAAGTATGTCAAAGAGAGACAATAATTATGTCCTCCTGGGAAAGAGACACTGACTATTTAAGCAATAATTTTCCTCGTTTCTGAATGGCAATGGAACTCAGGATCTTCCATCTTCCTCTATACAACACACCCCTCCTCCACAGGAAGATGGCTGATAAGACTGATTCCCCAGGGATAAAAGGACACAATAAAAAAAGACTCCATGTTGACTAGAACAAGTTATCAATAATAATATGCATTAATGATATCTCCTTGAGTTTATATATTTTCCTTCCAATAGTTTATATATGATATGAAAATACATAAATACATATATTCTAAATATAAAACAGGTGACTTTAACTGTCTGGACATGAAAATCCACAAGGTATTTATTTACCTGAACCGGATTGACAAACTTCCCTTCAATCTTCATGATGCTAGAAGTTCCCAGGTCATCTGGACTGAGGGAGAAAGTCAGTTCAGATTCTCTCTCTATAGGGATCTTCTCCAGCTTAAACTGAATGGTGGTGTTGTTCAGGATGTGAAAGGCTGGCAGAAGAGAGGAGAAATGACAGTCTGAAGACACTACTATGTACTGGTTATCACTGATTAAGAGCAGGATACAGAAAACAGAGCAGGAGGTCCATGATTAAATACAAACTTTGATGACTATCCCAAGACCAAAACTCAGAGCAAGCAGGGGCCCAAGATCAATTTATACAAGAAAGAAACAATATTTTCATGGCATGCTCTATTTGGTGGCTTCAAAACACGATGTGGTGAACATGAATCCAGGCTAGGGTTTACAAGCTTCTCGTAACCCCACATTGGCATTTTTCAAACCAAATTGCTCATCCTTACCCAGCTTTCAGGCATAGATGGGTTCCTCTTAACTGGCCCAAATCAGAATTTGAACAACACAAGGTTCTAAGTGAACAGCCTTTATACCAACCAGAGAAAGCAATCGTTGGGTAAGCATGTAAGTAATCAGTGAATTAACATCTGAGAAGCACAGAGAAAGAATTCCTCAAAGGCATTAATTTCCTCACCAATAAATAAAGCCATGCTCCAGGGCTTACCTGATTTCTGAGGATGCCAAGACCAACAGATTAACTGTTGGGTTTTAATATATCAGATTGGGAACACAAATGCAGGCATCTTATTTCTAGAACCCTGAACCAACCCATTATAAAAGGGTAGGACACTAAAAAGCGGACATAACATCCACAGACTAAATTTCAGATTCTTATTATGTCAATCCCTCCAGCTGCCTTGGACTATAATATTTAACTAGGAAATATTTAACTAGAAATTAAAAAATCAGATGTATTTCACCAAATTAAACACTGGTTTTAACAGAATCCACTCCTGAAACATCTCTCTATATAACCAATTTCAAAGGGGGCCACTTTACGAAATTCTAATTTCACCAAATATGGCAATGGATGGAAAAGAAAACATATCAACCTAATATGAAGCATTCTATTAAAATTCCAGTGTGATTTTGTAAATAGTAACTAGGGATAATACTAAAAGAAAAGGTTTTTGTTGTTGCTTTAAGTATACATGAGCTGGGTTTGGAATCTATAATAATAAACACATAATATGCTAATTAGACCGGATGACCTTCCATATGAAGCCGGGACTGCTAGGGAAGCCGGGATCCCAGTGCCTGTCAGCGGCTGGAGGAAAGCCCAGGTCCCGGGTGCCAGAGGGAAGCCAGTACAGGCAGCCAGGGGAAGGAAGGTCTACTCTTACACGATTTTTTAGTTGGGGACGACCAGGCTGGCAGGGGAGAGCAGTTAGGGGCAACCAGGCCGGCAGGAGAGGGCAGTTGGGGGCAACTAGGCCTGCAGGGGAGGGCAGTTAGGGGCAACCAGGCTGGCAGGGAAGCAGTTGGGGGCAACCTGGCCGGTGGGGGGAGGGCCACTTAGGGCAACCAGGCAGACAGGCAGGTGAGCGATTAGAAGCCAGCACTCCAGGATTATGAGAGGGATGTCCGACTGCCAGTCCCAGGGATTAGGCCTAAACCGGCAGTCCAACATCCCCCAAGGGGTCCCAGATTGGAGAGGGTGCAGGCTGGGCTGAGGGGACCTCACCACCACCACCATACATGAATTTTGTGCACTGGGCTTCTAGTCTTTAAATAAAATGAGACATGATTAATACTCCTCACCTTGACCTCTATGCAAAGATTCAAAGAAATCATGTCGGGTGAAATGAGCTTCCTCCTGGCTGTTGGTACTGGCAGACCCAGAGGGAGGGCAAGACGCCCGGCTTGCGTCAGATCCAGGACCCTCTCTGCCTGCCAACTGGGTGCAATTCAAAGAGTACAATTTAATGTCTTTGATTTCCACCTGCAGACGGTCGCTTCTGGATTCATCATCTCCTGACACAAAATTCTGGATGAATATCTGTCCCAAGTGTCCTACCAACAACTCTGGGCTCCCGGGCTTCCGAGGGATAGAAACAACTGGCGATTCAATATTTATGTTCAAGATTAGCTTTACAGTGTCAGCATGAGAAGCAGCTAGGCTAAACCCATATATCTCATTTTCTTCCAAGCTAAAGGATTCCCGCGTCTTCCTTGGAGTTTCAAAGAGTGATACCATCTCACTGTACTCGGCTGTCTTGGTAGCTAGCACTGTGGTGACTTTGGTGGCTGCGCTTTTCAGCATACTTCGAAAATTCTCCTCTAGTTCATCCATGGACAATGTCAACTCCTTCAAAAATTTAGGGGAGTGGTTATAATGCAGGGAAGCCATCTTGAGGTTGAGAAAACATTCCTGCTTCGATTTCTCAACAAACGTGAAACTCAATGCTTCATGGAGGGCTCCCTCTTCCATTCTGACAAATACAGATTCGAAGTAACTGATATCGCTGACGATATTTTCATAGCCCATGGAATTCCCGATACTGACAACATATTGGTTCTTAATATTATCTTGTGTCAAATCCATAAGCTGCAAACAACCGAGAGAACCATTCATGTCAAACGTGCTCCCCATTGAGACGTTGACTTTGGTGCCCCCTATACTAGCAGTCGCAATTTTTCTGCCATGTTTCTCTCCATTCGCCATCCCCACTGTCCGGAGGAGCAGTAAGTTAAGTCGGTGGATCTCCACTGCAACCTCGGTGTTTTGTTCATAGGTAGCTTGGTAAGTTTCTTCTTCCCTAAAGCTTCTCTCAAAGTCAGTCATTAAAGGCTGGGGACTCAAGTCATCCTTTTCCTTGGGAAAAGATTTTTGAAGAAAACCAATCAGCTCCACAATTGTCTCTGGATTTAGAATAATATCCAAATTATTCACCTGCAATGAAATCACCTGGAGAGTGCTATCCAAATTCATCGAGGGGCACTCTGAACTCACAAACTGATACTCCAATTTAATGAGGGACTCCTGTTCTTTGGTGAGAATCCTGTCAAGTGAGACACCAGCAGCTGACGGGTCGCTCACGGGGACAACATTAGCGAAGGGGGCCACGTTGGATCCAGAGACAGGAGACTGGGACCTGCTAGCCCGGAGGCTTCCTGTTGGGATATCAAAGCTCAAGTTCTTGTGTGACGCCATCAAAAGGTCAAAATCCGCACCGTATGTCTGCATGGTGTCCACCAGGAGCAAACCGTGAACAGTCAGGGAGACTTCAGCATCGTAAGGCCTCTTGACAAAGTGAGCGTTGGTGCCAAACACCTTGAGCACGGAAATGTACTGGCCGTTGCTCTCCACGCCGAGCTGCATGCAGTTCACTTTGAACTCGGCCAGGAGCAGCTGCGACTCCACCAGGACCTCCCGGGTGTGCTGCTCCAGCATCACGATGCTCTGGGTTAAGTTCATTACAGAGTCCTGCAGAGTTCCCCGCGAACCCTCTTGGGGGAAAATCTTCTCTTTAATCTGAGAGTCCGAAGTCTTCATTTCTGGCATGGTGAGGAGAGCGAAGCAATTCTTCAGGGCAGATATTTTATCTTCGTTGATGTGGATCTTTAAGTCAGGCAGGTTACCTGAGAGCACGGCTCCGGGGTACTTGGGATCGGAAGTATAAATCAATCGGCGTTCTAACTGCAGGTGAACATTGAATTTCTCGACCACGTGGGTGGGCCCCACATCAATGTCCTGGACATGCTTCCAATTGTCCTTCACTCGTCCCACCATGATCTGGAGGTCCATAAATGACAGGGAGTACCTCTCGTACATCTTCGTGCTCAATAAATGTGCTTGGAGCTGCTCTTCGCTGATAGAAAATGGAGGTGTTTTCTCCTCATTGCTGCTGCTCGTCTCGGGGGGTGGGGTGTTAGGAGGTGTGGCAAGAGGGGTCATATACTCATCGTCACTAAACTGGTTCTCTTCAGAGGCTGACTCATCCACACTCTTCCTCTCGGAGTCATCTGCGGGTAAAAAAGAGAGGATTCAAAGTCTATGTCTGCTCTTGCCTTCTTTCCTTTAGAGAATCAACCAACCCCAAATTGATAAAAATAAATGAACAAAAACTGATATCTGTATTTACCATTTTCTCAGTGTGAACTTACCTATTATTTGGAAATCAAAACGCAAAGAGAAAGTATCTGAACATGAAAAAACACAGAGACCTGCTGGATACATAGGGACACATATAGGGGTGCACAAACCATCAAGTTGCTACCCCAAACTGCGTCCCCACCATGAGCTGCACTGCTGAGCTGCTATCACCAACCCTTTGTACATCACTCTCCACAAGTCTTTGCTTGCTTTTTCCTTTTTTTGTCTGTGTGTTCATTTTGTTCCACCCACTAGAATGTTCCAAAAGAACAGAGGCCTCATCCATCTTACTCAACACAATATCCTCAGCTCCTAGATCAGTGCTGGGCAAGCAGTGACTTCTCAATATGTCATGTTCTAGCCCCAGTGTTCACACTCTCTTGTACAGACGAACAGAGCAGAGACAACTACAAAAACATGCCACTGGGGCCCTGGCTGGTTTATCTCAGTGATTAGAGTGTTGGCCTGAGGACCAAAGGGTTGGGGGTTTGATTCCCAGTCGAGGACACATATCTCAGTTGCAAGTTCCTCAGCCCTGATGAGAGTCCATGTGGGAGGCAACCAATCGATGTGTCTCTCTCACATCAATGTTTCTCTCTCTTTCCCCCTCCTCCCTATCTTCAACTGTCTCCAGAAATCAATGGAAAAAACATCCTCAGGTGAGGATTTAAAAGGAAAAACCCACTGGGTTTGCTCATCTATGTCCCTGTTCCATGTTGATGTTTTATAAATTCAAGTGGGTGCTTTTTTGTGGTTGTGATCCTTTCCTTCAGATCTAATTCCTTTTTAACATTCCCTTCTTTACCAAACTTTACCACTCCTGCTCAAATCATCTACCCTAGTCTGTTTTTTAGGGTTTTCTCAGTGAAGATAAGGTTAAAATTATTTGTTAAATTTCCTTAATCTCTCTTTTGCCAGTAATCCTCTCTTTCTTCCCTCCCACCTCAAGATAAAAATGACTATTTTGGGGATTTTATAATAGCAATAAAATTACCTTCCAGGTAATCTCTCTTTACTTTTTATTTATTTTTTAAGTTTCACCCAAGGACATGTTTTTACTGATTTTAGAGAGAGGGAGGAAAAAAGAGAGAGAGAGAAAGATTAATGAGAGAAACGTCGATTGGTTGCCTCCCTTAGACACCCTAACCAGGGATCAAACCCATTATGTGCCCTAATTGGGAATCCAACCCTCAACCTTTCAGTGTATAGGACAATGTTCCAACCAACTGAACTCTACCGGCCAGGGCTAGGAGTCTCTTTTTATATATGTCCCTAATATTTCTAAATAGATTAAATCTCTATTCCTGAAATTAAATGCTGAGAAATAATATTTATTAAAATATAAAATGTTGCTGAAACCAGTTTGGCTCAATGGATAGAGCGTCGGCTTGGGGACTGAAGGGTCCCGGGTTCGATTCCGCTCAAGGGCATGTACCTTGGTTGCGGGCATATCCCCAGTAGGGGGTGTGCAAGAGGCAACTGATCAATGACTCTCTCTCATAGATGTTTCTAACTATTTCTCTCCCTCTCTGTACAAAATCAATAAAATATATTTTTTTAAAAATATATATATAAAATGTTATATAAAAATCACAATGAGAAAAATAAATTAAATAAATTTTTAAAAGGCCTGGCCAGCATGGCTGAGTGTTGAGCATCGACCTATGAACCAGGAGATCATGGTTGGATGTGCCCAGTCAGGGCACATGTCCAGGTTGTGGGCTCCACCCCCAGTGTGGGGTGTGCAGGAGGCAGCTGATCAATGATTTTCTCTCGTCACTGATGTTTCTATCTCTCTCTCCTTCTCCCTTCCTCTCTGAAATCAATTTTAAAAAATATTTTTAAAAAAGAAACCATAATGAGATACTATATTATTCATAAAAATGGGTATAATCCAAAAGACAGATAATAACAAGTGTTGGTGAGGATGTAGAGAAATTGAATGTAGAGAAATTCTCTTACATTGCTAGTAAGAGTCAAGGGTGTAGTCATTTTAGGGAACAATCTGGTAGTTCCTCAAAATGTTTAACTAAAGTCACTATATAATCCAGCAATTCAACACTGAAGTATACCCAAGAGACTGAAAATACATATCTACACAAAAGTCTACCCATAAATGTTCATATCAGCATCATTCATAATAAACAAAAAGTGGAAGCAACACAAACATCCATCACCTGATGAATGGAAAAGTAAAATGTGATATGTTCATACAAGGAATATTATTCAGCCATTAAGTGGAAATGAAGTACTTATACATGACACAACGTGGATAAACCCTGAAAACACTATGCTAAGTGACAGAAGCCAGACATAAAAAGCCTATTGATAATTCCGTTCTTATAAACTGTTCCGAATGGGCACTCTCTGTCTCTCAGGAGCATACCCACGTCCTCCCCTCCACTTCTTTCCCCAAAGACATGCATCTCCTAAACGCTAAGGGACCCCATAAGGCTTGCAACCAGGGCAGCAAAGGACAGCAGCAGTTCGTCCCAGGCAAACCTCCGGAGCCTGTCCCCAAGGCCCCCTCTTCTCTCACTTCTTAGTGAGCCAAAGCAGACCAGACTAGGCTCATTTCCCCAGATCTTCCTGTCTTGTTGTCTCCAGCTTTAATAAACATCCTCTAAAATTCCCCGCTCTCCCCTCTCAAAAATAAAAAATGTTCAGAACAGAGAAATCCAGAGATAGATTAGTAGTTGTCAGGGGCTGGGAGAGGGGGTGATGGAGAATGAATGACTGCTAATGGGTTTAGAATTTCTTCTTGAGATGATGAAAATGTTCTGGAATTACGTAACAGTGACAGACGCACAATTCTAGCAATATGTCAAAAACGAATGAATTATACATATTAAAATATATCCCAATAAAGCTGTTATTTTTAAAGTAACAAATGAACTTTGGAGTTTTAAAATGTTAATAAACCTTTTTTGAAGCTTTATTTGGTTAAGCATAGACAGACTAACCTACCAAGTTATGTTTTCATTACACCCCATTCGCACTGTACCTTGGGTATTTGTCAGTAGCATTCTTCCTAGATCCACAACAACTAACACAGGATTCTTGAATTTGAAATCATCGGGAAATATCACTTGAGGGGCAGAAATATCTAGTCGTACAGTCCACCGTTTACTGTCCTCCTGTAAAAATAAAACAAACTATAATTAAATAACTTTTAACTACATTGCTGAAACTGAACAGCTTCATAAGTCAGGGCTCAAGCCTTCTGAAGGCCACCTCTAGTGATATCACATGACTTAATTGTCTTTGATATTAGACATAAAGTGTAAAACAAAAGCAGATCCAAAAGCTTAACGAATTATGACATTACCACAGGCAATGTCAAGTGGGGGGAAATTAGCAAATTACTGGTTTAGCGGTTTATCTGCTCTTTAATTGTGATGACCCATCGTTTAAGAAAGATCTTGTTTTTAAATCTACATAACTTAGTACTATAAAGTACTGCAGAAATAATGGAACTCAAATAAACATAGAAATCCAAACATTTTTGTTTATTCACTAGAGGCCCGGTGCACGGATTTGTGCACCAGTGTGGTCCCTCAGTCTGGCATGTGGGGATTGGGCTGAAACTGGCTCTCCAACATCCCTGAGGGATCCAGGATTTGCAAGAGGGCACAGGCCAGGCCTACAGACCCCTAGTGCACGACCAGAGCCAGGGAGGGACTGCGTGAGGGCTCTAGGGAATGTCCAGTCCATCTCACCCATTCCCATCAGCTGTACCCCAGCAGCAAGCTAACCCACCAGTCAGAGTGTCTGTCCCCTGGTGGTCAGTCATATCATAGCAACTGGTTAAAAGGTCAAATGGTTGGACACTTAGGTTATTAGGTTTTTATTATATAGGATAGAGTAGTAATTATGGACTTTCAATTTAGAGTACCTTAATGAAAAATATAAGCTTTCACATGTGAAATATATTTAAAAAAAAACAAAAAAAAAAAAAACAGAAGTCATGAATGTGTCACCTGTTCTTCCCTGCAACTAAAATGGCCTCAATTACATGTATGTAGTAAAAGCTAATGTGTATGTTATCAAAGAGAAATCTTTGTCTAATAGGACACTAATTGTAATGTGTGTTAAAACAAAAAACAGTACTGATTTTCCATCCCCTACTATGCACAGACCCTGAAACATTTTATTTAGAACATTCCTGCCATCCCTTACACCCCAACCAGCTCTGCACTGTCCAAAAGCTACACTCTAACTGCGCCATCTACTGCCGTGTCTTGGCAGTGCACCTCCATGCTAGTATTGGGAAACTGAGTTTGGCTGGACTGATGTTTTTTGGCTCTCCCTGTCTATGACATCCACGCATCAGCTGGTCACTTAACATCACAAAGTGACCATCATATCCTGGAATGAAACTGAGGGATAAATCTGGTTATTTTTCTTCAGTAACAATCAGTGAAAAGGGGGTACTCTTAAGAGAAACATTTATAAAATATCAGGTCTAGAAAATGGAACAAAGATGAGTTTTGAGAATGTTCCAGATTTGGGACAAGGAAGAAACATGATTTTGTCACAGACACTCATCTTTATTTTTTATTTTTTAATTCACTAAACTCTGACTACAAAAGATTTTTTTTTTTTTTTTGCTAGCTGATAAGGATTTCATAGTTTCAATTTAATCAATTTAACTGATACAAGCATGCCCATCCGAAACAGGTAAAGAATTGACAGAACGCATACCTGCCCCTTCCCCAGCCCTGCAAGAGTGCTGATGGACACCCACTTACAATGAAGTCCCCCACTAGCAGACGATCGAGAGTTTGTCGGATTTCTGCCTTGGTCTGCATCTTCAGTTTGTTATACTGCCTTCGGGCAGCTTCAGCCACTCTCAACTCAAGTTCAGACTGATAACCAAAACCTGCAAGATTGAAACAGACAGGAGAATCAGACCTTGCAAATGGCGTGGTGGTCGAAAGCGCTGCGACATCTGTTCTCACCAAGAATTTCCACCAAAACTTAAAAAACAGTCTCTGACAACAGTTCCTTCCTCCGGCCTGGCCGGGCACTATAGAAGGTAACAGGGATGAGGCACAGATGGGTGAGGGACAGCCCTGAGGAAAAAAGGCAGGGAAGGTACATAAGGTACTAGGATTTCTTGAATTATTGTCTGAAAGAGTCCAAACTATTTTATTGCAAAACCTTAAAAGCATGGCATTACATTGAAAGAGGAAATGGGCTCTAGCCAATTTGGATAGATCATCGGCCTGCAAACTGAGGGTCCCGGGTTCAATTCCCGTCAAGGGCACATGTCCGGGTTTGAGGCTCAATTTCCAGTAGGGAATGTGCAGGAAGTAGCCAATCAATGATTCTCTCTCACCATTGATATTTCTCTCTCTCCCTCTCCCTTCCTCTCTGAAATCAGTAAAAAATATATATAAATATATGTATTGATATGTGTGTGTGTGTGTTTATTTTTATTTATTTATTTTTTTTTTTTAAGAAAGAAGACATGAAATTTAGAGGGAAATACCTTCTATGTTCTATCAGTGAAGGAGCAATGAAGCCAAGACATGTATGGCTGGTATTTACATGAAAAGAATTCAAAAAGAGACCAAAAACTAAAGCAGCTTCATTCATTATTATAAGAAGGAGGGAGAATACATTTAGCCAAGTAATGTTGTTTTATCAATTTCCCTTCAATAAAAGTACCTTTTCTGCACCTACTGCATAAAACAGGAAAACTAATGTCAGTGATGTGGGAGAGAGCAGTGATGAACTTGGCAGAATTTAATGCTGCACCAAGCATGAAAAACAGACATTGATTCTATCTGCCATCCGGAAGAGAATCCTTGGACATGCCTCCTAAATTCAAGTGATCAAAAATATCCTGGGTAGCCAAGGAAACCGCCATCCGAATGAAATGGGAAGAATTAAAAAATGTTTGTTAAATGGAGGCAGAGAAAAAGACAACATTTAAGGATATTGATTCCTCCTGGAAGAGTGACTTTCTGAAGACAACCCCACCCACAAGCTCTGCAGGCCTTTTCCACCACTACCAGGCCAGCTGAACGTGCAATAAGCCTCGTCCAGAGCGCCAGAAATGACAGGAAAGATGTCCTGAGAAAGGAACAGTAGAGCAAACAAACAAAAAAGTTAACCTGAGGTATGAACCTTTCCCTTGTAGAAAAAGTCAGCTACTTTTTTGATAGCCTGGGGATTGTATATGATGTTCAAGGGCCTGGTGCTGACATTCAGCCGCCTCTCGAAATGGCTGTGCACTGGGTTTCTTTCATACAGCATCTCAAACACCGGGGCATCCGGGTCCGCAGCTGGAGGGAGAACCAGAGTGAGAAAACGGAACGCGGCAAAATCAACCACCCGATTCTTAATGGCCCTAGGAGGGATTCAAAGAAAAGTCATCTCCTAAATTATTTTCCAATTAGTTCACGTTTACACACATTTTATGACCCTTAAAAAGGACTGACCCTTAATTGTGACAGGACTCCTCAAGAAAGGTGGTTGCATCTGCTCCCATTACGAAAAGCAAGCACCCTGAAGACCCGAGAGGCTGCCCCGAGAGCGCCAGGCGGCCTCCAAGTCACACGGGTCCACACTGCAAAGCCCCGGGCACACAACAGGGCACGCCCCCTCTTTTACTGCTAACCAGGACTACTGATGTGTAATCGTCGCATTTTTCAGGATTAGTTCTAAGAACGTATTACAAATTACCAGGGTAGTGATCACTTCTGTCTGCAGATGTTGTTTGGAGACCAAAAGACTGTGAAACTCTGCCAACTTCTTTTTGCTATTAACACACAAAATGCATCAATGTCAGCGGGAGAGGGCACAAAACTTTGGCGTCGCTCTCACTGAGCACAAGCAAATCAAAACTCATCTGACATCAGGTCACAGACAACATAGAACATTCCCTCTAGTCTGTGCCTTTTTCCCACCCTAGTGAAAACACACATTTTCTCCTGCATTGACAGTGCCTCTTGGCATTCTGAGCATTTAATGAATGACTGCTAAATAAGGAACATTAACCGTGTACAGCTGTTTAAACTCTTCCTCTGCACTCCCACTATCTCCACAAGTCCACACACACCCCAACAACAAAAATTATAGGCAGAGTAAGTGGCTAAGTTTGTTCAATTATTCTGACCATATCTGCGACAATTTGTCAAGACTGAAGATCTAACTAGTAAATAATATTCTATGTAAAAATTAGCATACACACACACACACAAATATATATATGGTTTTTCTTGGAACTTTAGAAAGAGAATAGGTCCTATCAAGTGACTAAGGGTCAGAATGCATACAAAGGTCTGTCAGACACAGAGGAAATTCAAACATTAACATTGAAATGCAGAAAACAGCAGTGCTAATGGCATTTTCTTCCAAATCAAAGCAAACTATTCCATGTTCGCTACAACACTGACTTATAAAGCTGTTCAGGGGAGGAAAAGGGCATTGCCATAAATTCCACCAACATTTGCTCTCTAACAAATGTCAAAAACTTATCTAGCCCTAGCCAGAGTGCTCAATGGTTAGAGCTTCAGCCCACACACCAAAGGACCTCAGGTTCAATTCCTGGTCAAGAGCTTGTACCTGGGTTGCAGATTTGATGCCCAGCCCCAGTAAGGGTGCACGTGGGAAGCAGGCAATGTCTCTTGCATCGATGTTTCTCTCTCTCTCTCTCTCTCTCTCTCACACACACACACACACATCAATGTTTCTCTCTCTCCCTCCCTCCCTCCCTATAAAAATCAATGGAAAAAAAATATCCTTGGGTGAGGATTAAAATAAATAAATAGACAAATAAATAAAAATTAAAAAACTATCTAACTTCATATTGTCTTTAATTGTCCATCTGTCTCAAGATGATCAAATGTCAAAGTGAATCAAGTTAATGTTAACTATTGCTTGCCTAAAACAGACCTGCATCACCATCACCCAGACTCGCCACACACACCCCCACTCCACCCCCCGCTGTACATACTGGGTTAGGGAAGACCAGAAGAGGAAACATGGTTCCTTCTGTGGCCAGGTCTCGAAGAAACAGTCCACCCAACCGGACTAGAAGCAAAGAAGAATGTCTTCGAGGAAGGGATTCTGCCAAAAGCTTTACGTCTATAAAAAAAAAATAAATATACCAGTTGATACTATGCCATGACAGCCTAAAGTGTTTTATAAGCATTAGGTATAATATTTTACAGAGGACTAGTAGCTATCATGAACTATTTTGCCTTGAAATCGGAACAAAAAACCCCTATCTGTTTTTCTATAGGTCTATGTGTGTTAACTCACCTATACAAATATATAAGGATATCAGACACTTCATAGCAGAATGAATTTTAAAGAGAGCACTTTACAATTAAATTCAAGCAATCCGTTAGTCCATATTAAGTTTATGAAATCCTAACTGACTCTCAAGATTATAAAGTCAAACAAACTGGCTTTTTTTTGGGGGGGGGGGGGGTCATTTACCTCTAAGCTATACTAGAAACTTCAGGTAAGTGACTATTTTATTAAATGAAATAAGATACTTGTGAGATGTAAAAACCAACATCTGTATATATTTATACAACTTTAATGCAAAGTCACAAGAAGAAGTCAAACACAGTGATCTTCATCATTGGCCAATTCCGTATTTGCGAGTGTGCCTACTCACTAAAATTTATATGTCGCCCCCAAATCAATGCTCATGGCGCTTTCGAGGACATGGGCAGAGCAGCAAAAAATGAGCGTTCCCAGCTGAGGCTGAACAAAGCACGCTCCGCCTTCTTGTTCCAGCTCTTGCACTGTACACTGTGCCCTTTCACGGCCCATTAAGTGCCAAGGTTTTTGCCTTTTCCTACTTTTTGTTGATTTCACTGCTCACAATGGCCCCACGTATAGTGCTGCAGTGCTGTCTAGCGCCCCTGAGCACAGAAAGGCCCATGTGTCTTACAGAGAAATCTCTGTGTTAGATACGCTTCACTCAGGCAGGCGTTACACTACTGTTGGCCATGAGTTCAGCATTAATGAATCAACAGCATATATTAGATAAGGTATCTTTCAACGCCTCACAGGTAAGACAAGGTTCTGTACTGATCGGTTAATTGGTGTTACAGCCAGAGGCTCCTAGGCACCTAACTGTGTGCTTCCCCTGGGGACAACAATCTCGGCAACTTTCCAGCACGTAACTACTCAAATAATGAGGTTCGTGTGGACACGGGTCCTCTGAGAGATCGCCACCAGCAGGGGGTTCCTGGGGTGGTACCTGAGAATTCGAGCTGCATGAAAGCACTCTCCGGTGTCTGAGGGGTGCCCGGCTCCTGGTGCGACAGAGTCACGGTGCCGCGCTGCAGCTGCAGGTTCAGCTTGGCGAAGACGTGGTCCCGCCGGGTGTAGGTGTTCATGCAGGAGGCGTCGGCAGCGGGGTCAAAGAAGTCCTCGGTGCCTGCCCAGGAGGAAGCAGCGGTAAGAAAGTGCATGGGAAAGTGTCTGAAGCAAAACCAGGCACACCAGTCAGTCAGGATGACGTGTGTATCCATTTCCCTTGCTCTGAAAAGAACTCCACAGTTGGGGGTGACTGTTTTATTCGATAATTTAAAACGACCCAACTGCTTCATCGGGGCTCTTATCAACTTATCCCAACCGGGAGGACGTTCAGGTTCATGGGCAAGTATGGGATAAAGCTGTGCTGCCCAACACGGTGCAACATTCTCACCTGCACTGTCAAGGGCAGGGGGCACCCCTGGCACGTGTGGCTAAGGTGGCCAGCGTGACTGAGAAAGTAAATGTTTTATTTTATTTTATTTTATTTTATTTTATTTTAATTAGTTAGAGTTTAAACGGTCATGTGTGGCTATGGAAACCATACTGGGCAGGGTTAGTCTGAAGAGCGGCTCTGGACTGGGATTGGAATGTCAGAGTTTAAAATTCCTGAACTCGCTCACATTTAGTTCTCTTACCATGCCTGTCGCTAAGATCTATCTGACAAGGTGCTCATGTTCAAATCTAGTAACAGAGTTGCAAATGAAGTGTCTCCCAAAACCTCCTCTCTGCCTCTATGAACATGAGACGGACCTTTTTGTTTGCTTGAAAATAGTATGGGTCGTTTCAAAAGTAACGGACACATTATTATGAACCCAGCATCTCCCTTCACCGCCACCTGGGGGCTAACGGGGAGAGCCCGCCTTACCCAGGATCTCCTCGGGAGTCCACTGCTCGTGCTGCTCTGCTGACAGCCCCTCCACTGGCTTCCCGGACCAGCCGCCCCAGCCAGGAAACCAGGACTGGAGGTACTGCAGCATCCCACTGCCCGCACCGCTGCCTGGCTCTCCTGGGCAGTCTCCTGGAGAATCAAACTGAGGCTCTCGCAGGCTCTGTGGCAATCAACAATGAGCAACATGAGGACCCACAGACAGAACCAGCTGTGGCTGCCCACTCTCCACTCCCCAAGCGTAAGTACATCCAAGGGGAAGCGCTCAGAGTGCAGGGTCCGAGCACGTCTTCTCAGAGGGCTCCTTACCTCTGCCAGCTCCTCTTGCTTGTAAAATCGTTCGTGCACCAGCTCACGCAGAATCTTCAATTCCTCAAAGCTCTGTTCCTCTTCAATCCGACACATTTCCTCCTGTTTGGGTGGAAATAAAAACAAACAGGACAGGTGTTATAGCTCCAGAGAACTGGACACTCTTGCAAACCACTCACTACAAGGACTGGTCCCCAACATCTCCACTGGAGGCCAAGAAACAGTGAAGACAAAGAGTGAGGTCCATGGCTGCTCTGCTTCCGGTTTAAACAGCTCGTCCACATAACCCAACCGTACTTGGTCCCTGAGACCAACGGTAACTACAGGGAAGGTGACTAGTTATGATTCTTCCCACTTCAGATGAGGAAACTGAGGACCCAGTTTACACCGGAAGTGTGCAGGCCTCCAGCTCCTTTGTTTCACACGAGCATTTGCAAGGAGGTAGTGATTTTCATTTGTTTCTTGCTAGTTAGGAAAGACCAATGGCCGCCAGCTACATACAAATGTGCAAAGGACAGAATTAGCCACCCTGACATCAGGAAAAGGAAATTACGTGTGTTTCACTCTATCCCATGAAATGAAATTCCTTAGCAAGGGACTTGATTCCTTCCCAGATTCCATTTTCTTAGCCTTTGAGAGAACAGCATTCTTAACCCCTGATGACAAGATACACAAGGAAGGGTCCGCTCACCTTGTCGTCTGCAGACAGCACGCCTCCTTTCAGTTTGCTGAAGTACTTGTCGGTGTAGAACACATTGTCTCGGGCGCGGTGCAACAGGAAGTCCCAGGTACAGCGCTTCCTCTGCTCTCTGATCTCGTGCAGGTTAGCATCCAGGGCAAAATACCACCATTCTCGGCAGCTGAAATATTTCATAACAATGTCATTACTGCTTACATTAAAAACAACTAAAACGCTAACAACCCAGGGCAGCCCACAGAACACCACTCCTATGAGACAACTTTTCTCTCGTCAGGCATCACTTTTTGCCGAAAACTCATTTTAAAATATTGGGATAAACTCAACATGGGGGAAAACAAATCACATCATATAATATCATTTCCCTCAATTGGTTTGAATGACCCATATCAGTCCCCTTCACCGACAGTCAAGTAGTGACTAGAAGGTAAATGCCATCTTAAAATAATTACCAAGGATTTGACCACTGAAGATTTTAAGTGGAATACTTCAGAAAAGATATGGGAATGCACAGGATCTAAGAAAATTTTAATATACTGGTTTGGCCCAGTTTATCACTGCAGCATGAAAAGATTTCTTTTCACTATAGAAGTTAGAAAGTGCACTACATAAGTGTCGACCGAACAACCTGGGAGAAAAGACACAGGAAAGCAGATTCAAAGAATCAGGTCCCATCCAAGCAACCCCAGTCTATGTGCTAACCAAGACCAAGAGGCCCTTCTCACTTCCACCACGCCCAACCGAAGGCGAAACACGTCACCAAATCAGCAGATGGTCAGAATATCAGCAGTGATAAACAACAGAAATGGCATTTAAAGGCCAGAAAAATCGACTCTACTTTTATCTCTAGCCGTGACATGCAAAGAACAGTGAGGGATATTTCTGATCTGTTAACAAAAAACAAACAAACTGTACTTCATATACAACAACTGGAGAGCCTTACTTCCCAGAGATGGCCACTTTGGGTTTCCATTTTCGAAACTTCGCCTGCCTCTCCTTCCGTTCCAGCTCCTTGAGGAATCCCATGATTTGCCGGTATTGCAGCTTTTAATAGAGATTAAGAGATGCTAGGTTAGAACTGATTTGTTGCTTTTACCCAGTTAAGACATGCATCTCACAAGAACAATTCATATTAGTCAATCCACTGAATTGAAAACCAGTGCAAACCGGAAGACCAAATTTCAGCACCAAGTGGCACTTCTCCCGGGTCACATGACCCGGGAGAAGTGCCACTTGGTGCTGAAAATTGTTCAGTGTTGGTGCTGAAAATCGTTCAGTGTTGATATGACTGTGCTCTTGTGCTCTGCCCAGCACTTAAAAACCAACTCAGAACTAACCTGAGATCCGCCCAATCTGATCGCACTACAGACCATGGATTCTACACCTACCACAATTGTGGACACAACGTTCTGTGCCCTTTCCTCCCTCCTGGGGTACCTTCTACCGACATGCTCACTCACCCCAGTTCCGAGTCTGACAGTGAGAGCACAGACCACTGGGGGGACAGGGAATACCTGAGAGAGTTTCAGGGGGATGGTCTCCAGCTGAATGTCGCATTCAAAACGGGGAGTGTGCCGAGACCTCAGAGGCTCTTTGGAGCAGTTTCTCCTCAGAAGGGCGGATGCGCACACAGGCTCCAAGATGTAGTGATGATCACGGCTCTCCATGCTCTTGCCCATGGCCTCCTGAGCGACACGGGAACCTCTATCAGTTTTCTGGTTTTGTAGCCATTCTTACACAAATGTATATATCCTGTTTTGCCTTGGTTTTTTAAACGTAATACTGTATCTTAGAGACCATTATACATGCCCTTTGCCCTTATTTTATAGTTGCATGCTGCTGTACTGTATGGAAGCACGGTATTTATTTAATCAAACTAACAAAACAAAACCATTCCATACAATAGCATGCAAGCTAAAGATCTTGGGTGGGACAAAAAGTGAATCCTTTTTCTCTACTTCACTTAAATCAACTACAATTACTTTAGAAAAAGATTAAACAGATTTGTTTGTAAGCCTTCACAAACAGTAATACTTTATACACAGCTAGAGACCTGGTGCACGAATTCATGCACAGGCGGGGTCTGGCTGACCCGCGCACAATTGGGGTAAGTGGAGGGTGATCTGGGACCAGCCAGGGGGAGGGGCCAAGGGCGGTTGGCGGTTGAACTCCCGGTCAAACTCCTGGTAGAGAGGACAATTTGCACATTAGCCTTTTATTATATACGATGATTTATAATGATCTAAGTCAGTGGTTGCCAACCACTTGGACTCAATGACCACCAGTGGTCTGCAGAACACCGGTTGTTCTAAGTAGTTCTTAACGGAATTCCACCAAAGGTGAAGTGTCAACATAAACATAAAAAAGCTCTTCTTTAAGAATCCTTTCTGGTGCCGGGACCGGTTTGGCTCAATGGATAGAGCGTTGGCTTGGGGATTGAAGGGTCCCGGGTTCGATTCCAGTCAAAGGCATGTACCTTGGTTGCGGGCATATCCCCGGTAGGGGGTGTGCAAGAGGCAGCTGATCGATGACTCTCTCATCGATGTTTCTAACTCTCTATCTCTCTCCCTTCCGCTCTGTATAAAATCAATAAAATATATTTTAAAATTAAAAATTAAAAAATAATCCTTTCTGGTGCTTTGTTCAATGAAAATCTGAATGCCTACTATATGGTGGCTAGAAAAATGGATAACCATATATTTGATGCATACGGTGGATTATGCAGTAGTCAGAGCAATGAGCTAGAAGAATAAACAGCAACACTGATCCATCCTAAAAGCATAGCCTTAAGTGAAAAAAAGAAAACAAGGAAATCTAAAATGCAATGTAAATGTAAAACATACACAAAACACTACATATTGTTCAGTTACATACATAGCAAATACCTCAAGCAACACACATGGGAGTGGGTGCCTCGAGGGGGATGGGCACAGGAATCAGAGACACGGAGAACAAAAACCTATATGACAGTGACCCTGCACCACTTTACTTCAGTGTAATGTTGTGATAAAGCCCTCTGCCAGAATCATACCTGTAGCTCCAGCTGAGGCAAATCCCCCAATAAAGTGCAATCGACATCCCAATAGATGCTAAACTCTGCTACATCTAACTGCTTTTTCCGCATTAACTTCTGCACCTGAGGTAAGACAGGGAACAAAACAAGATGACTCCATATTCATGAATTCATTCATTCATTCAACAAGCCATTTTGCAAAGAATCATCTATCAGGCACTTTTGCAAGGTGCTGGGGATACAAAACTAGACTAAAGTGTGGTTTTACTCTCCCAGAGTTCAAATCCAGCTAAGTGGGAACACAAACATGCAAATAATTTTAATTAAGCAGGGGGAGAATATTTAAGATGCCATGAGCAAACAGAGAGAAAACAGCACTATATGACAGAGATGTGTAAGTTCCAGGCATAAGGCTGGTAAGAGGAAAGGCCTGCGACGCATTGCAAAGAGTAGGGCCAACGATACAAAATGCCTGATAACCTCAGAGGACAGCGAATTTGTGTAACGGGAGCACGGCTCATGTGCAGTAATCATACGTGTGTGTGTGAACATATTTGGTAGTTAGGTGTTGAGAAAAGTAGATCGGATGTTACTAGGCGTTCTGGGTTGAATAGTTTCCTCCCCCAAAATAGTTATGTCCTCCCAGATCCTGTGGGTGGGACCTTATTTGGAAACAAGGTCTTTGCAGATGTAACCAAGCTAAAATGATGTCATACTGGATTAGGGTGGGCCCTATGGTGCCCTTAAAGAAAAAGGGGGGGGAAGACACAGCCGAGAAGGCCATGTGAAAAAAGAGGCAGAGATTGGAAAGATGCATCTGCAAGCCCAGGATGTCAAGGCTACCACCGAGGCAAAGAGAAAGGCCTGGAACGTTTTTCCCTCAGAGCCTCCAAAGAATCTACCCTGCCAACCCTTTCATTTTGGATTTCCACCCTCCAGAACGAGAGAATACATTTCTGTTGTTTGAAGCCACCCATTTGAGGTCATTGGTTATGGCTGTGCCCGGACCCTGACACACTAAGAAAGGACATATATACCACACCAGGGACTGTGGAGCTCAGACTTTATGTGAGAAGGGAACCCTGAGGGTTCTGACGCAGGTATGCATCAGGACCGGGTAGTGTTTTAGAAACAGAACTCTGGCAACAGTGCAAAGCAGAGCTCCCCGTGATGTGCCAGAAAAAAGGAGCCATGAGTCACGTCAAGATAAAGAGCAAGCCGGGACCAGTTTGGCTCAGTGGATAGAGCATCGGCCTGCGGACTGAAAGGTCCTGGGTTCGATTCCAGGCAAGGGCATGTACCTCGGTTGCGGGCACGTCCCTGGTGGAGGGTGTGCAAGAGGTAGCTGATCGATGATTCTCTCTCGATGTTTCTGACTCTCTATCCCTCTCTCTTCCTCTCTGTGAAAAATTAATAAAATATATATAAAAAAAAAAAAAAAAGAAAAAGATAAAGAGCAAACCCTAGCCAGTTTGGCTCGGTGGATAGAGCATCGGCCTGCGAACTGAAGAGTCCCGGGTTCAATTCTGGACAAGGGCACATGCCTGGGTTGTGAGCTCAATCTCCAGTAGGGGGCTGTGCAGGAGGCAGCCAATTAATGATTCTATCTCTCTCCCTCTCCTTCCTCTCTGAAATCAATAAAAATATATATTTTTTTTAAAGATGAGCAAGTTTATAGGATCAAGTTACTTTTTAAAAATACTTGGTTACTCTGAGCTAGCCACATCCTTTGCTCCTGTGTCCTGTACAAATACTATCTTTGTTTTCTGTGTGCTGTGGCATGGAAAAGTTTGGGAAGTGTTGGCACAGAATGAATCAAGAACCCGGGATGGGAGCAAGAAGGTCACCGAACAGGATGCTTTATCAGCCCGCCCAGGCAGAAGTTGACAGGATCCTGATTTCAGACAGTTGCAGTGTGACTAAGAGCCACATTTGAGACACTGTGCAGGAAAAATCGGCAGGACGCTGTGATCTTTGTTGAGGAATGAGAAGTGGAAGGATGAGCACGGAGCTTCTAGATATTAGGGAAGTGGGTAAGAACACATGAGCTGGAGCAGGGATGGCAAATGTTTTCTGAAAAGGGCCAGCGTATGCATATTAAGGCTTTGTAGACCCTATAGTCTCTGTTGTAATGACTCAACTCTGCCACTGTGGCACAAAAGCAGCCTTAGACAATACACACAAAGGGCATGGCAGTGATCCAATAAATCTTTGTTTACAAAAACAGGTAGGGGACCAATTTGCCAACTCCAGATACAGAGCTGATCTACCCTCCCTTAGTGCTCTGCACCTTAGCATCCCCAGCCATACCATGAGGACAACAGTGGTGGCAAAAAGCACGGAGAGTTCAATGAGCAATCGTGCAAAGCGCAAAGAACAGTGTCTCACATAAAAGCATTCATAAGCCGAGACCGGTTTGGCTCAGTGGATAGAGCGTCAGCCTGCGGACTGAAAGGTCCCAGGTTCGATTCCGGCCAAAGGGCATATACCTTGGTTGCGGGCACATCCCCAGTAGGGGGTGCACAAGAGGCAGCTGATCAATGATTATCTCTCATCGATGTTTCTAACCCTCTATCCCTCTCTCTTCCTCTCTGTAAAAATAAAATAAAATAAAATAAAAAATAAAATAAAATAAAATAAAACATATATATATATATATATATATATATATATATATATATATATCAATAAAAGCATTTATAAGATGCTGGTTTTCATTTGCTTGTTTGGACCTTCAGTAACATGTTAGAAAAAAAGGGAAAAAGTTGATGTCAGGGGAGCAAATTGGACAGATGGGATATAATGGGATCGTTTTGGTTATGACAAGCCTAAATGCCCGAGAGGTGTCTGTATCCACAAGTAGATGGATATGAACATAAAGGTCAGTCAGGAGGGGGAGAATGGAGTTCAAGTGGAATCCATCCGCAAATATTCCCAAGTGGAACTGAAACGATGAAACAGATGAATTTTCCTGGGAGTGCATATGGTATGAGAAGATAATCAAAGTGTCTCCGTACCTTGATTCCTTTGTGGGTAAAATGAAAGGGGCGGCACCAGCATTTAAAGGAGGAGTGACATAATAAAAGGTCAGAGAAAATTAGCTGTTTCCCTATGTCAGCAAATGAGATGTATTACATACAGGCAGGAGACACGCATGCCAGGGGAAGACCACGGTGGAAAGAATGCAATCTCATTCACATGATGCAAAATGACAAGAGGCAGAGCCCAAACTCCCCACAACGACTGCTTTCATACTCACAGGCTCATTCACAGCATTTTGCATGGACACATTCTTAATGCAGATGCCGAAGGCAAAAGGATGGGAAGGGTTGGTAATACCATCTTCGAAGCGCAAATGAACATCTTGAATTTTTAACTGCAAAGGGGAGAAAAATAAAAGCACATTTAGGCAACTGCTACAGGTGTAATACTGGCGGTAGGAGTCACACAGCCCTAAGCTACACTGAGTAAATCAGAGCTGGCATTGTATACACACATCACAGAACCACTGCTCCTCAAGCTCCTCAGTATAGAATCACAAACTGGACACACACAGAAGAGAGCTACAATACTGTCACTAGTCAACTCAGAAGACACATAAAGACACACTAGAAGGAGCACCGCTGTGCCCAGGTAACTGGCCCTCACTCTTCTATGACAGAGTTGCCTGTGTCCCCACACCTAGACATAGGAAATCAGGGGAACATATACGCTTTGTACCTACTTATTTCTTAACTTCCCTCTGCCCATGAAGGCAAGATAGCGAAAAGGCATGCTGCTTCAATGAATTAACAAAGAATAACAAAAAATGAAAACAAAACAGGAGAAAATATTTACAAATCATATGTCTCCTAATGGACTAGATTAGATATTAAAAATACACTTACAACTTAATAATTTAAAAACAAAACAAAACAATAAATCAAGTTCTACATGGGCAAAGAATTTGGATAGATATTTCCCCAAACAGGGCATATAAATGGCCAATAAGCATCTGAAACAATACTCATATCGTCAGCCAAGGAAATGCAAATCAAAACCACAGTGAGCCCGGCCAGCGGCTCAGTGGTTGAACATTAACCTATGAGCCAGGAAATCACAGTATGATTCCCAGTCAGGGATCACGCCTGGATTTTGGGATTGATCCCCAATGTGCTGCATATAAGAGGCAGCCAATCAAAGATTCTCTCTCATCACTGATATTTCTCTCTCTCTTCTCCTCTCCTTTCCTAAAATCAATAAAAATATATATTAAAAAACAAACAAACAGTAAGAAACCACTTCATATCCACTAGCGTGGCTATAATCAAAAGAGATAATAACAAGTGCAGATGAGAAGGAAAAATTGAAATGCTCATACATTATTGGTACAATTGTAAAACAGTGCAGCCACTTTGATAAACAGTTTGCTAGTTCCCTCAAAAAATTAAACATGTAGTTACCATATGACTCACCAACTCCACTCCTAGGTATATAATACTCAGGAGAACTGAAAACATATGTTCACACAAAACCTTATACATGAACGTTCACAGCATCACTATTCACAGTAGCCAAAAACTGGAAACACCCAATGTCCATCCACCGATGAATGGATAAGCAAAGTGTGGTACATCCTGAGAACTGCAAAAACTCTCCAAGTACATTCTGTTCAAGCCCCTCCCCTAAGAACTTGACCCAATTTTGATGTGGCTTCCTGCAGCCTAAAGCTGTGTGCCTGGGACAATCCAGGCCCTCTTTGAGTTCCTCTCCAGAAAACTCAGGGCTATTTGTTTGTTCCAGCCAACACCTGACAATCATTTCTTAGAACCTCCTTTGCTTAGAACATTTATAACTGCTCTAAGGGCTTAAAATTGTTAACCCTTTTTCCATCCCTTTGAAGTGTGTTTGTATAATCTCCTACAACTCAAGGACCTGAAAGCCATTCCTTTGCAATGTGATCATCATGCTCAGTTCAATTCTAGGTGAGAGCACATGCCTGGGTTATAGGCTCAATCCCCAGTAGGGGGCGTGCAGGAGGCAGCCAATCAATGATCCTCTCATCATTGATGTTTCTATCTCTCTCTCCCTCTCCCTTCCTCTCTGAAATCAATAAAAATATATTGTTTTAAAATAATAAAATGATGATGAATTTTTAAAAATCAATGACAGCTTAAAAAAAAAAAGAAGTAACTTCATAAAACAGAATTCAAAGCAGTCACCTCAAATGTAGCAACCTTTTCATCAAAGTTATGAAACCAACGACCTCACACTATTTTGGGGGTAAGTGATATAACGGGCACTGCATTGCAAGAAAACCCTGGAGATAGTAAGTATGGGCTGACGAAAATGGCCTCTGGTCTAGTTTTTTGAGGACAAAACAAATTTGTAATTAAAGTGGAAAAGATGGCCAATAGCCCTAATACTGATACTCATCAAATTGCCACCAGATACATTAGTGAGAGATTAAATATCTTAGTGAGCTGTTCACAATTCTCTCTCTAATCAACTAGAAACGCTGCATCCGACCGCTCTCGTTTTCCAGATGAAGAAACTGAGATCAGAGAGCTTATGTGATTTGCCCTGAAACAGAAGTCACGAAAGCTTACTAGCAGGTGACGTGGCTAAATCCTTCCGCAAGTGGGACTCCAACACTCAAACAGAAAGTGAACTGCAATGTAAGTGAAACGAAAACAACTCCTCACGCTCACTGAAGCGAGCAAGGCCTGGGCCCACAGCCTAGACGTGGGACTTGCTTTTCAGGTTTTCCCTTGGCACCGCCTGGAAAAGGGCACACCTGTACAGTCATCCTACCTACCGGGTACACCCTGTATCCGCGAGACCCACGAGAAACAAACAGCTCAGAAGTAAATACAGGGAAGCCTGAGAAATAAGCCCCTCTCCTGATCCTACTTTATAAGTCAGTAGGACTTACTTCAATGTTCTCCACAATTCTCGTAACTACGGAGGCAGTGACGGAATACCAATAGGATTCCCCTTTCTGCTGGCGTTCGTTCTACAAAGAAAAGAGCCAGTGTTAGCCGGAGCTGGTGCTTTGCTCACGTCACGTGTCTCACCACGATGCTCTTCTGGAGCAAAGGATTTCTGCCTTGCCTTCCATTTCTCCTCCAGGGCTTGAAGCAGAGCTTTCTTGCGGTCCCTTTCCAACAGATTCTCATTTTCATCGTTGAAATTTTGTATTTTTTCAGGGGCTCCGATTAAGTGAAGGCTGGAGATGGAGATTACCCAAGGGTCCACATGAGGGCGATAAAAGGGAATCTGAAGGGTTACTTTCCCAATTAAACCTAGGAGAAAGAAAATCTTGTTAAAGGTCTTTACATATTTTTAATTCCTCCTTTTTTTCTGCATTCTTCTAGTTTTCTTGAGGGGGCATTATTATTTTTACCTTTTTTTAATTTAAGAAAACAGGCACCAGGTCCTTGTACTTGGGAAGCAAACGTTAGTAGGCTGAGATCGGTAATAATTAGGCACAATAAACTGGAAGCTGGGAAAAGTTCAGTGCGACTTGACCTTAGCAATTGCGAAAGCTCTCTCCTGCAAACTACCTGTCCCCCAGCTGCAGTATCTTTCTGCTCATGGCACCTGCACAAGCCCATGGGCACAAACCTCACTTCCTGTTTGTTATTAACCTGCTGGCTGGTAAGTGCTTATTGGGAGTTATCAGATCTTGCGCATACCCCTGACACGTGAGAGATGCTGCAGTGGCACTCCATCGAGGAAGAATTGATTCTTTATGAGAACTTGGCCTCCTGAGAGAGCTAAAGAGCCTGGAAGAATTGTGATGCTTATTTCCCAAGTTCTACCATTTGTAGCCAAGCCTCCTAGAACTCAAACCTTCTTTAAATTAAATTAATTAGAGGTAAGTCACCACTGAGGAATAATGCACAAGAATATCTGGCCTGTCCTCATGGATCCACCTCTGAAAGCCCAACCTCTGAAAGCAGTACAGTTCTCAGGGAGTGATCATCATATATAATATAATATGCAAATTAACATAATGGCGAAATGACTATTGCTATGACACACACTGATCACCAGGGGGCAGACGCTCAACACAGGAGCTGCCCCATGATGATCAGTGTGCGAGAGGCGGGGCTCTCAGCTGGCGAGCGCAGAGGCAGTGGCGGGAGCCTCTCCCAACTCCGTGGCAGTGCTAAGGATGTCCGGCTGGCTGCCCTGTGGAGAGTGGGCAGTGCTAAGGATGTCCGGCTGGCTGCCCTGTGGAGAGTGGGCCTACGCCATCATTCAGACATCCTCCGAGGGCTTTAGACTGCCAGAGGGAGCAGGCCGGGCTGAGGGCCACCCTGAGTGCATGAATTTCATGCACTGGGCCTCTAACTACCCTACAACCGTGGTCAACAAACTGCAGCTCGTGAGCCACATGTGACTCTTTGGCTCCTGGAGTGTGGCTCTTCCACAAAATACCATGGCCTGGGCAAGTCTATTTTGAAGAAGTGGTGCTAGAAGAAGTTTAAGTTTAAAAAATTTGGCTCTCAAAAGAAATTTCAATTGTATTACTGATATTTGGCTCTGCTGACTAATGAGTTTGCCAACCACTGCCCTTTAAGATCTAAAATTCAAGTGAGACTGATCACTTAAACAGGGGTGGGCAAAAGTAGGTTAATAATAAGCAATAACACAAGAATATAAACTGTTTCACGTACTTACAGCCGTAAACCTACTTGTACCCACCCCCGTGTTTAACATAAAAGAATATCATTAACAATGGCATTTTTAATGATGACACCAAGTGATCAACTGTGCAATCCAATACCAAATTCAGATATCTACAATAATGAAAAAGAAAACATATTTTAATTTGGATTTTATCTAAAACAATAAAAATAAGTTTCTTATATTTAATCATTTTTATATTAAAACTGAAACATCACTTTTCACAGCAAAGAATTTTAACAACTAGTGCACAGTTGCAATTCTAACCAAAATTAATTGGGAAGCGAATACACAATATTCTAATAACTATATGACTAAAATATAAATTCTGTGAGGTTTTAATTTTGCAGAACAAGCATAAAAATGATCATTTTTGCAAAAATATCAGAAAACATCAACCTTTCCCAAGAGCTTTCAATAACTCTTTCTGAAGTGTGATCATCTTGAGAGTTTTCCTTCAAATTCTAATGAGTTGGTGCTTCTGCTTCTGACTGGCAGATCACTCATCACTTGAATTGATTTCAAGAAAGCCTAAATCTTCTGTAAGGTTTTTTATGTGCATTGTACTTGCATTGCATTGTAATATAAGTTTTCCAAAATAGAAGAAAAACTGACTAATATTAACTGGCTACTGTTGAATGATGAGGGATGCCTAAATAGAGACCAATTTTATAAGTGATCATTTAGTGGGGAATATTTTATTCCAGAACAATTCTTGCTTCCTCGTCAAACCTCACAACTGTAGAGCTTCTATATAGTTGCAAACATCTACTGATGTGTCGGGCATCGTCCTGAGTAAGTTTAATGTACTAACTCAGGTATTCCCCTTTGATGTAGGTACTATTATCAACCCATCTTAAAGATGAGGAGGTAAACACAGAGTTGTTAGGAAACTTACCCAAGGTCACACAGACAGAAAATGGCAGATTTAGAATATAAAAAATTGTTTGCACCACACAAGGCAATTTTTGTTCCAGAGCCCACTTTCATGCAATAGAGTAAACTCTCTCAGTAATATTTATAATGAATTATCTGAAAATAAAACCCCCTGTACCTAGAACAGAAGGTCTCATACTCCAGTAAACATAAAAATCACTGGAGCCGAAACTGGTTTGGCTCAGTGGATAGAATGTTGGCCTGCGAACTGAAAGGTCCCGGGTTCGATTCCGGTTAAGGGCATGTACCTTGGTTGCAGGCACATCCCTAGTAGGGGGTGTGTGGGAGGCAGCTGATCGATGATTCTCTCTCATCGATGTTTCTAATCCCTCTCTCTTCCTCTATCCCTCTCTCTTCCTCTCTGTAAAAAATCAATAAAATATATTTAAAAAAAAAAAAAAAAAAAGAATCACGGAAATGTTTATTAAAAAATGCAAGCTGAGCCCTAGCTGGTGTTGCTCAGTGAAGTCAGCCTGAGGATTGAAGGGTCCCAGGTTCAATTTCAGTCAAGGGTACATACCCAGGTTGTGGGCTCAATCTCCAATGAGGGGTGTACAGGAGGCAGCCAATCAATACTTCTCTCTCATCGTTGATGTTTTTATCTTTCTCTCTCCCTCTCCCTTCCACTCTAAAAAAAAATAAATAAAGCCGGGACCAGTTTGGCTCAGTGGATAGAGCATCGGCCTGAGGACTGAAAGGTCTCGGGTTCGATTCCGGGCAAGGGCATGTACCTTGGTTGCGGGCACATCCCCAGTAGGGGGTGTGCAAGAGGCAGCTGATCGATGATTCTCTCTCATCAATGTTCCTAACTCCCTATCCCTCTCTCTTCCTCTTTGTGAAAAATCAATAAAATATATTTTTTAAAAATCAATAAATATATACGTATATATGTATTTTTTTATTTTTTAAATACAAGTTGAATGACACATCCTTGGAGATTCTAATTCAGTAAGTCGAAGGCCACGTGACTTCCTCCACCCCCCCAAGGTCATCCTGATACTAGTGGCCTAGAGACCACATTTTAAGATGAGTCTAAACTCTGTACTTCCTACCCTGCCTCTTCCTGGTCACGGAGAGCCCAAGTCAGGGACTCTCCATTTCAGGTCCCAAACAATGAACACTCAACACTGCCTCCCCCTCCTCGGCTCCACGTACCCGCTTTGACTTCAAATGGTAATTCCAGTTCTTTCAAGGCATCCTTCTTTAATGGCAAGTTTTCTAATTCAACTGCACCTAAAAAACAAAAACAACATCTGGGTGAAAAAGGTGAAGAGATTAAGAACTATAAATTGGCAGTTATGGGGACATAAAGTGAAGCATAGAGAATATTGTCAATATCAGGGGATCATGATGAGGGATGCCTAAATAGAGACCAATTTTATAAGTGTTCCCATAAAATACATGGCTGGCTAGCCACTATGCTGTACACCTGAAACTAATACAAAATAATATGGAATGCCAACTGTAATTGAAAAATAAAATAAAAATAATTACATAAATAAAATAATATCATGAAATGATATTGTTGTACATCCAACAAATTCGGCAGATGCCTGCTCTGTACGAATCATTGAAGGTTAAAGGGAAAGTTTTACAACTAGACCACAGCGACAAAAAGCCAAGGGAAGCACCAGCCTATGTGCCTAATCAATACTAATTTCCTGGCTCCCGCTCTGACATGTAAATGATAGCTGAGGTTTACAGCGCATGAAGTAATGTACCAGAGAGTACATATTTCAGCCTTTTTGGTGTCTGATGTATATTTTCCTTTTGTTTCGTTTTTTTCACAAGCCTTTAAAAGTGTAGAAGCCATTTTCATTCATCTCACAGGTGGGAGCCTGGCCAGTTGGCCAGTTTGCAAACCCCTAGTTTAGGGTAATGTTCACCAGAGGACCATTAACATCCGAATCTCCTGGGAGGAAATGCAGGTTCCTGGGCCCCCTGCCAGACATCTCTGGGATTGAAACACAGAAATTTGTAAAATTTTAACAAGCTCTCCTTACCAACACACACACACACACACACACACACACACACACACACACACACACAAAGCAGGTGTATTGCACACAACATCTGGGAGCCTGGGAGAGCTAAACGAAGTTGGTCATGAAAAGGAATCAGACTCTCTCCTGGAGGGACCAGCTCCGCAGGTTCTCCTCCGCACTTCCACTTACAGATGCAATAAACAAGCAGAAGGCAAAGGAACAAACAGGACCCTCACTGAAGACCTTTTCAGACCCAGCTCTGACAATGACTTAAACCCCAAAGTACAAGACGCCTCCACGGAATAGTCTAGATCTCTCACCCCCCCCTCCTACCGTCAACTATGGAAGTCATTCATTCACACACATATACCAATCCTTGTCCTTGTTAGACACTATCCTAACTGCTGGGATTACAAAAAGAGAAGGCAGTCCAAAACTGGTTTGGCTCAGTGGATAGAGCATCAGCCTGCGGACTGAAAGGTCCCAGGTTTAATTCCGGTCAAGGACATGTACCTTAGTTGCGGGCACATCCGCAGTAGGGGGTGTGCAAGAGGCAACTGATTGATGATTCTCTCTCATCGATGTTTCTAACTCTCTATCCCTCTCTCTTCCTCTCTGTAAAAAATCAATAAAATATATATTTTTTTTTAAAAGAGAGAGAGAAGGCAGGATTCCCATCCTCAAAGAACTCGGGAGACAGCCATCATTCTTACAAAATTGTTTGCACCACACAAGGCAATTTCTGAGTCACTGAAATCTGTCTGAGATACATTATTTTCAAGAACAAGCAGTACAGACAACAACCACCCAGCAACCTTTAACTGGTAAGGGAATCCAGAAAAAAAGACAAGCAAAAATTTTTCTCCAAAGACAACTAATGCAAGAAACTTGATTACTTTTCCCTCTAAATGACTGTTCAAGACCAGTGCATACTTGGCTTCTAAGTAATCAAATCTAGCAATTTGGCAGACTCTGAGCAAATGTAGCCAATCGACATCTCAGACTTTTGCGGGAACATCTGTCCATATGGAGGAATCCATATACCTAAAGACTAACCAAAAGTTAATAACCCCAGAGAGCCTGGACAAACTGTATTTCCACATTTGGGGAGAAAATCTTAAAGGGAAAAAAATATCATCAAACATGTTCCTTATCAGTGGAAAGTGGCTTAAAGGGAGAAAAGTATGTAGTTTCTCTTTTTGAGGAGCAACATTTGCAATCGGAATCATTTGCCCTATTTTTCAATCCCCAAACGAGGCTGACGGCCCTACGCTTCCTTGGCCGCTATACAGCCTGGAGGAAGTGGGACGAACGGTAGGCAATCCACACCATGAAAAATTAAAGAAGCTGCAGCCCAGAGAATGCAGGAGGTGACCTGGGAAGGAGCGGAAACAGAAAAAAGGATGAGAAGGACTGAAGACCAAGGCAAACCCGCAGCAGCCATGCGTGGTTCCAGACCAAAGGCCTCCTACTTCCTCACCCACTCGAACAGGCACCCACAACCGACCCTGCTGGGAGAGATCCCTCCAAGGGGCCGGCCCTAACGCACCCAGTGTAGGCAAGTACTTTATAAACGATAATGACGTTCATTAATTTACACGTAAATAATATGCAGGCATATTCATGGATGTCTCTCTCATCCAAAAATGTCTCAGCTCAGATTAGCAGCAAATCTAGTGACTGGAACTGGGCTGAGTTTAGAGATGGATCATTTCTCAGTAATTGCTATTGACTATTGAACCCTCTTCCCTCGTTAATAGGGCCAGTTTGACATTCAGAGCTTATAGAAAGAAAAGGAAGGGAATCTAAGTTTTGGGTTAGAGATGCACAGAGATGCCCACAGTTCAGACTCCTTGGCATGGCGCTGGCAGCCACTACCTTCTGGCTCCAAACATGTCCTGCAAGTTTTCACCCTGCAAGCTTTCAGCCTCTGCCTCCAATCACACGCTTCACTCGCCCTGGAGCCCACCCGCACTCCTATCAAAACCCTCTAAACTCCACTCAGAAGCTGCCTCCATACCAGCTTTCCGAGAGTCCCAGTCAGGAGGAACGGCTCCCCGCTTTTACCCCATTGCATTATGCCTAGACGTCTAGTAATTAATTACCATTGATTTCGGTCTCCCCAACAGATTATCAGCCAGCTCTCCAAGGACAAGGACTACAGAGATGGAGGTGATAAGTAGCCATCACTTTCGGAGTAGTATTAACAGCCATCATTTAGTGAGGACTCACTAGGCGCCAGGCCCTGCATAAGCATGATCTCATTTAATCCTCACAATGGTATGAGGAAATACTATTATCTGCTCCATTTTTTAAATGTGTTCATAGATTTCAGAGAGGAAGGGAGAGGTTGAGAGAGAAACATCAGGGAATGATGAGAGAAAATCATTGACTGGCTGCCTCCTGCATGTTCCTCCCCACCTCCCGCCCCCAAATGGGGACCAAGCCCACAACCCAAGCACATGCCCTTAACCGGAATTGAACCCAGGACCCGTGAGTCCACAGGCCGATGCTCCATAACTGAGCCAAACCAGCTAAGGCTGCTCCATTTTTGAAACAAGAAGCTGAGAGGACAAGCAGTTCGCTTAAAACCCACAGACCCCGTACGTGGTAGTGCTGGAGTTCATACCAGATCTGTTGATCTCAGGTGGCATGAAGGAGAGGGGGTGAAGGGGAAGCTGAAGTAACTGAGTCACAAACAGCTTTCAAATGGTGAAACCAGGGTTAGCTCCTACGCCTGAGCTCTGAGTATCCCCTTTCTGTATCATTCCATAACAGAGCTGTACCCAAGGCAGGTGTTCATAGAGTGTTTGCTGAATGACTGAAGGAGTGAAATCTTACACAATGCTATCTCTGTCATTTAACCACTCATACGCTAACTATGCATTTTTATTGCTTTTGACATGGATGCACAACTTGTCTTTCAAGTCCAACCCACCAGCACATCCTGTATTAATGACCATGATGGATGGTGGATGATGATAACCCCAGTTGAGGGGTTCACTACACGCCAAGAACCTTTGACTGAGGTCATTGTGTTTAGCCCTCAGAACCTTATGAGGTGGTTACTATTCTCTCCAGCTTACAGAAAGTGAAACTGAAACATGAAGAATTCGAGGAACTTGCCCCAGTTACTAGTAAACGGAGGAACTGGGACTCAAACCCAGCCTGGCTATAAAGTCCATGCTTTGACCACTACTTCAGTGTCCATGCAGATAGTGAATATGGGCAGACAGATTAACATAACACCTAGTGTCCTCTACCCCTAAACACTGCAAAACTATAACTGTGTCTTCAAGATCAACAAAAACCCTCCACTTCTTTACAAAGCCCTTCTTCTCAGTGCTCTGTGACACCCCAACACTCTGGGATCTATAAGGATGGACAGTATACTAATAGTGGTAATGAAAGAAAAAGCAACTTTCAATTTTTCAGGGAAATATCCCTCAGACTCCACAGGTTCATTAAAAGCCATAGAGAATATTTTTTTAAAGCAAATAAGTATAGAAAAGCAGTTGAAAGCAACAGGGAGATACACAGTTGTTGCAAGATATATTCTGTCTACAACTGCTGATTAGAAATCTGTTGTTAGTATAGAGTCCACGATACATCATATGCCACAAAAATTCCTGTGCATTCATTTCTTCGGCAAACATCCTCTCACCATCCCCGCCGAGCGCCAGCTCTTTTCTCAGAAGGCCAGGGTGTGCCGGTTTCTTTCCAGGCCTGCACCTGCCCTTACAGCTTGGTTAGCTTCACAGCGTGGATGGGAACTTCAGTAAGTGGCCAAAGGGGTGAACTTGGCATGACTACTGAACTTTGAACATGGCCTCTTCCCGGAAAGGCTGGTCACTTTCACTTTGCATTTCAGCAGCTCCCTTCCCAGGATGGGAGGACAAGCAGCAGGAGGGGGTTGGGAAAGAACTCGTTTCTGATTCCAATGACAGGAAGGAATAGGAGGGGTGACAGTGAAAGCTCCCCACCATCCTTCCACCGGGGTAGATGGGTCAGAAAGACCCGGGAAGCAGCACGTCTGGGGGAGGGTACCCACTGCCTGGCACCCTATGCTCAGCCTGCACCATCCTCTGCTTCACTGCTATCGCCACTGCCTGTCCCGACCCACCTGCCAAGAGTCCCGCTCCCAGAAGCTGAGATCTGACCGCACTGAGGCCTCCTGTCCACTCGCTAGGATCCCACATGCTTGCGGACTGACTTTTGTCTCCTTTCTCAGGATTCAGTCAAGGGTTACATTTTGAGATGAGCAAAGAGAACTTAAAACACGGAGAAAGAGGGGGAAAAAAAGCAGTTTTCCAATCCCCCCACCACACCTCGGAACTGCGTTTACCGAGTAGAGACCTATACAGCCTATAGTGTCTCAAGCTTTCGGTACTCGACTGCTGAGCCAGACAGGACTCGGAGTTCTGGGACACCTCACGCGGGTGTCTGTGACACGCCAGCAGAGGAGCTTCAACTGTCTCTCCCTCTGATCTTCACAGCAACCCTGGAGAGGCGTGTCTGTCAGCCTCGCTTTCTAAAGAAACTGAGGCTCCATGCCGAGACCGGTTTGGCTCAATGGATAGAGCGTGGGCTTGGGGACTGAAGGGCCCCGGGTTCGATTCCGGTCAAGGGCATGTACCTTGGTTGCGGGCACATCCCCAGTGGGGGGTGTGCAAGAGGCAGCTGATCGATGACACTCTCTCATCGATGTTTCTAACTCTCTATCTCTCTCCCTTCCTCTCTGTACAAAATCAATAAAATATATTAAAAAAAAAAAAAAAAAAAGAAAGAAAGAAAGAAAGAAACTGAGGCTCCAAATGTCAATGGCTTATTTCTGCAGCTAAAAAGTAACACAGCAGGATTTAAAGCCAAAGCCACTATTAGCATATCATGGCTGCCCTCATAACCCTTCCTAAGGCTAAAACGTGAACTGGGGTAAAGCAGTCCCCAGTAGTATAGCTTTAAAAAAAAAAAAAAAAAATTGGTAACTCCCTAAAATCTACAGCAATACAGCTACATGTTTAAGTTACCCTATTATAATAATCAGTGTCATATGGGAGGGAAAATTTCCTTTTACACATAGCTAATAAAAAAGCCACCTGAGCACCATGTTTTATCCTTCTCAATCTAGCAAAGAGGATACAGAAAGGAGAAGTGCCGTCTGCAAAGGCAATTCTGTGCCAAAAAGGCGCACACGCACTCACCTTTCAGAAGCGCAACAGAGAGCTGGTCAGTGTTCAGGTTGTTGACGTATTTCCCCAGGTAGGTATTGAGAACCCAGGCTACGAGCCCTTCCAACATGACTAGATCCCCACGACAAGGTGTTTAAAAATCACGGATCATTCTTCATTTCTCTCTCTCATGATCACAGAAGAATCTGAAAGAAAATTAAAAAAAAGGAAATCAACAGAAAAACCAGATGGTTTTCTAAGCTGTTTCCTATTCTACCTAAAACGGAGGAACGCAAAGCACAGGTTTCAGAAAACTTTCAGAAAGCCCCTGTAAGACACCCCATTAGTAAATGGAGGACCAAACCAACACATTGTCGTTCTGATGCAACTGCAAGGAAATTTACCAAATATCACCCACAATGCAAAGGCACATGTCTTTTCCATATAACCGATCATTGAACCGCTTGCTTTTAGTGACTCACCTTGGGACCAGACTGTCCTGACTGAAGGTTCTCCTCCAGGTATGGTTTGGCAATGTCTAGAGACTAGAGACATTTTTGATTGTGAGGAGTAGGAAGTGCTACTGATATCTTGAGGGTAGAAACCATGGATGATGTTAAACATCCTACAATGCGTAGGTAACACCCCACAGCAAAGAATTACCTAGCCAGCATGTCAACGGTGCTGAGACTGAAATCCTGTTTCAGATGAAAGCAAAACTGCACTAAGAGACTGTTCCAATGAGCTTCCTATTCTGCAGTGATCCTCTTTAAGGCTCCCCTAATTCAATTTTGCAGATTTGTTCATTGGGATCTTTTGTAAAATAATATAAAAGGGAAAAGGCAGTGGTTGTTCACAGTTCTTAAAAGTCCTGGAGGTACATTACTGGGGCCTGATGCTGATACAATGAACTATCTCAGTAATTACACACCCCAGAGAACATCTGGTTCTGGCTACAGTACTTACATTCAGCACTAAATCATTACTGCCTGTCGTTATTAATAACAACAGGTATCATATTTATTAGCATTACAGAAGTACATATAGATTTTTTAGTATTACAAAATGTTAATATTCAAGCCAGACCAACGTGGCTCAGTGGTTGATCATTGACCTATGAACCAGGTCATGGTTCGATTCCCGGTCAAAGCACATGCCCGGGTGGTAGCCTCACCCCCTAGCAGGGGGCATGCAGCCAATCAATGATTCTCATCATTGATGTTTCTATTTCTCTCCTCTCTGAAATCAGTTTTCTAAAGAAGCTAATATTTGGGAACTTGCGACACCGCTGAAATGGGTCCCCAGATCGCTCAACGAGCAGGTCCCAGTGAGAACGGTGAGCTCCAAATCGCGGGACAGCAGATCAGCTATGGCAGGCATCCCACTGGAGCCAGCCCTTTCGGGATCCTTTCCAAGCGCTCTGCCCCTCCTCCAGCGATTCATCTCAGCGCCAGAAGACACACTGGTCCCAACGGAAGGGCTGCCACACCCAACGGAGCCCCAAAGCAAGGCCCTGGGAGAGCTAACCCCCAGGAAAGGTTTGTCAACATCGTCTGGCACTTCCACGGGAAGACTAACTTCCGTTTGTCAACAATGACAGTACAAATTACTAAGTAAACAGATAGCTTTTGGTGAAGTACTCCTTTCTCTCTAAAGATTTCTTCTTCAAGCTACCTATTGGGTCAACCTGGGATTGTGCTAAAGATTCCCGGATGCATTCACTTCAAGAACAGGTTTTTCCGAGTGTTTTCTTTTTAATCCTCACCCGAGGACATGCTTTTAAAATAAGAAATGTGTGACAGTCCGGGTCACAGAAACATTTCTTTATTTTAAACTTCAAAAAGCAAACCAGCAACAACAAAAAATGTGAACCTGACCAACCTGGGCCGATCTGTGCGGGCTCCGAGCACCCTTGGGCAAAGCGCCAGCGCCAGAGTACTCTTTATTTTTGGAGTCCCTGCCACTGATTGCTGCCCTACCTGCCAACAAACACTCTCTCTCTCTCTCTCTCCCCCAAGTGCCCGCGACGAACGCTCTCTCTCTCCCCCGGTAAACGGACACCGCCGTGGGCTCATACACAAGATCGGGCCTGACGGTGGCAGAATGCAAAGCACGGATTATAAGACGGGGCAAGGGGCAGAGGCTGTCAAATGCCCCAGCAGTTGGTACACCGAGCCCCGAGCCAGGCAGCCTGATCGGCTCTGCCGGGCACCCAGCCCCGGCGGGCGGCCGCCTCGCCATTCCCGGGAGGAGTCCGGTATCAGGCAGGGCCGCCAGCCCGGCCAGAACCCCCGTGTTTACACTCGCGTCCGGCACGGATTCCGGGGATCGGCGGGGCCGGTGACCCCGGGGGGCATCAGCGCTGCGCCCACGGGCGGACCCAGGAGCCCGGCAGTGACCTTGAGCCAGGCCACTCCCTCGAGGGGCGGCCGGGGCCCGGGGAGGAAGGACTGGCCCCTGGACCCCGGCGCCGCACCCAGAGGCGGCCGGGCCCGGTGCACCCCGCCCCCGGGAAGCTCGGGGATCGGGGGCGACAGTGGGGGAGGGGGAATGGGGGGCGGGGCGGATGCCAGGCCCGGGGTCCCCAAGGCGAGGCTCCCACAAGCCCTCCGGCCGCCCCCGCGGCTCCACGGAGCAGGGACCCCACCTCCCAGGGAAAGCCTGGCGGGACCGGCGCCGGGGACCCCCATACCTGGGAGGAGGGAGGGGCTCAGCCTGGGCGTGACCCCGGGAGGCGAGGTGCGAGGGCAGATGGGAGCCTGAGGTCCCCCCGCGGAGCGTGACCCCAGAAGGCTGGGGGGGGGGGGGGACGGGACCCTCGGGGGAACTGACTGGCGCCCCATTGCTGGTATCAGATGGAAGGGTCGCACTCGGAGACCGAGAGTCAGGGGAGACGAGGCGGGCTGACACCGCGCCCCAATTCCGGGCGGCAGGTGCCGGACCCTGGAGAGGCGCCGGGTCCGGCGGGGGCTCGGACTCCCGGGGTCCCTCCCGGAGGCCCGGACGCCGGGGTCCCGGAGGCTCAGGCAGCCCGAGCCCGAGGCGGCGGTGCCTGCGGGGACTCGGACGCCAGGCCCGCCTTCTCCCCCGGGAGGGCGGCAGCTGCCGCCGTCGGCGGCTCCGGGCTCCCGGAGGCTTTCCGATGGGTCTGAGGCCGGACGCCGGGTCCCGGCTCCGGGCGCCGCGCTCCCCGCGGGCGGGCGGACCCCGACCCCCAGGTGAAGCAGCGGCTGACCGCCAGCCCACGCCCGCCCCGGGCCCCCACTCAGCCCGGCGCCCCCACCCCGCCGCGGCCCGTACCTGTCGGGGTCCGGCGCCCGCCCAAGCCCGGCACTGCGCGCCGCTTCCTCCCCGCCGCTCCTCAATGGCGCTGAGGCGGCGCTCCGGCCCGCCCAGGCCCGACCAATCGAGGGCCGGCGCGCCGGCGCCTGGCCAGCCGAGCGCCGAGTCATCGAGGGAGCGCCCCCTGGCGGCAGCGGCCGCTCCTGCAGCGCAGCGCGGTGCCACAAGTGAATCTGGCAGCAGGCCGTATGGAAACCCAAGGTCCTTCCTTCTGCCATCGCACCCACCCAGTCAGATCTCTGCTTAACAGCCTCAGGGGTCTGTGAAAACATAATTCAGACCACGCCGCTTCCCTGCCTGAAACGGCTTCCCCATCAGACTTAAAACCCACTTCTTGCCCTAGCCGGTTTGGCTCAGTGGATAGAGCGTCGACCTGTGGACTCAAGGTGTCCAGAGTTCAATTCCAGTCAAGGGCACATGCCCAGGTTTCAGGCTTGATTCCCAGTGGGGAGCATGCAGGAGGCAGCCGATCAATGATTCTCTCATCATTGATGTTTCTCTCTCTCCCTCTCCCTTCCTCTCTGAAATCAATAAAAATATATTTAAAAAAAAAAAAAAAAACTCACTTCTTCATTTGAGCTGACACCAAGATCCTATTGGCTTGGGCCCATTCCTGTTTCTGCCCCTCTCTCCCTGGCCCACTCTGCACAGCACCTCCAGGCTGCCCACCCTTCCTCTGCCGTTCTCACTACTTAGAGTGCTTCCCCCTGCACCACAGCTGCCCAATAGAAAGATAATGCGAGCCACAGAGTCATTTTAAATGTACTGAGTTGGCACATTTTTAAAACAGAAAAGCTAAATGAATAATGCATTTTATTTAATCTAATATGTCCTGAATATTATTATCTCAACCTGTAGCTAACAGAAAAAATATTAATGAGATACTATAGGGGTTTTTATAGTAAGCTTTGAAATCTAGTGTGTATTTTACACTTAAGTCACATCTGAGTTCTAACCAAGTGCTCATTAAACTCATATGGTTACAGAGCAGGCAGAAAGCTGAATCCTCTTGCTTCAAATGAAGCACTCCACCCTACCCGTTTGGCTCAGTGAATAGAGCTTTGAACTGAAGGGTCCCGGGTTCCATTCTGGTCAAGGGCACATGCCCTGTTGCGGGCTCAATCCCCTGTAGGGGGTGTGCAGGACGCAGCTAATCAATGGTTCTCTCTCATCATTGATGTTTCTATCTTTCTCTCCCTCTCCCTTCCTCTCTGAAATCAATAAAAAAATATAATTTTTAAAAAGTTTCCACTCCCAGAGGATTTCCCTACTACCCTACCTCAAATTCCCCTCATCTACTAGCCTATTGTATTTCCTTACAGAATGCAATGCTACCTGAGATTATCTTATTTATTTGCTTTCACGTGGTGAACACTCCCCATCCTGAACACTCCCCGAAGCAGGGATTTTCTTTTCACAGAGGTTTCTGCACCTGGACATGGCCTAGCACAGACGAGACTCAATGAAGGCGCTAAGAATGAATGAATGAACAAATGGACATTTCATTCTGCATCATCACCAGAACAACAGGAAGAACTCAATAGGCTCATAAAAAGTCAGGAAATGCAGGACACGGAATGGCCAGGCAGCAATAGTATATCTACCAAGTAATTACTAGCCATCATAATGCTAAGCTCACGGGCTGAGGCATTCCTCTGAAGTGGCGTCCACCTATCAGCGCCTCAACACCGGGTCCCCTCAGGGCCGAGGTTTGGGTATAAAGTCCCTGGACTCCACAGATGAAAAGCAGAAGGAAAGGAGCCAACACCTGGCTGTACCGGAGGAGTT